AATCTGGGGATCTGCAAATTAAAATGACAAAAAAAAATTAACAAGAGGAAAGGTCTATTTCACATACACATTGCAGGGGGTGGGGGTGGGCTCATAGAAATAAATGAAAACCTCAAAGAGGTGGTCAGACCCCGAGGCTTCTATATCATTTTAACAGAGGGAAGTTAAGTTACTGGGGAAGTGACAAAAAGAAAAGGGCTTTGAGTTTCGAGGGTGCTAAATTGTAGGAAGGTAAGCACACGCTGAAACTAGTGGAAGATAAGGGTTATTTTAGTAAGATTTCTGCAGATCCATCTTTTTAAAAAATATTTATGTATTTGGCTGCACTGGGTCTCAGTTGCAGCATGTGGGACCTTTGATCTTCATTGGGTCATGCAGGATCTTTAGTTGTGGCATGTGGGATCTTGTTCCCTGACCAAGGATTGAACCCAAACCAGGCCCCCTGCACTGGAAGCATATAATCTTAGCCACTGGACCACTAGGGAAGTCCCTCTCTGCAGGCCTGTCTTGATGGTAACTTTCCATTCTCTTCATGGCCATCCAACTCCCCCAGGAGAGGGTATATATGGCAGACCTTCTGCCTTTAGTCAGAGAGGGGAGACTCAAAAAGGCTTCTTTCTGCACCTGTTGATTCTCCATGGCCTTTAGCTCAAAATAATCCATATGCCCAAGTGACTTATTTTGGGGTCACATATTCTGACCCTCTTTAGGACATTACTATTGTCGCCATATCATTACATGACTAGCTTTTAGGCCAGTGCCACTGAGGAAATATTGATTGATTATTCAAAACTAGCCTGGGAAAACAACAAAGTCCTACTGCACAGCCCAAGAAACTATATTCAATATTCTGTGATAAAACATGATGGAAAAGAATATGAAAAGGAATGTATATATGTATAATTAAATCACTTTACTGTACATCAGAAATTAACACAATACTGCAATCAAGTATACTTCAAAAAAATAAAAAGAAAAATTTAAGAAAAAAGTGAAGGAGAATGCAGCAAAATAATGACGACCCAGTTTTATGGTAAATTTCTGGATATCTGAGCCAGTCTTTATAACTTTCAGGAGTGTAATTCTATCCGCATGGGGGATACTGTCTTTCTTATATTAGAGTGCCACCATCTTTTTTGTTGTTGTTTTATCTTTATTTGCTGCTGCTGTTGTTGTTGTTGTTTTTGACCCTATCACTACGAGGCATGTGGGATGTTAGTCCCATGACCAGGGATCAAACCCACGCCCCTACATTGGAAGTGCAGCGCCTTAACCATTGGACCACCAGGGACGTCCCCCACCATCTTTCGAAAGAACCAACACTTTTATTTATTTGTTAAGCATTTACCTAGCCCTTGCTCTGCACCACACATCATTCATGGTATTTATAAACACATGTTTGAACCCTCATGGCAGCTGAAGGGTGAGGAAACAGAAGCAGACAGAGGTTTAATAACTTGCACAGCAGAAGTGGCAGAGCCAGGAAGCCAAGTCAGGCAGCTGGGCTCCAGGGTCTGTGCTGGCACCTCCTGTGCCAAGGTTTTTTGAGTGAGTGAAGGTGAAGTATTTTTGCCCAAATGACACTTGCCAACTCAAGATGCAAGTCAAGTCTATGTGACCTTAACCCTCCCTCTGCCCTGGTATCCCCTGGTGGTCCAGGCTCTCAAGGGGGAGGCAGGCTGGGGGGTTGACCTCCTGAGTCTGATTGAGAGGCGAAAGCCAGCCAGTTCTGCTGGTGTGAGCTGAAAAGTGGGCAGAACCTCCCCAGCCCCCACCAACCACTCATGCTGCCCCCACCTCCCCCATCTCCCTCCAATTTCTGTTTTCCTCTCCAGGATTGAATGGGAGTGAGAGCAAAAAAGGAGCAGTTTAAGGACTTCCCTGATGGTCCAGGGGTTAGACCTTCCAATGCAGGGGCTGTGGGTTTGATCCCTGGTGGGGGATCTAAGATCCCACATGCAGTCAAAAAAATAAACACACATTAAAAATTAATACAATCCATTTAGCAACTTTTCTAAAAAATAAATATATATATATATATATTTTAAAGGAGCAGGTTATTGGGATCCTTAGCAATGTGAAAATACTTTAAAAAGGAGAAAGAACCACCTGAAGGCTATGGGGTGAGATGGCCACCGTCTTAGCTCATGTGTTGAACCCACAGATTCTGTTTAATTCAGTAGAGAATTCACCGAGCAGCCACGCCAGGGCCAGCTCCACAAGTCTATGTTAAAAGCAAGTTCCCTTTTATAAAAAACACCTCCCACTCTCCAAACTAGGGTAATTCCAAATCTTAGATGAGATACACTAAGAAATGAGTCACACTTTCTCTAAAATTGAAATTTAACTGAGCGTCCTGTATTTTTATTTGATAAATCTGACAGTCCTACTCCAAATGCATAATTTGGTCAATTACAAAGAATAAAAAACAGACAGAAGAAAAAGTGCATTTTTCTCACAGCAGGATCAATAGAAATTGTCATCTTAAAGTTATAAATGTTACGATGTTTACTCTTAATAAACGGAAAAGAGCAGGTCACACAATGAAACAGGAGTCAACCAAAAAGTGAAACAGAAGTGTTTATTATACAGATGTGGATAATTATTTTTCTATTATTAGTTTATGTCCATTCACTCTGTATGTTTCTGGTATGATATGGGTACCTGGGATGGACAAGGAGGAGGAAGCAGGAAAGGAGGAGAAAAGAGAAGAGAATGAGAAAGGAATTACGTTTCCAAAATTTTCTCTGTGTCAGAGGTTGCACTTGATCCCATGTTTCATGATCTGACTTAACCTTCACAAAGTATCTCCATGGTTGCTACGACTCTGTTTTACACACGAGGCTCAGAGAGGCGAAGCCCTACTTTCGCAGCAGCTAAAGCACCAGAGAAAAGACTCTCCATCTAGTTTGCCACATCATCCACCCATCCCTATCTTCAGAACCCCTTTAACGGAGAGAATTCTATGTCCTGGACTCACTAGTCTCTCTCTCTCACCCCCTTTCTGTCAATTTGTCTATGCAGAATGTACCACAGTTGAGTGTGAATAGCGTGAATTAGTTATTCGTGTGCCCTTCTCCGCCAAGTTACTGAACAGCTTTAGGCAAGGGTCATGTCTGATCTGTTCCTGTGTCACCAGCCTGCCCAAGATGATTGGCATATGTATAGAGCGCCTATATGTGCCAGACACTGGGTTAAATACTTGAGATTCATATCTCAAATCATCACAAAGACCTCCTGAGCTAGGCTCTCTTATCCCCATTTTGCAGATGAGGAAAACTGAGCTTCAAAGAACAGACAGATTTAATAGAGTAATAGGACTCTAAGAAAGTCCCAGTCTCTTGCTCCCTTTAAGGCCTGTCTCTGTCCAGGCTGACATCCAAAAGAAATACCACTAAAATACCTACCAATAATTAGAAAGCAATTTAGAGGACTTCCCTCTAAATTGGTGATCCAGTGGTTAAGAAGCTGTACTTCCACCTCAGGGGGTGTGAGTCTCATCCCTGGGCAGAGAACTAAGATCCCACAATCCATGTGGCCAAAATGTAACATAAATTAATTAAGTTAATTAAATAAAAAACAATGTTCCCAGGTGCTGTTTCCTCTTTAAAAAGAAAAAAAAAAGCAATTTAAATGTTTACAAGAATCTTTCAAGAAAATTCCAAAGAAGGTGCTTCCATCAATAGACAGCTAAACTTCTTAAAACAGCATTTGCCATGAAGATTCTCAATTCCTGAGGCAATTTCCCCAAGCCTAGTGCAATTTCTCTTGACTTTTCTCCCCTTCCCCAATTCACCTATCAGCTCTGTTCCATTCTTCACCTCTGGCAAATTGCTTCTCTTTTCAAATCAAGTCTGTGCAGCCCATATTAAAGGGTAATACATTCATACCTACACATGGAGATTGTGTAGTCGTGAAGTGATAACGTACGTCAAGCAGCATTCTGTGTGGTGTCTGGCACAAAGAAAGCACTCAATAAATTTTCACCATCCTTCCTATTAGTCTCAGCTTTGCAGCTTTAACTGTCATATGATTCTGCATAGCAAATTCCCTGATGAATGGCTGGCACACGGTGCTACAGAAAAAGAAAGAGAGTGTGAACACTCACATGGACATGTGTATTAATACAATTTTCCTATTTATAAGCAGCAGTGATGCTGTATTTGAAGGGTATTTCCCATCTATGTGCTACGTGCTGAGTCGCTTCAGTCACGTCCGACTGTTTGTGACCCTATGAACTGTAACCCTACAGGCTCCTCCATCCGTGGGGATTCTCCAGGCAAGAGTACCAGAGTGCCATGCCTTCCTCCAGAGGATCTTCCTAATCCCAGAACTGAGCCCGCATCTCTTATGTCTCCTGCTTTGGCGGGCAGGTTCTTTACCACTAGCACAACCTGACAAGCTCATTTCCCATTGAAACAGTCAGAGAACCCAAGGAAGAGACACTGATTCTCCCTAAATATGCATGCACCCCCCACTCCGTGTTCCCAGACTTCCTGCAGTTATGCAGGACCCCACGAGCAATTCTGGTGGAAAGCTGTCAATAAAAGTGAGCATGTCACTTCCTGCCAGAGCATTTAAGAGTTGGTGTATAATCCTCCGACTCTCTCTTCCACTTCCACCATGAGTCAGTGACTAAGGAGGCCACAGGGATGGAGAACATTAAGAAGGTGAAGCCTCCACTATCTGGGGTACCTGAGTGACCCTGCAGAACCAAGTTCCCCACCAATGTGCAGCAAGTATAGAATATAAACAAGAAATGAACTTTTGTGGTTGATTTCAGCCAGTGAGGTTGTGGAGTTAATTTGTTACCTCTGCACACCCTCACCTATCAGAACCACAAGTGCCTTTTATAGATTGTTGTTTCTAATGATGCCCCATGTGGTGTTCTCAATATTACTTTCCTGGTGGATATTCTGCATCAGCGTGGTTAGTAATTCAGCTGATTTCCTCCAAGTGCTTGTGTTGCTTGCTTCCAGGTGGGCCAGAGTATGGCAAACATGCCAGGCTGCCTGCTTCCTGGTCCTCTGGTGAGGCTGTGCCTGGACCTCACATGTGCCCTGTCCCTTTTCAACTCAGGTGGGTCTGGTCAAAGTCCAAGTGTCTTGGTCTATAAACTCTGTTTAGATATTCATTGCTCTTTAGAGAATTGTAGCATCCAGTGTTTCAGCCCAGAATCTTAAATGATCAAATTTACTACTGCCATTAATTAAAATGGCAGCAGTAAATTCTCCATTTCTGATTTTGTCCCTCGTCCCATTTATTCTGTTGCACTCGAGTCCCATTCATGCAACAGAATGCTCTTCCCCTCCACAGTGACCATCCTTGTCCAAGCATCACCTTCCCTTTGCTGGACCACCAGGAGAGCTTCCAAAACCAGCTCCCTGCTGCTTCTCTTTCTCTGGTCTCTCCATGTTCCATTCTCCACTCACCAGCCTAAGGCATTCTCTCAGACATTTCATTACACCACTTCCCCAGTTCCTCCTTCATTTCTTTCTCCTCCTCCCAAAAAGTAATCAATGACTTTCTACTGCTTCTCTTTGGGTAGCATCCTAAGTCCTTCCACACTCTACGTGATCCAGCCCACTTCCCCAGCTCCAGTTCCTACAATCCCTTGTCTCCATCCTTTCTGCTGTCTCATGTTGGCCTTCTTCCAGTCTGTAAACTAATACACACCCATCTCAGAGCCTGGGCTCAGGCTGTCATCTGTACACTGAACACCCTCCAAGCCAGCTTTGTCTCTGCTCAAATATTCTCATCTTTCAGATCTCAGTGGAGAATCATCTCCCAGGGATGGCTTTCAGATCACTGAGATTCGATCAGGCTCATGTTCCATGCACTCCAAACGCCTTTCAGCATAACTAACGTTGTTTGAAATGATGTCCATGGGTCTTCATTTCTTTCGTGTCTGCCCTCTCTGCTAGACTCTAAGTTGCTCAAGGATGGACTCTGTATCTATCTGTTCTCTCGTACTCGCCCAGTGTCTAATACACACAATGCCTATTAAAATCTAGATGCTTAATGGCGTGATTAACTATTAGAATTGCTATAGTTAATCCATAAATATTTAATGACTGAATTAGTGAATGAATGAGCCAGGCACATGTTGGATTTTAACCAAATCCACATTGTAATTTTATCATCTTTAAAAGGCTTATTTTGGACTAAATTTTCTCTGACATTATTTCTGTGTTATAATTTCTCTGAAATCTTTTTTTTTTTTTTTTTTTTTTTACTTTAGTGTCTTCCTTTAGAGGAGAAGCTGAGAAGGAAAATGTCATGATTTTCCTACCTACAACAGGTAAATGGGCAGGTGGTCCTTCCTAGGACAAATACAGCATGACGCTTCTCCTACAAGGGACCTAAAATTGTCAGACTTAAAGAAGCAGAGATAAGAAAGGTGGTTGACAGAATCTGGGGCGGGGAGGGGAGATGGAAATAGGGTGACTGGCCAGATGTGGTATTTAGGCACATCACTTAACATTTCTGGACTTCAATTCCTCCTCCTTCAAAGGGAGTGATGGATAAGATGACTTTTAAGGATGTTATAAATTTCTGGGGCTGTGCTTCCACGATACCATTTTACTCATGAAAACTTTTATTCCAGCATCTGGAAATAAACAAGTAAAGAAGGAAAAGGATGGGACTTGGCTTGGTGCAACAGGTAACTAGACCAGTCCTAAAGCCTGACTCATGCTGTAACATGATGACCCATTTTCCAGTTTCTCTGTGCCTTGGTTTTTCCATCTATAAAATGGGTACAAAGCACCTGTCCATTGGAATGTGACAGGAAAAGTAATCATTGCAAAGTAAACAATGGTAGTAAATGATGCAGCATGATTAAGAGACATCTAATCCAAAACAGGTGACCTTTCAGGTCTAGGCTTTGCAGGGATGTCTCCTCCATCCTCTAGAGCACCTAGAGGTGTTCCTAGCAGCTTGATATTCCCTGTTTGACTCTCCTCACGTGGGATGACACGTGAGTGTCTCTTCTCCATCTAAACCACAGACAATAGGCTCTGCAGACATGGAGACAGGGTCCTTTCCCATTGACTTACTGATACCAAACACCTAACGTACTGCTTGGCCCTAGGTGAATATTTATTGAAAGAATAAAGAATGAATGAACGCCTTTGGTATTTCAAGATTTCCTTTGACATTCTCTTCTTTGGCAGCATGAAATTTGCTGAGTGGGCAAGTGACTCCCTCTTCTGGAAGTATGTTCTGACTCTTTATTACCAGGGCTCGGTTGAGCAAATTTAAGCAAGTTTCTTCTGCTCTCTGAGCCTCGGTTTCCCAACCCAGTAAAGAGAAGGGATGGATTAGATGCCCTGCATGGGAATCAGCTTGTCTATTGATTAAAATGTGCATTTCTAGAGAATGTCCAGTTCAAGGAGACACGAACCCCAGGGCTGGGGGGGTATTGCAGTGCATCCAGCAACGGTGAACTTCACGAAGTCAGAGGGCAATTGTAGAACAGACCTCCAAGGCCTCTCCAGCAGCATGGGGTTGGGGCTGAAGGCTCCATTTTTCTCCTGAAGGCTTTTCTCTCCCCAGTGTCCGGCCTCAGAGAAGAAGAGAGGAGAGAAAAGGAGATCGCTTTTCTTGACACTACAGGTGAGTACCACACTCACACACGCACCCCCAGTGCTCCATGGGGGCCTGGACCACTGAGATCACTTCTCCGACCACTGGACCCCCCCATTCCCAACCCCCAATACCAGGGGTTCCCTGGTGGCTCGGATGGCAAAGAATCCGCCTGCAAGGCAGGAGACCCAGGTTCAATCCCTGGGTTGGGAAGATCCCCTGGAGAAGGAAATGGCACTGTGCTCCAGTATGCTGGCCTGGAGAATTCCATGGACAGAGGAGCCAGGTGGGCTACAGTCCATGGGGTTGCAAAGAGTCAGAGACGACTCTAGTGAGAAACTAACACTTTCACTTTCACTTCCCAACCCCCACAGTAGGGCTGCAGCTTCTCTCCAATCCTCAAATCGCTTTAGCCACAATTATTTGAACATTAAGTAAGAGTTGAAAAAGACACTGTTTGCAAAAACATGAAAAGCAGCATTGAACACTGTTTCTACCTTGTCACATCTCTCCACTTGGCTGCACACTACCAACATATGGGCAACTGGTGGATGGATGGATGAATGGATTTAGGTACTGATGTCCACACTGTGTGCAGTGCAAAGTCGCTTTCAGTCATGTCTGACTCTTTGTGACCCTATGGACAGTAGCCCGCCAGGCTCCTCTGTTAATGGGACTCTCCTGACAAGAATACTGGAGTGGGTTGCCTTTGCCTTCTCCAGGGGATCTTCCCATCCTAGGGATCGAACCTGGGTTTCTTAGTCTCCTGTATTGGCAGGCAGATTCTTTACCACTAGCGCCACCTGGGAAGCCACTGATGTCTGGAAACTATTAAGTCTGAATCTCTGAGGATGGAATTCAAGCATCAGAATTCTGGAACTGAAAACAAAGTCTTTCTGGTGAGGCAAACGGTCAGCCAGGATCTGAGCCTCTCTGTTAGACAATGTCATTATTTGTATTATATAGAACTTTGAGAACTCCTGGAATTTCCTGGAGCTGATATATTACATACAAGCATCCCCTGCCAATCTCTACTCTCTCCACTTGCAGAGGTACACTATTCCCTAAAATAAGTGTTCCTTGTGTTTCACCCAAACTTCTCCTTTCTACTCTTGCTTGTCACTGTGTATGTCATTAGCTGTCACCTCCTGAGGACAGGAACTGCCTTTTATCTTCGAAATCCTTGTGCCCAACGCAGAGTGTGAGTTCATGTCCAAACAGGAGGCGCATCTGCCTGAATGCTGGAAATGAGGAACTTTTTCTGTTGCCAAGAAAGGCCTGCTGGTGACATTATCTTTGAATCTCTTTCAGAACTGCCTGCAAGGTCGGTCGATCTGTCTGCACTTAACCTCACAGAGCTGGTGAATGGTATGCTGCATAGAGCTTTAAAAGGTAACCATTTTTTTCTTTTTTAAGCACAATCCAGGTTCATTTTTGTCTTGTTCCTGCTTCACTTCTGGACTCTCCATGACCCGGGCAAGACCCATCCTGTTTCTACGTATCTCAACTCCCTTGTGTTCTGAGTGGAGGATGTGTGTCCTACTTAACTCATGATGAGATTGAAAACATCCAAATGAAGTAGGAGGCCTGCCAGCATTTTGAGAGCAAGATGAGTTCCAAACACAGCATCTGTGTAGTCATCGCTAATCATAGCTATATTGTGAGAGAATTACCAGTTTAAAGATCGATCAAGAAGTATAGTCAAACAAAACAAAACAAAACAAAAAAACAAACAAAAAAAGAAATTTAGTCAAGGGACATGTATTTTTGCATTTGGGGGTTTGCTTTGCTTTGGTTTTTATTATTTTCAGTGTTTATCATTTTATTTTTATTTGTTCATTGTGTTATTAACCTCTATGATCGGTTTAGTAATTTCTATTACTGTTCAATATTGTTGGTGGGCATTTGCTCTTTCTTTATCTCGGTATCTTTCGCAGATAGCAAGAACTTCTTCTCCTTGTTGAGTGTCACTTCCTATAGTTCATTTGCCTTCCACAAGTTTTCTGTGGCCATTTATAACAGTAAGTGCTGCCGGCTCTTCTTTTATTTTTAATTTATTTTATTGAAGTATAGTTGATTTACAGTGTTGTGTTAATTTCTGCTATATAGCTAAATAATTCAGAGATATATATATGTATATATACATTCTTTTTCATATTCTTTTCCAATTATGATTTATCACAGGATATTGAATATAGTTCCTTGTGCTGTACAGTAAGATCTTGTTTATCCACTCCATATTAATAGTTTGCACCTGCCAATCCCAAAGTCCCGATCCATCCTTCCCTTCTCCCTTCCCCAAACTCTTCTTGGTGGTGAGAGTGGTAAGTGATGGACAGGCAGGGCCAGGCTATGTGTCAGGGCTGCTGTGTACTGCATTTCTCTTCACAGTTTCCAACCTGAAGACTGTGGATCCAGCCAACTTCCCCACGCGGTACTGCTACTGCTTAAACAACCGAACCAACGATTTGTCAGGTTGGTACAACTCATCATGAGGCTTGCAACTGATTTTGCTTGTGCCCTTTTAGATAAGTAGAATTTTTTTTTTCTACTCAGACTAAAATAAGAAAATGCAGTGATATCTATTATGCTTAAATATGTGCACATTCATTATCCCAGAAATTTCCTTTCTTGGTTTTCTACCAAGAAATAGTTCTATCTGTGCAGAGGGGCAAGAACAAATGTATCATTGTTTAAGAGCAAAATCTGAGAATGATCTAAACACCCATCATTAGGAAAATGGTTGAATAGTCTGCTGTATAATTAAATCTTGGAAAGCAGCCATAGACAGTACATAAATATGTACATGTGACCAGATTTGGTCTGTGTATGGTAATATTTCCATGACATTTTCAATTAGAAAAAGGAACTTGCAAAATAAATAAAATGAGTAAAATAGCACTGATGAAAAAATATATGCCTATCTGAACACCGGGTGGATGATTACCTCCAAAAAGAAGATTAGAGTTTGGGTATGAAATAGCAGAGTGTTGATTAAGGGAACCTGATATTGTCTGATTTTTTTTTTTCAAAGACAGTATATTCATGTATCTGCCATGTTTTCTATGATGTTTTATAATCCTATTTAAACTAACCAGCAGGTCTTAAAAAACATTCCATTCCAATGAATATAAATATGCATCATCCTTCATATGAATTCATAATGTTCATTGAAAAAATATACTATAATTTATTTAATTTATCTCCTCCTGATGCAAACCTTTTTTTGCCATTCTCAACAGTGCCGTGATGAGTACCTGAGTACAATCACTTGGAGTATTTGTCCAATTACCCCTATAGGATAAAGTCTTCAAGATAGAATTGTTGTCTGACAGGAAGGGGGACTCGTGATGGTTCACATCACTAAACATTCCTCTAGAAATCTTGCATAAGCTTACGCTCTTACCAGTAGTGTTGGAAAGTGTGAGCTTTTCCTCACCTTTGTCGACACTGAGTACTGACGTTCGTAAGTCACTACCAATTAGATAGACGAAAAGTAACTTTCCCCTACTTCCTATTATACACGAAAGTGGTTGGAGTCACTCATCTACGTGTTGTTAATCAATTAGATAACTCACATTTTCACCAAAACAAAGAATGTCTTCAAGGCAGTGATAACTGATTTTCTTCCAAGCCGAGGACCTGACTTGGGAGCAACTCTAAAGGGAGAGTTAACAAATATAATTGAGTAAGCGATGTGTATGAGCAGTGGTAGAAATCTTCAGAATTGGGGCTTTAGCACAAGGCAGCCCTCAGCTCGAATTCAAGCCCTACCACATACTCTAAGACCTTGGGAACTTTCCTCATCTCTCTGAAGCTTGCACAGAACTTGAACTCCATCCTTGGTGTCTGGGCTCCAAAGCCATGCTCATAGCTTCTATGTGATATTAATGTTGTTGTTCAGTCACCAAGTGGTGTCTGACTCTCATGACCCAACAGACTGTAGCAGGCCAGGCTTCCCTGTCTTTCACCATCTCCTGGAATTTGCCCAAGTTCATGTCCATTGGTGATGCCAACCAACCATCTCATTCTCTATCACCCTCTTCTCCTTCTGCCTTCAATCTTCACCAGCATCAGGGGCTTTTCCAATGAGTCAGCTGTTTGCATCAGGTGGCCAAAGTATCAGAGCTTCAGCTTCAGCATCAGTCCTTCCAAAGAGTACTCAGGTCGATTTCCTTTAAGATTGACTGGTTTGAGCTCCTTGCTTTCCAAGGGACTCTTGGTATGTGATGTATGTGATATTAATAGTGGACTGCAATTGTGGATTGCATTTCTTGGTCTGTTTACGAGTCTGTCTCTCCCACTAATCTCAGCTTCTGATGGGCAGAGATGGGGCCTTACACAGTCCTTCAGTGCCCCAGTGATGTCTGCCATATGGTAGACACTCAATGAATGTTTGTTAGATGAATGAATTAATAACAATGGAGACTTGAGAAATAGAAAGAAAATAGCTGGCATGAGAAATAAAATACTTCCGCTCTTCAGTTTTTACCTTTACCAGTGTGACTAGGGACAGACTGGTCTAAACAGACGTAAAGAAGGATGCCTACCTTCTTCAGGGCCAAGTGTCCATACTGTGTAGATGCACCATCACAACACCCTCCAGGAGACTAACCGTGAACCCATGCAGGTGTAGTAATGACATGGCACCAAGACTTCAGCTCAGATAGGGTAGCGCCCACCTCCCGTTGGCCTCACGTGCTATATACCATTTCACCAGTTGTCACATTACCTTTTCATACCTCTCTGAGCTCCCTATTGTCAATGTTCTGGGTTCTATATTTTCAACTCAGCTTGCCCCCAACGCCAGCTCATAACCCTATTACTGAAAACAATCATTTATACAAGGCATGATGGGAAACTATCCACGGGACCTCAGAAGTTTCTTTAAAAATTCACTGTTTGGGGCTCCTGGAATAAATGCTCCTTGTTGTAGAAGCCAAAACGTTGCTGGGTCCTGGAAAACGATAAATGGACAGCAGAGGAGGAGGCAGCTGTGTGCGTAGGAAGTGTATTAGGAACTTTCATCGGTCAGCGGCGCCCGCCATGTTGAGACTTGTTCAGAACGCACTCAGAGAGACAAGATTTCATAGCTTGAAATGTGGTAAGATTGTCTCAGGCTCCTCCCATCAGACTTCTTAACATGGAGGGCGGAAGAGCTTCCTTGTTCTACTTTGTGTAGAGTTCTTGTCTCCTTTGGTAGTCTGTCATTTATAATCCACCACTAGATTTGATACCATTTTGAAAATCCAAAGTTACTTAACTTTACACCCCATGTCTGCAGAACTGCTTCCTATCCAGTGAATTTGGTGTTCTAAATCAATGAGATGAAATAGTGAGGTGTAAGGGAAACAAATCAGAAAAATTACTGATTTTTTTTATTACTCAATACTCTGGTCTTACACAGCTCTTTTTTTGCTAGGTACATTTTTTTTTTTTTTTTTTTTTTTTTTGCTAGGTACATTTTTTTTTTTTTTTTTTTTGCTAGGTACATTTTTTTTTTTTTTTTTTTTTTGCTAGGTTACACAGCTCTTTGGTACTGGCAGAGAAGGGTTTGGGTGGTGGGGGGCAGGGGGAACGGGGGTGTGGTGCAGACGGGGAGGGAAATGGGAGAAGAAAGGAGATTATAGTGGTAGGTTTTCTGCCTGCCTAAAATTAAGACTTAAAAAGAAACTGGTAATATTAAAAATGGTTGTTAGTTTCCCTCAATACACTGAACTGGATCAAACTTGTAAAATTTACTTTGAAAAATCCACATACGATCTACTTTTCCTCTCACGGCTCTGGAACCTAAACCAAGTTTCAGAAAGGTAACCTTCCTCAACCTGTCTTACAGATTTCACTGCCCTCCTGGTGGACATCATTGGAAATTCTAGCAGCTACCTCACAGAGATTTTTAAGTCAACTCCCAACCTCTCAGGTGTGCTCATCTTGAAAATGCTTGGCAAATATTGAGATTTGGCACTCACCATGGAATATGAAAAAGCAGGGCTTCTAAATAAGGAGTTAGCCTTATTTTCCTGTAACAACTGGAGCTAGAAATTTCCAACTTAATTTTCACTTCAACTAAAGACTTAACAGCTTGAGACCCATTGCTAAGTCCCCCTGTGTCCTGGTCTGTCTTGCAGTGAGTCAAACGAACGACTCCGACTGCATCTTCATCTGCGTGATGACAGGAAAGTCAGGTGAGCCACCAGTCATTCTTTGACCAGCTCTCTGAGCTGCGAATTACCCACAAACTCTCCAACAGGAAAGCCCAAGATTTGACCCTATTGGTGTGGTTTCTGCAGGACGCAATCTTTCTGACTTCTGGGAGCTGGCGGAAAAGTCCCCTGTTATCAATTACACATTTACTAGCAACATATCTGGTGTTCTGGGTGAGTGCAACCCTCCTAAACTCCTACAATAGAATCCCCAGACCAGGGTCCCAGCTAGCAAGCTGAAGATTGAATGCTACTCTCACTTCATTTAGCTGTATGGTGTTAAAACCAGAGGATTTTGTCATTCAAATTTTTTTGGATTTCTAGATTTTTTTTTTTGCAAAGAGCTGGCAGCCCTGGATCCGCCCTCTCACCCCTGGCGACAAGGAAATGGAGTTGAGCTGCCGCCCCTCCCCTGTTAGGAGAGACCCCTTCTCCTTTTTTCCATCGCCCTCATGTCTCCCTGTGGCCTTGCACTTCTTTTCTCATATAAACGACCTGCCTTTTGTAGGTATTTGAATTTGTGACCCTATTATAAACATTGCCAATCTGTAATACCCAGACGCCATCCAACCATCTTCTGCCCCTCCATACTCACACCTACCCATCTTCCTGCATCTTCTCTGGCGCCAGGTGGCATTTTGGGTCACCTTAAAGCTTTCTCTTCCACACTTAGCTGTCATTTCTAGCAGAATAAAGTGTCTGCAATGTGGCTGATCTTCCAAGACCATTTGCGACTACTGTGATGGTCTTAGTTCATGTTCTCATCATCTACCTTTACTATAGCAGCCTCTGAACCAATCTCCTTTGACCCAGTCTCTTTATTTCTCTGAAATATCCATCCATTCCCAAAAGAGTGATAATATGATTGGGTTATATCTTTTTACTGCTCAGAACTCCTAATTCAGCAGCAGAGGGTCCTAAGTCCTTAGCAAGGAGTATACACTTCTCTATCATCAAGGCCACACTCATCTACTCTCTTTACATAAATCTCTTGCTAAAACTATATTGAAACCCCTGCCTCTTCCTGCAGATGGCATATATCTCCACACCTTTGGGATTTTGCTGTTATCCCAGAATGGAGCTTCCCTACTTTTCCATATTTCAGAATTCAATTTGTCTGTCAATGGCTAATTCAGCTACTGACTCCTCTTTCCAACAAAATCACCTAACCAAAATCAGTCTTCTGTCCTCTGTAATCCTACAGCACTCATTTGGACTCTCTGTTACTCCAGATTAAATCACAGATGACTTTATCTGCGTGTCTCCTCAAGGAATCACTTGAAGGCAGAGGCTGAACCTCCTTTAGCTCCACGGTCTGCCTTCATCTTGATGCCTCACACTGTTCTTTGTGCACAATAGGTTCTTCATCAGTGTTCCTTGGAGTGAAATGAAGTTTGCAATCAACTCCAATTCCACTTCACAAGACTGCCTTGATTGGTATTTATTGTAGGTAGGGTGTGAGGGTGTGCTAAGTCGCTTCTGTCCTGTCCAACTCTTTTATGATCCCATGCACTATAGCCCACCAGGCTCCTCTGTTCCTGGGATTCTCCAGGCAAGAATACTTGAGTGGGTTGCCATGCCCTCCTCCAGGGGCTCTTCCTGACTCAGGGATCAAACCCCACGTCTCTTATGTCTCCTGCATTGGCAGGCAGGTTCTTTACCACTAGCGCTTTGTTACGGAAGTTATCAACTTGTGCTTGATAAAGAGATGCAATGGGCCATTGGTGGGTTCCCTTCAATTCTGAGGACAAATCTGAGGGTTAAGCCAATCTCACTTCTTCAGAGAGTCCTTCCATGACTTTCCACTCCCAGTCTCAATTAAGTCTCCCCTTTTGTGCCCTTTCTGTAAAATTTTCCAAACAACAGCTGCTTGGGAAGAGAAAACGTGTGGACATGTTGACCCAAGGTTGATGTGCTTGACGGCAGTCACCTGTCTGAGTGATGGTTTGATTGGCAGGTACTCAGCCCCATGTCCCTTCATCTGGGAGCAAGAACCAGGCTTCTGGTGCATGTGGGGGTGATGCTGAGTCCAGAAGTAAGGCAAGAGAGAAGAAATGAGGCTGCAGGGCTGCCTTCTGCAATTGCACTGCTTGTGCCCAACACATAGTTACCTGCCAAACAGGCAACTAGGGGCTGAAACCCCACCTGTCTGCAGGCCAACCTTTGTCTATCCAGAGGATTGGACGTTATGGGCTACTGGGAGCCTGTCCTAGTCTGACATGGGGCCCCATGCCCTAAGCCACCCTTCCCCCAAGGTCATCCAAGGGCACTGGGGGGATCCTCCTCTGAATGAAGCCTTCCTGCTGTCTTTGTAGGGGGCTTCCCAGGTGGCTCAGTGAGTAAAGAATCCACCTGCCAATGCAGGAGATGCAGGTTTGATCTCTGGGTTGGGAAAATCCCCTGGAGGAGAGTATGGCAACCTACTTCAGTATTCTTGCCTGGAAAATTCCATGGACAGAAGAACCTGAGGAGGCTGCAGTCCATGGGGTCACAAAGAATCGGACATGACTGAACTGGCATGCATGCACATGCTGTCTTTGTGGGAACCTGTCTTTCAAGTGGTTTCTGCCTGAGAACCCCTAGTTCCCAGGTTCCACCTCTGGCCCCTAGTCATACCCCCAGGGCACTTGAGCAAACCTAAGCACTCTTCCAGGGGCCAGCGTCAGAGCCGTGGAGGGGCAAAGGGCTGCGAGGTGGGCGAGGACACTGAGGGAGTCAGGTTCTGTGCAGCAGACACGTCGCGCGTCTGAGGCTTTCAGTCTGACAGCTTTGCATTCTGCGCACAGGGCTTTTTCCGGCAGTGCTTTCAGAGCTTGATATTTCAGCTTAGTTTCAGCTCATTCAAGGGGCAACCCTGCTTCCTCCTGGTGATGTCAGGTACTGTTCCGAGTGATTTTGAGCCTCTGTATTCTGCATATTTGCCGTCCAATGATCTTCCAGTGTCGACAGCTCTGTGTCCAAAATATCAGCATAGTAAAGCTGCTGTTGACTGTCTCCTTAAATGTGCAGCTACAAGGGTGTCGGCCCCGACTTCACAGCTCACACCCACAAGCCAGCAAACACTACCTAGGACAAGCCCCCTACATGGAGCCCAGAGGCCTGGAGTGTCCACTCTGGGAACCTCTTCTGGGACAGACACAACGCCTCCTTCAGAGGAAGAGCAGACCTTGCTTCCTGAGCTTCGCAGCAGAGCCACAACCAAGGCCATGGCCAGAACCACAGCCACCCTGGACACGGCCTCTCCCACCCTCCCAGCCTCCGGTAAGATTTCTCACCCTTTCCTCTCCTGTCTTGTTTGCCCCCCCCCCCCCACCCCAGTTCCCTCTGGGCCCTGATAAATAAGTGAAATGCTTCCTTTATCCCTTCTCCACCAACCTCTTTCTTCAGCATCCCTTAAATAAGAGATGTGAACCAGTCTGGGTCTAATACATATAAGCAAAGGTGACAAATATCACTGGTATAATGTCTTTCTAATGTTTATTTTTATAACATTTTTATTTTGAAATACTTCAACATTCACAGTTGCAAAAATGGTACAAAAGTTTCCTGGTGCACTTCATGCAAGCATCCTCCACTAATAATATCTTACACAATTGTATTATATTGTAACATCAGGTATTTTTATTTCAGCAAAGAGGTTGGGAATATCTCTCCTTAAATTCACACACTAATGAAATGAAATGAACTCAATATTTTATGGCAGGCAGGGTTAGGTTAATGTGTAGCTGGCTGGATAATGATGCCAAGAATATGTTAATGACTTGATGTCAGTGTAAAAAGCTGCTGCCCATGACCTGCTGAGAAGTTTCTTCCTTTCCTATCATGTTTGTGGACACTGATCAATGGTATTACCACTAAAAATGTATAAGGCATGCTAATCTTATTTGGAATAAGAAACAACTGAGATAACTCTTTCGTTAAAAGACAGTTATGTCTCAATGAGCTCCAACAATGGACCAGAGTCACCAGAATTCATTCATTCATTTACTTTTCAATGCCTGTATTTAATATCAGACCCCAGGCTAGCTGTTAAAAAAAAAACCCACAGCTCTATCAATGTTCTCTTTCCTTCCTGAGCTCTCAGACCTGGGAGAGAGGCATAGGCAAACAAACTGATTAGTCGTTATTCAGCCTACAAAGAGCTATTATTCTAGAGAACCTAGAGAGAGGCTCCCCTGAGAAGGATGAGCATTGATAAAAGTCAGGGAAACAAAAATGAGGAAAAGGAATCAGCTTTACTAACTAGAAAAGTTTGTAGTAATATATCTGCACCTAGACAGTTATACAAAGGAAGAAAACTTTCTGGTATAACATGAAAAAAGATGTGATTGCAGGTGGCAAGGGAAATCATAAAATACCTAGCTATCACCCTAACAGGGAAAGTGCTTAGTCTTATGTAAGAAAAACTACCTAAAACTTTAACAAGAGTAATAAAAGCATGTTTAAATAAAGTGATATAGCATGTTCTGGGTGAGAAATCTGAACATTTTTAAAATGTCAACTGTTCCCAACTTAGCTTATAGCTTTAAAATCCTCCCAGGAGTTTAGATTTGTAAAAACCTGAAAAAATTTTTTTTTTATTCCTACCATGGGAATGAGCAAGTGGAAACCATCTGACGAGTTTTGTTTAAAAGATCAGCAAGAAAAGACTTGTCTTAATGACTATTCTGTGATATTGTCAGACTGGTGTCATCATCACCATCACCTCCATTTTAATGGTAAAGCTAAAAAGAGTTTGGTGACTTGCCCCAAAGTTCACAGCACAGAGGAGTTGGGGGCAGAATTTACATCTCCAGGTCTCCTCACCTTAGATCTTGTAACCGTTCCACTATGCCACATAACTAGAAATGTATTTCTTAAATTTCACAGGGTCCATCATCCCCCAAACACACACTCTAGCTGACTGTTTAGTGGCCTAGGAATCTGGAGAATTTTTTCTTAATTGGTAGTTAGGAAAACTAAGTTTAGCTTGGTCCCGTTATTCCAGCTCAGGATAGAGCTGAAATCCCTGGATTATCTATATTATGTGTGCACATTGCATGTACCCTTTGCTTATATGTCAGTGTCTTGTCAGTTTTACATCTGAATCAAGGCAGTCAAGCACGTACATGCCCTATTACTGTGCAGCTCCTAGGAAGGCGGCCGGACCTCCACGGGTGACGGCCCACAGACAGGCCCAGGCTTCCACTCTACCCACGGCCTGGGCTCGGGTCGCCAGTGAGAAAACTTCCGGAGGGCCTCCCTGGGAGACCCCTCCCTCCTTGCCTACGTCTCCTAAGGCCGAGGAGGCTGTGAACACAAGGAGCTTTTCCCAGCCTCCTGCCGGGACAGCAGCCGCAGGTGGCACCGCATCCCAGACCAGCCCAACCTCAGGTAAGAGAGAATGCTCACTCCTGCTTCCACCGTTGTTGTTTAGTTGCTGAGTCATGTCTGACTCTTGTGACCCCATAGACCGTAGCCCGCTAGTCTCTGTCAGACTCCTCTGTCCACCTGTCCATGGGATTTCCCAGGCAGGAATACTGGAGTGGGTTGCCATTTCTTTCTCCAGGGGATCTTCTCGACCCAGGGATCAAACCTGCGTCTCCTTCATTGGCAGGTGGATTCTTTACCACTGAGCCACCAGGGAAGGCCCCACCTCTGTTAATTACATATAAATGTAATGATATGTACATTAAAATGTAATCACAATATGTGGATGGCCTGAGCTCTGAAAATTTGTTGTCTGATTCCAATTATGTGTTTATGTATTTATGTGTGTATGTATGTGTGTGTAATAAATATACACAGAAAACAAAAAATATACCAAAATAAGTCTGAAAAGAAATACACAACACGTTAACCTTGACTGTATCTGGGAAGCAGAGAGGATTTTGATTTTTCATCACTGCAGTGTCATGAATTTTCCATATTTTCTACTCCTCTAACCAGACAAAAGTGGTTTCTGTGCTTTGTAAAATTCTGTTTATTTATTTTGGCTGTACTGGATCCTTGCTGCTGCTTGGGCAGCAGTTGCATGCAGTATGCAGGTTCATTGCAGTGGCCTCTCTTTTGTGGAGCACGGGCTCTAGGGTGTGCTCGGGCCTCAGTAGTTGCAGCTCCCGGGCTCCAGAGCTCAGGCTGAGTAGTTTTGGCTCATGGGCTTGGTTGCTCTTGGCATGTGGGATCTTCCAGGATCAGGGATTGAATTCATGTCTCCTGCATTGGCAGGCAGGTTCTTTACCACTGAGCCACCAGGGAAGCCCGGTTTGTGTGTTTTTAAAATGATTTCCTCTGATCCCTGTAGCCAGAGGCCTTTCTTCTAGGCTACTGTGTTCAGTGGATTGTAGCATTCCTCGCTGCTGTGCTATTTCTAACTGATTTCTGCATCCTGAGCATCCTACCAGGTACCTGACTTGATAGGCAGCAGGGGATGAGCAGGGCAGGGCTGGTGGCAGGGCTCCACTTCTGCTCAAGCAACTTAGGAAGACACTCAAGCTCACCTCTGTCTCCTCTCATCCCAGGTCCATCCACCCCTGGCACGCAGACTCCAAGTCCTACCAAGGCTCCAGCCCCCAAATATCCACAGGCAGGTAAGAACATGGCCTTGCAAAGAGAAACGCTATACCCTGGGTGGGAAGTGTAGTTTAGGGGCAGTGGCATGAGGCGATGGGGGTGTCTGCAGGCAGAGCAAGCTTGCTATTGTACTTTACTGATTCTAGCAGGAAAAGAGGCAGGAGAACTAAGTCTTGCTGTGCTGTGCTATTAAATCACCCTGTAATCTTGCATAAATAACTTCCTCTATCTTGACTATAATTTCTCTATAGATTTGAGAGCTCTTTAAGATGCCATGATTCTCTGGTTCTATGTATAACCCAAGACCATTTCATTTTGACCTTTCTGAGGCCATTGTCACCTATGCAGGTGACCTCCCAGCCATGTGGCCCTTTATACCTGGAGAAGAGTCAGCCTTGATCCCAGGAACCCACCAATTTTCAAGTACGTACCAGTGCCCTGTCGCTCCTATAGCTTTTGTTTGTTTTGGATGAAGTTGTGTAGTATAATAAAAAGAGGTTTGTTTGATAAATTTAGATTCAGACTTCTGGGATTAAATCCTAGCTCTGCTATTTACTGGTGAGGTACCCTCCTGCACTCAAATTCCAAAATTCAGTTTCCTCTGCTGTAAAGCAAGAATGATAATAATTATTGTGGGCACTAAAAATGTCTTTCCTCTGCAGGGTTTTGTATTGAGTAAGATAATGTGTATGGAAGTGATTTGGAACTGGAGAGCACCATATAACTTAATTCAAACAACTTTTATTGAATGAACGCTCATTGAGAAAGTGCTATACGTTTTGCAAATGGAAGCCATTCTTACATTGAACATAATGTTAGCAGACAGAGGGGAAGGAGAAAAGGATGACTCCAAATTTCAACCCCTGGGGCTTCCCTGACAGTCCACTGGTTAAGACTATGCTTTTCCAAAGCAGGGATGCAAGGGGTATGGGTTTGATCCCTGGTCAGGGAACTAAGATCCCACATGCTCCATGGTGCTGCCCCCCCCCAAAAGTTATATTACTATGATCATAAAATATGTAACCATTAAGGCAATTATACTTCAGTTAAAAAGAAAGAAAGAATTGGGATAACTTAAACAATAAAAAGAAAAAAGAGGGACTTCCCTAGTTGTCCAGTGGCTAAGACTCCTTGCTCCCAATGCAGGTAGCTTGTGTTTGATCCTTGGTCAGGGAACTAGATCCCACATGCTGAAACTAAGGCCTGGTGCAGCCAAGTAAATAAATACTTTGTTTAAAAAGACTGTTACAGTTACTTAAAGAAATTGACAATCATTATTATCAAATAAAACAACTCAAGGATTTTCATCTGAAAAAACAAAATGACCCTTAGAAGTTCTTTTGCAGCCCATGCAAACTAGAAAAACTTATATTGGTGTCATCAAGCCCTATTTTCTTTTTTTTTTAATTTTTAATGTTTTAATCTTATTTTTATTTCTTTTAAAACATGTTTTTTTAAAATGTAGGCAATGCATGCACATAGAATAAAACTTTTAAAATTTTTAATTGAAGTATAGTTGGTTTGCAATGTCGTGTTAATCACTGCTACAAGGCAAAGTGGTTCAGTTACATACATATATGCAATATATATATTTTGTAATATTCCTTTCCATTATGGTTATCATAAGATATCAAATACAGTTGTCTGTGCTATATAGTAGGTCCTTGTTGTTCATCCATTTTATATATACAAACTTACACCTGTCAGTCCCTTAAAAAAAAGAAAAATTTCTTTCTCCCAGCTGTTGAGTGCCATTAACGTCTGTTCTGTTTGAAAGGCCACCCCCGTAGGTACACTTCGTTCCTTTTTTTTTTTTTTAACTTTGGAGTGTAGCAGATTACCAATATTGGCACAGTTTCAGGTGAACCGTGAAGAGACTCAGCCGTATATGCACATGTGTCCGTTCTCCCCTGAACTCGCCTCCCACCCAGGCTGCCTCAGACACCGGGCAGTTCTCTGTGCTCTGCAGGAGGACCTTGTTGGTGTGTACTCCATCCTTACTGAATTCAAGAGGAAAACCTGTTCTGGGCTTGCATGTGGGTTTTCAGGACTCCTGACAGAGGTTCAGAACTTGGGGTTTCTGTGGTCTAAGCTGCATTTTCCCAACTTTTGAAGGTCCAACTCTCTCCTCTGTTTCTGTGGAGCCAGTTTGCAGAAGATAGAAATGGATATAATGTGAGTCTTTCAAAGGTGGTTGAGTTCTCAGGTCCCTCTCACTCCTGGATGCCTTTCAAGACTAGTTTCCTGAATGTTCCCGCACCATCCAGTCACATGTCAACACGGCATTATTAAATTGCTGGATCCTGCACCGTCTCCTTTTTCATATCACCTAAGATCTGCCTTGGCCCTGCTCTAAACCTGCAGTGAATGGTGAATGGGCCTTTCAGACACAAAGATTTGATTATGCTACCGCAGGAAATTACAGCCCTTTTTTCTCCAGGTTCTAAAGAAACACGTGAGAGGTGCGGATGGGGGCAGTGGTCGGAATGAATTTTAGAAAACATATTGGCTGTATCTCTCTGGATCTATCCCTGGAGAAGGAAATGGCAACCCACTCCAGTATCTTTGCCTGGAGAATTCCAAGGACAGAGGAGCCTGGCAGACTATAGTCCATGGGGTCGCAAAGAGTCGGACGTGACTTAGTGACTAAACAATAACACTCTGGGTTTATATCTGTGTCTATTGTTGTTCTTTAGTCACTAAGTCATGTCCGACTCTTTTGCAACTGCATGGACTGTAGCCCACCAGGCTCCTCTGTCCATGGGATTTCCCAGGCAAGGTTACTGGAGTGGGTTGCCATTTCATTCTCTAAGGGATCTTTCCAAACCAGGGATTGAGCCCATGTCTCCTGAATTGGCAGGTGGATTCTTTACCACTGAGCCACCTAGAAAGCCCATCTCTACCCATTTTATCTACCTCTATATAGCTCTAGCTATCCATCATCCCATCCATCTAATGAGGAATGTAAAGTTTCTCTAGGAATTTTCAGGGAGACCATCTCTGACTTCCTCCAGGAATCGGTCCCTCAACTTTCTTCCTCTCTCTCTAGGATCTCTCACAGCAACTTTGATAGTCATGGTGAAGCAAGGCCATGTTTACCTGTTGGTCCAGAGCTACCTGAGACAGGGGGCAAGACAATATTCACCCAGCACAGTCCCTGACAAAGGGAAGTGAAGTAAAGTGAAAGTCGCTCAATCGTGTCCGACTCTGCGACCCGGTAGACTGTAGTCCGTGGAATTCTCCAGGCCAGAATAGTGGAGTGGGTAGCCTTTCCCTTCTCCAGGGGATCTCCCCAATCCAGTGATTGAACCCAGGTCTCCCGCATTGCAGGCAGATTCTTTATCAGCTGAGCCACAAGGGAAGCCCAAGAATACTGGAGTGGGCAACCTATCCCTTCTCCAGGGGATCTTCCCAACCCAGGAATCGAACCGGGGTCTCCTGCATTGCAGGGAAGATGCTTGCTAAATGCTTGTTGATGTGACTGGTCTGGGATTGCATCTTCCAGGGTGTCCTGAGCCGCTCCCTAAGGAGGGGGCTAGGACCGCTGCTCCCCTTGCACTGACAGTGCAGAAGCTCAACCCTTGTCTGATGGAGCTGTGCCAATTCTTCCAGCAATGCCTCTGCACAAGCCAGAAGAGAGAGCCTGGGATGGAGGCCAGGAGGTAACCTGAGCCACTCACTACTCTTTGCATCCAGTATTTACAGGCTTCTGCCTCTGCTCGGCTCCTCTGCAGGCTCCTAGGCGGCCAGGTGTTAAGTAACTAACACACAGGTGACAGCAGTACCTTGAGGGATGCACTCCCCAGTAGGTCTTCTGCTGCATTGTCATCTCCTTGAGAGCCGGGATGGAACCCCATTCATTTCTGGGTCCCCAGAGCCAAGGGAGGTGGCCATGCCACAGTGCAGTCAAGTGTTGTCAAGTTGACTTGCTGCATCTGCTGTTACAAATCTGCTGGAATTGTGTTGCATTGTGTTACATCTGCTGGAATAATTACAGAGGACTTTGAGTGGCCCTGAGCCCCAATGCCCTCAGTTCAGTTCACTTCAGTCACTCAGTCATGTCTGACTCTGCAACCCCATGAACCACAGCACGCCAGGCCTCCCTGTCAATCACCAACTCCCGGAGTTTACTCAAACTCATGTCCATTGCATCAGTGATGCCATCCAACCATCTCATTCTCTGTCGTCCCCTTCTCCTCCTGCCCTCAGTCTTTCCCAGCATCAGGGTCTTTTCAAATGAGTCAGCCCTTTACATCAGGTGGCCAAAGTATTGGAGTTTCAGCTTCAACATCAGTCCTTCCAATGAATATTCGGAACTGATTTCCATTAGGATGGACCAGTTGGATCTCCTTGCTGTCCAAGGGACTCTCGAGAATCTTCTCCAACACCACAGTTCAAAAGCATCAATTCTTTGGCGCTCAGCTTTCTTTATAGTCCAACTCTCACATCCATACATGACTACTGGAAAAACCATAGCCTTGACTAGATGGACCTTTGTTGACAAAGTAATGTCTCTGGTTTTTAATATGCTGTCTAGGTTGGTCATAACTTTCCTGCCAAGGAGTAAGTGTCTTTTAATTTCATGTCTGCAATCACTCTCTGCAGTGATTTTGGAGCCCTAAAAAATAAAGTCAGCCACTGTTTCCACTGTTTCCCCATCTATTTCCCATGAAGTGATGGGACCAGATGCCATGATCTTAGTTTTCTGAATGTTGTGCTTTAAGCCAATGCCCTCAGCCTGGTATGACTTATTAGAAGAGAATAATTTTGTCTATTGTTTAGTCACTAAGTCATGTCTGACTCTTTTGCACCTCATAGACTATAGCTCAACAGGCTCTTCTGTCCATGGAATTTCCCAGGGATTTTCCTTCTCCAGGTAAATTGAAGGTGATAGAACCTGGGAAACCCTTACTGCCAAGCTCTACATGAGCAATAGGCTGCTCCCCAGAAGCTTCCCAGATGGCACTAGTGGTAAAGAACCCCCCCCCCATCCCAGTTCAGGAGACATAAAAGATGCAAGTTCAATCCCTGGGTCGGGAAGATCCCCTGGAGGAGGGCATGACATCCCACTCCAGTATTCTTGCCTGGAGAATACCATGGACAGAAGAGCCTGGTGGGCTACAGTCCACAGGGATGCAAAGAGTCAGACACAACTGCGGCAACTTAGCACAGCACAGAAGATCCTAGAATCACAGAATGATAGAGATGGAAGCGATTAGAGAATGTTTAGCCCAGCCTCCTTGTATATCAGGTGAAGGATTGACAAGAAGTGGATTCCCAGAGTCCGGCATTGAGGCAGTGATACAGCTTGCACAGAAAACTCTTCTTCCTAATATGTGTGACCTTTTCACTGAAGCCCTTTGAAGCAATCTCTACAGTCACCAGCCAAGAGCAGGATGTTGTCTTGCTAGGTATTGGCTGCATGGTTAACTCTAACAGCCCTGTACTCTGACCACCTCACACAAAAATAGATGAATATCACCACTGATTGATCTCTTAGGGTAATTCTGGCACTGCTGGGGAACTTTGCAAACAGTATCTCCTGTCATCTGCAGGATACCCTATGAGTGTAGATTCTATTATTGCCTTTTGTTTATATATGAAAAAACTAAGGCTCGAAGAATTAAGTAATCAGCCTGAAGTTACACGATGGTAGAACTAAGAATAAGTCTTTCTGAACTTTTTCCTATGAAGACTCATTCTCTACCTTTCCTCCCACAGCCTATAAAGATGGAGAGAGAGAATTCTTTGTTGTGACTAATTAGCCATTATGACTTTCTTTTTTAGATGGTTCTCTTCTAATAGCCACAAAGGATAATAATTACTCTCAACTGTGATTTCAATCTTTAGGTATTGTCTTGACTACTATTCCTGGTTTCTGAAGAATGCAACATACATCTGTCAGAGGGTGAAAAGGATATTCCATTCACACAGTAAGTACACAGCCAGACTATTTTACAAAAAAATGTCTAGAACACTGCCTTAGCACAGGATCAGTAGGACGAGGTGTAACTCATCTAATGATCATGAATCCTAGACAAAAGACTAGAGTATTTCTGAGTCCCCTTGGCCTAACAGATTGGAAACAAAAAAAGTAGGAGTCAGCCCAGTAAAGCATTGTTTCTTTCGGTGTGCTCTTGGGCAAGCTTCTTCCCTTCTCTGAGTCTCCCTGTAAGCTCTAAAGACAAAGACAAATGAAACAGGAGATAATCACGATGTAAGCACTCAAATGCCTGAGCAGAACAAAGAGTGTACACATAATTCAAGAAAAAGAAGGCAGCCTGACCTGCTTCAAGTGGGAGGTAGGGTACCTCTGTCCTTGTCCTCAGGCATCCTCTGAGGCCAGACATCTTTGATTTAATTTTCACTCCTGCTGACAAAAATTGCTGATGTAGTTTGTTCCCAAAAGCAACAGTTTGGCCATTTTATTGTTCCATCTTCCTGAACTGTCTGGCCAAGGAAATATGGCTTTCTAAAAATCGTGGAACCAAGTTGAACTCTGAAAAACCCCTTTGAAATGTAACTCAAATATAAGCTGAGTGGTCATATGGCCGTGCATTATATTACAACAGTCAAACAAAAAACAGTGCAGTCCTCCAGTCCTTCCTTGTGGCTTTTATTTAACTAATTAATTAATTTATATTCGGCTGTGCCGGGTCTTCATTGCTGTGCGGGCTCTTCCCTAGTTGCAGAGAGCAGGGCTGCTCTCTAGGTGCGCAGGCTCCTCATTGCGGTGGCTTCTCTTGTGGATCCCGGGCTCTAGGGCACGCGGGCTTCTGCAGTTGTGGTTCTCGGGTTCTAAGAACACAGGCTCAATAGCTGCTGCACACGGGCTTAGTTGCTCTGTGGCACATGGAATCCTCCAGGACCAGGGATCGAACTCGTGTCTCCTGCATTGCCAGGGGATTCTTTACCACTGAGCCGCCAGGGAAGCCTGGAAAGCGGAGTCTTGACCACTGGACCACCAGGGAAGTCCTTGCACGAGCTCCTTCATTCTCTGACGTTGACTCTGAGCGACACCCTGTCCAGTGCACTGCCGCACCCCTCTAGGAGGAGCCTGAGCCAGAATTTATTTCTCTGTAGCATTCCCTTCTCTCTCTCCTTTTTTTTTCTAGCCTTAAAACAAAAGTGCCTTGAGAACATCTGCAAGTCTGTTTGAGTCTTGAAAAAACAACGGGGCCTCGCAACACCCTGGGCGACCTCTGTTCACCCTGGCCCCTGGCCCATGTTGGCAGCATTTGCAGAATTCACCCAGGCTCCAGCTCCAGATCATCAATTAATTGAATGTGGGTCTTTTTGGAAGCAGCATCTCTTTCTCTCCTGTGTAATGTATTGAAGGTAGAAGAGCATGTATTAGAGCTCTCATAGTCAGGGAAGTGATGCCAGCTTCCTTGCCTGCCCTAGCAGCAGTGCTCAAGGGGCTCCCACGATGGCTGAAACTGAAGAGATGGCATGCAGGGTGTGATGCCAGCATGAACAAACCAGCCCAGGCACTGAGGCTCTCGGTGCCCAAAGTGACTTAAACTTGGGCCTTCAGGAAGACGACACAAGCATAGATGAGGAAGACTGAACCCATCCTCCGGACAGAGTCACATATGATTTCTCTGCGCTGTTTATCCAGACAATTCAATCAGACACTGTTCTATGAATCCTCCAAGCCCCCTAAGTAGGAGGTGATGAGAACCTTCCCTCAGGAGGAGCTGGAAAGAGTTGTTTTGTGGATGTCTTGTCTTGATTTCTCTCATGTGCATCCCCAAGGCCACTCTCAGACTTGACGGTAGACTAATGGGACTCATAGAAGTCAGAAAAGCTATTATAGTCACCTCTCCCACTGATGACAGCGAAAAGAGATTAAGGTCGGCAAAGGGAAGACGTACAGAGGGCAGAGTCCAGGCACAAGCTTCCGGCTCTCCTCTCCAAGTGCAGTCACACAGCACTGGATTCTTCCACCAGTCATGTATGGCACCGTGCATGGAATCTTGTCAACCAGGAAACTCACCCCAGCCATGCAGTCCAGGGTTTTTACTGCGGTAACAGTCATGTGGGGACATGAGGAGCCCATATGACTGAGCTTAGGTGCTCAGGCACCATCTCCTCCAGGGGTCAGGCCAACACTGTGTGACCCAACGCCCCCGCGATAAATCACCTTGTTAGCTCAGACTACCTGGCATGATCCAAAGTCCCAGGTATAAAATGATACTCTTTTTAAAATCTTTTCAATTTTGTATTTGGGATATAGATGATCAACAATGTTGAGATAGTTTCAGGGGGACAGCAAAGGGACTCAGCCATACATACACATGTATCCACTCTCCCCCAAACTCCCCTCCCATCCAGGCTGCCACATAACATAGACCAGAATTCTCTGTGCTACGCAATAGGTCCTTGTTGGTCATCCATTTTAAATATAGCAGTGTGTACGTGTCGATTCCAAACTCCCTGACTATCCATTCCCCCCATCTCCCCACCTGGTAACCACGAATTTGTTCTCTTAGTCTGTGAGTCCATTTGGAATATTACTCAGCCATTAAAAAGAAAGAGATAATGTCATCTGCAGCAACATGGATGGACCAGAGATTCATATGGAGTGAAGTAAGTGAGACAGAGAAGGAGAAATATTGTATGACATCCTTTATAAGCAGCATCTAAAAAGAAATGATACAAATATACAAAGATACTCTTATCAGGTGGTATATTTCAAAGGTTTAGAGGCTGTCTATTCAAGGACCAGACTTTTCTTTGGAAGATGCTTGGTTTGCATGCCCTCCTGCATCAACCCTCTACTGCATACTCACACAATGAATCATCTCTCTCTTTGGATCAGGTCCCCGTATACAATTTCCATGTCCATTATCCCAGTAAATGTCAAGTGTTTCTGCAGAACGTTACTAAGCTCTCTCCAGTGGCCTTGCTGGACCCCTCCATTCCTCACTGTGAAGACAGCTTCCCTCACCCGTTCACCCTGGAGGCTGCTGACCACGAGTTCTCCCTTCTTTATGATCTATGCCCAACCTTCAGTGAGAAGTCACTTTTCATGTAGCATCCAAGTGGAGACAGTTCTCCCCTATCTGAAGACCCTCGAGTACCCTTGCACGACCAGTGAAGAGTAGGTTCTTTAGGGATAAAAGCAGACAGATGCTTTCCTGTCTGGACAGACACAGGAAGTTTTATTTTTAATCCTCAGGACACTTGAGGGATCCTCAAAGTCATTCAGATGTCAAACTCAGAAATGGCCTGGTCAGGACCTCTGGAGCCTAAAAGGGCCCCTTGTTTGCAAGGCTGATGAAGATGCAGTAAATGTGCTAAAACAAAGGAACACGTGACTGGATAGGAATTTAAAAAAACAACCAAACACAGCACCACTCATTCTGTGGGTGAGTCTGATCTGCTCCTCTCTGGTGGATCAAGCTGATTTTAATTAGGGACCTTTGACAAGAAAGGATCCTTGAGGTTCTCTACAGAGTTATTTACCATCAGGGAAAGGACCTGGACCAGAGGGCAAGGAGGGGCCAGGATGTCAGACACCATCCTGCCTCTGCCTCCCGCACAACCCCCAGGAGAGGAGGGTGAGGATGCCTGGGAATCCGAGTGGCTCGGTTCCTTCTCCCCTCACACCCCCGGCTGTATCGTGCCCACAAACAGAACTGCGGGACAGGCTCCTCAGGGGGAGGGGCATTGCGGAGGACTGTCCAGCTCTGTTTCCCGGACCTTCTTCCAGGACCTGGGAGGATGCCTTCTGAGAGGACATGAGCGGGTCCTCTGCCCACCCACCCCCTTCACCAGCGTGCGCCTCTCTTCCCTAAAGAGACTTTGCAGTGAAACAGCACATGAGTCAGTAAAGTATGATGTAAGAACCGAAAGAAAAAATAAGAGGATGGAGCAATGAATGACTTCTTCCCCACACCTGGGCTATCTGCTTGTGGGGAAAATCCGTGTGGAACCCATTACCCCAACCTTGAGGGTTAGTGACCACACTTGACCTCAACTCTTAAAAGTCCAAGCGTGGGGCACCTCTGAGGCCCATGCAGAGGGACAAAGCTCGGAGGACTAGTTAGCTAGGGTCACACCTTCTCACAACAGCAACCGCAGCCGGAGGTAAAGGGGGCCCAAGGGACTCTGACCAGAACCTAGAGTCCACGGTCTCCTGGAGGTTAAGGGGAGGGTCAGCCTCTCCCCGGCTGAATAAGCCCAGATGTGGGGGGTGCTTAGGGCAATGGGGGAGCCTGGGGCGGGGGGGGAACTTCCATACTGACTGGCTTGTGCATGTGCAGCTACCAGAGGTTTGAAAGTGAAAGTCGCTCAGTCGTGTCTGACTGTTTGCAACCCCATGGGCTATACAGTCTATGGAATTCTCCAGGCCAGAATACTGGAGTGGGTAGCCTTTTCCTTCTCCAGGGGATCGTCCCAACTCAAGGATGGAACCTAGGTCTCCCGTGTTGCTGGTGGATTCTTTACCAGCTGAGCCACAAGAGGAGCCCAAGAATACTGGTGCAGGTAGACTATCTCTTCTCCAGTGGATCTTCCCAACCCAGGAATCTAACCGGGGGCTCCTGCATGGCAGGCGGGTTCTTTACCAACTGAGCGCTCAGGGAAACCAGTGGTTTACTGATGAGATAAAGGGCTGGAACAGTTACTGAAGGAGGTGGTGAAGCTACACAAGGAATATTGCTAACCAGGATTCTTTTTTTTAGTACATTAAATTTACTCATAAAAACATTCTAAAAATGTTTTCCCTTTTTTAAAGAACTATAATATTTAAAAAAATCCCAAAACAGAATACCTGACATATAAAATTCAAAATCAAATTAGCAGAATATTAAAAATTTACAAAAGGGCATTTTTTAAAAAAATATTTATAAAGTTGCATGCAATTATGTAGAATTCACATTTTTAAAATGGTTCAAAAATGGAAGAATCTTCCTTCATTCCTGAAAAGAAAATACCTCCAAGAGAAGCTGTGAAAAGGCAAAGCACAAGTACATTTCCATGTATTCCACTCATGCCTGAAAGACTAGCAACAGAAAAAAAGAAAGGGGGAGGAAGGGGGATGAGTTTCCCTGGAGGTTCAGTGGTAAAGAACCTGCCTGCCAATGCAAGAGACACGGGGCTTGGTCCCTGGGTTGGGAAGATGCCCTGGGGAAGGAAAAGGCAACCCACTCCCAGTATTCTTGCCTGGAGAACCCCATGGACAGAGGAGCCTGGCAGGCTACAGTCCATGATGTTGCAGAGTCAGACAGGACTGAGCAACTAAACAACAAAAACAACAAGGAGAGGGCGAGAGGAGTGTGTGTGCACGTGGCTTAGTCCACCAATTTCTGAACAGGTGCCCTCTACTGGGGGCTCATGTGAGTGAGGAAATTGGGTTCTATATTAATCTTTAAGCTCCCATTCACTTCAGTTCAGTCGCTTAGTCGTGTCCAACTCTTTGCAATCCCATGAACTGCAGCACATCAGGTTTCCCTGCCCTTCACCAACTCCCAGAGCTTGCTCAAACTCTTGTCCATCGAGTTGGTGAAGACATCCAACCATCTCATCCTTTGTCTTCCTCTTTTCCTCCCGCCTTGAATCTTTCCCCGCGTCAGGGTCTTTTCAAATGAGTCAGCCCTTTACATCAGGTGGCCAAAGTATTAGAGTTTCAGCTTCAACATCAGTCCTTCCAATGAATATTCGGAACTGATTTCCATTAGGATGGACCAGTTGGATCTCCTTGCAGTCCAAGGGACTCTCAAGAGTCTTCTCCAACACCAAAGTTCAAAAGCATCAGTTCTTTGGCACTCAGCTTTCTTTATAGTCCAACTCTCACATCCATACATGACTACTGGAAAAACCATAGCTTTGAGTAGATGGACCTTTGTTGGCAAAGTAATGTCTCTGCTTCTTAATATGCTGTCTAGGTTGGTCATAGCTTTTCTTCCAAGGAGCAAGCATCTTTTAATTTCATGGCTGCAATCACCATCTGCAGTGATTTTGGAGCCCAGAAAAATAAAGTCAGCCACTGTTTCCCCATCTATTTCCCATGAAGTGATGGGACCAGATGCCATGATCTTAGTTTTCTGAATGTTGAGTCTTAAGCCAACTTCTTCACTCTTCTTTCACTTTCATCAAGAGGCTCTTTAGTTCTTCTTCATTTTCTGCCATAAGGGTGGTGTCATCTGCATATCTGAGGTTATTGATACTTCTCCCATCAATCTTAATTCCAGCTTGTGCTTCATCCAGCCTGGCATTTCACATGATGTCTTCTGCATGTAAGTTATATAAGCAGAGTGACAATATACAGCCTTGATGTACTCTTTTCCCAATTTGGAACCAGTTTGTTGTTCCATGTCCAGTTCTACTGTTGCTTCCTGACCTGCATACAGATTTCTCAAGAGGCAGGCAGGTCAGATGGTCTAGTATTCCCATCTCTTGAAGAACTTTCCACGGTTTGTTGTGATCCACACAGTCAAAGGCTTTAGTGTAGTTGATAAAGCAAAATAGATGTTTTTTTTGGAACTCTCTTGCTTTTTCAATGATCCAAAGGATGTTGGCAATTTGATCTCTGCTTCCTCTCCTTTTTCTAAGTCCAGCTTGAACATCTGGAAGTTCACAGTTCACATACTGTTGAAGTCTGTCTTGGAGAATTTTGAGCATTACTTTGCTAGCTTGTGAGGTGAGTGCAGTTGTGTGGTAGTTGAACATTCTTTGGCATTGCCTTTCTTTCTCCCATACAATAACCTTTTCGCTCTTATGCTTGAGTTCTTGTGAAAACTGCTTCTCACTCTTTTCCACCAACAGAGAAGGGAAAGGCCAAGCATCCAGGGAAATTGTAGGTCAGTGAACCTTAATCGGGGTGATTTGGACCCCCAGGGAGATTTGTTTGGCAATGTCTAGAGACATTTTTGTTTGTCACAACTTGGGGAGGGGGACTGCTACTGGTATCTCATAGGTAGAGGCTCAGGGATGCAAGCAAGACGCCGTATGATGCACAGAACACCCACACAACAGGAAATCATTTGATCCAAAATATCCATAGTGCTAAGATTGAGATACCCTGTTATTGGCTATGGGAAGAAAATGAGCTTCTCAAATCCCAAGAAATGTCCAGAACAACACATCTATGCTGACTGTCATTATGCCTTGGCCCTAAGCAGCGGTTATGCTCTGGAGATGCTGAAAAGATGAATTTTCGCCACATTGATCCATTGACTCCCATTGTCTTATTCAAGAAGGCGTGTCTTCTCTGCTAGTAAGAAAGGATGGGCACCATGTAGCTTCGTTCCTCTGTGCACATGAGGCACTGAGCAATAATTAACAATCTATAAAGAAAAGCTTCAAGGCAAAAGGACAACTGGTTATGTGAAGAAACCCTTCAGTGGGTTTTGTAAAGGCTCAGTTCTTCCCAGATTTGACTGTTGGAAGGGCCCTGGTTCTCCAGAAAGCAGTGATGGAGAGAACAGCTCACAGGGTTCACAACCAGTCTCACCTGGACGCCAGGAATGATCTCATCACACTTGAACTCAGACTAATCCGTCAAACCTCACCGTTCACTGTTCATCTCATCTGTAAAATGAAGCTACTGCTGCATCCCACTGCTACTGGGTTGAAAAAGACAAAATCCTGTAAAAAATACTTGTGGTATGTAATAGGTGCTCAGTAAATGTTATTGCTCCTTGTTAAATCTGAAAGGGAAACAATTCCCAGCGGGGCTATGAAGCAAAGAGGAGGAACTCGGATGTAATGGGCTCTGCTACCATCCACTCACTGTACCTGGCTCACCTCATCCTCACCGTTCTGGTAGGATTACTCCCCATGGATACAGAGCCAAGGCTGAGCAGTAACAAGCTCCATGCCCCACTCTGAATGAGTAAGCAGAGAGGGCAGGGAACCTAGGACGTTTGATTATGAAGTCTCATCTTGCCCTACCCCACCGCTTGCGCAGAAAACCCCTAAAGGTATCAAATTCCCAGGCCCGAGGCCAGAAACATATAAGAAGAATCACGGCAAAGATCCTCTCACTGGGAAATTAACTAGAGCAGACAAAGCCGGCCCTTCTGAAGGAGGGCCCCTGTGAGTTTCATCAGAGCTCTCCTGATGACCCCAAGACATAATCTCTGGGCCTCCAAGCCTTTGAGGTGAGCTGGGGGGCATGGAATAGTGGAGCCATTGTTCTCTAATTATAGCCTGGGTCTCCTGTGAGGCTCAGGGTGGGCCCCTTAATATGGGGCCTTCACCTGCTCTAAGTCAGAGCATTATAATTCCTCCTCCCCCCACAGAGGCAGCCCACCTGCCAGGTTCATGAAAGGTTGTCCTCTTGATGCGATGAGGGGGAGGAGGGTCACATGACGAAGGGTCTTTCCCTGGTGTATAAAGGACTCAGTCCCCATCCTGTTCAAAGCCAGGCATCATTCATTCAACGGCTTTCCAGTGGGACCTTCACGGTAGGCAGCCCCTTCTCCTGATGGTGTAGTGGAGGGGGGCGAGGGAGGTAGGGAGGGATGGGGGAAGAGGGTTAGGGATGGAAGAAGAGAGGGAAGGATGTAAGGGAGGGAGGAGGTAAGGATGAAGAGAGGGAGGAGCGAGATGCTCTCAAGGGCTGTCTGAGACCTGAGACCTGGATGCTACTCCAAGATGTAGGTAGCAACTCCAAGGCACCCTGAACCCTTGTACAAAGAGATGCAATGCCAGAGAACAACATCTGGTGAATTCACCTGGGGGGAAAATTCAGCACAACATATCGGTGTTACAGTTACAGTTCAGTTAGAGTTCAGTTGCTCAGTCGGGTCCAACTCTTTGCGACCCCATGGACTGTAGCACACCAGGCCTTCCTGTCCATCACCAACTCCTGGAGTTTACTTAGACTCATGTCCATTGACTCGGTGATGCCATCCAACCATCTTATCCTCTGTCATTCCCGTCTCCTCCGGCCTTCAATCTTTCCCAGCATTAGGATCTTTTCAAATGAGCTCTTCGCATCAGGTGGCCAAAGTATTGGAGTTTCAGCTTCAGCATCAGACCTTCCAATGAATATTCAGGCCTGATTTCCTTTAGGATGGACTGGTTGGATCTCCTTGCAGTCTAAGGGACTCTCAAGAGTCTTCTCCAACACCATCGGTGAGAGTCCAACAAATCTGTGTGGGCCAGTGTCCCTCCCTAGGGCAGCTGATGTGGAAATATAATAGGCATTAATCCCAGGCCAGCCTTACTGAGCACCCAGTTCGTGGCCAGGTATGTCCCTACTTGACAAGGGTGACTTCATTCAGTCCTAACCACGCCCTGAGGAAGGTGAACGAGCATCTTAACTGCCCAGGGAGACGAGCACCAGGCAGCTTCGGGGTCCGGCTGAGGGCACTCATGCAGGGAGAGGCAGAGCTGGAGCCCCGACCAGGCAGCCCCACCCCGGGTCTGTCCTGCTAGAAAGGCTTTGCTTTTAGACCATCCCAGAGGGGGTGGCGTTAGCCTGCAGGGGACCTTTTGGTGAGTCGGGCCTCCAGTGCATGCAGACCAACAGTCCCACAAGACAGTACTGCCCTGGGGTCACCGACAGCCCCAGAGGCTTTCTTGGGCAAATTAAGAAAAGGCAGTTCTCCTCCAGGTGAGTTCAGCCCACCCCCAAGGGCACCTGCCTCTGCCAGCCAAAGGAGGCTGGATTCCTGCAGCCGTCCTGAGCCGTCCCACCCGCAGATCCTAATGTGTGTGTCCCTGCTGCCCCCACATTTCAAGCCCCCTCCCCTTTGCTCAGGGCTGAGCGCGTGCTTTCACCTCTGGTCACACCATGGCCAGTTAGGGGCCGGCAGCTACAGTGTCACACCACACTCTGGCTAGTAGCTGCCACTCTGGGGGCCTCGCAAGCTACTATTGTCAAAAAGTTCAACAGTTATACGGTGAGCAACATGACGAGGCTGCTTATTGCAGTTTAGGGGAGAATACCTGGACCGAAGACTTCAGTCAAATTGGCTGACCTCAGTTTGATTCTTGCCTCTGGTGGGGCCTGCCGCCCCTGCAGGGGTGCCTTTTGGCAAAGGCGGCCCTGGCAAGTTCCCAGGCCTCTCTGAGACTTGGTTCCCCACCTAGAAAGTTCTAGCATTGGGATGTTTTAGCTCTCTGGAAATCTGACTTCCAAAGGAATGAGAGATGGATGCTTGACTTATACGCATTCTGCATGTCATGTTTTTAGGACTAAGTTTGAATGATAATACAGAGTGGTCATGCTCCGCCAGTGGCACACACAGGGCAGCCAAATACTGCTGCATGCATTGTGCACTGTGCAAAGGTGTTGTGTGTGCCCATGGGGCAAGTAGAGGCTGAAATGCAGCCAGGGCTCAACTCCCAAGCTTGCCCTCTGCAGGTCTGTGTTGATGGAGACCCAACATAAAAAATGACCCGGTCGATGAAAGGTAGCATTTAAAGGAATGAGGTGCTGGGGTTTATAACTTTGCTTTTAATCGTAGTAAAATATACATAATATAGAATTTACCATTTTAACCATTTTTAAGTGCATTCACATTGTTGTGCTAACATTACCGCCACCATCTCCAGAATTTTCATCTTCCCCAACAAAACTCTGTCCCATTAAATATCAACTCCCTGTTGCCCCAACCATAGCCTACTTTAAAAAATCTTAGAGCTGAGTCATGGTTATGTCTGTAATAAGGTCATTTCTGCTCATTTGCATTCTAATAAAATGTATGCTTGAAAATCCAATAAACATAGCTGCAGTGCCAATAAAGATCACCCTCCGCCTGTTCTCGAAGTGTCAGGACTAGTCAGGAGACTGTCTCCCTGAAATGAGCGTCACAGGAGAAGAAGAAAAACATCCACGGTGCTAAGCGGACCCCCTCCTGCATTTCACCAAACAAGTTTCTACTCCAACAGGGAATCGGAACCTTCATTGTGATAGCTATTTCTTGAGCCTTTACCGGTGCTGGACGCCATCATTGTAATTACTGATGATTTGGGGCCATTTCTCTCCATCAGGCACTTATAAGTGTCATGTATGGTCATGGATTAACTCACTCACTCAATCCTCACAATACCCCCTGAGTTATATTGTTAATATAATGAGCCCTGAATCTGGCAACTGGGGCATTCTTACCATAAACGGCCAGTCTCTTAAGTCTCACTGATCTCATCTGTAAAAAGAAAGTTTGGACTAGATGATTCCACCGCCTCTTCTGAGCTCAAATCTTTGGCATCCTCTCACTGGGTGATGGTAACAATTAAAAATCTGACTCAGTAAGTGCCTAGTAGTGTGACATCAACACCATCAGCCTTGGTCATGTGGGTGTGGCTTTATGGGTCCCAGAAATGCTTTTAGCTGCCACCCCGGAGCTCCCAGGGCATATCACTTTCTAGCAGAAGAGCCAGTGCAATCAGAGGGTCTGTCCAACCTTGAAAGTTAATCTATCATAAGAACTTAACTGGTCAAAAAAGACTGTAAGCAGAGAATTGTGTCTGACAGATAAGAAGGAGAATATTAGAGAATGCTTCAGTTGAGTGTGAATCTCATAGAACTCTCACCCTCTTCTTCTACATTCATTCAGCAAACATTTATCTCACAGCCAGCAGAGGCTGTGCTGGGGCTCCTGGAGCAAGTTCACAGAGTAGAGACCCTCTGGGATACAAATGTCTTCTCCTCTGGGACACCTTCCCCAATACCAAGGCCTGCCCACAAGTAGGGTGGCCCACCATGGCGCTAGGTACCTATGCCTGGCCACCGGGACACGGGGCAGGCTTTGCCTCTGGGAGAATAAATTGCAGAAAGTGCCCCTTCCTCCAGGTTGATGCAGCTCTGCAGAAGGCAAGCTTGGGAGTTGAGCACTGGCTGCATTTCAACCCCTCCTTATCCCATCAGCACACACAACACCTTGACACAGTGCATAATACGTACAACCATATTTAGCAACCCTGTGTGTGCCACTGGGGAGCATGACCACTCTGTATTATCATTCAAACTTTGTCCTAAAAACATGTTCTACAGGCGCTTGGACTCTGTGGGAGGAGGCAAGGGTGGGATGATTTGAGAGATTGGCACTGAAACATGTATATTACCATATGTGAAATAGATGAGCAGTCCCAAGTTCAATGCATGAAACAGGGCGCTCAAAGCCAGAGCACTGGGACAACCCAGAGGGGTGGGATGGGAGGGAAGTGGGAGGGTGGTTTGGGATGGGGGACACATGTTCACCTGTGGCTGATTCATTCAGTGTATGGCAAAAACCACCACAATATTGTAAAGTGATTAGCCATCAATTAAAATAGATAAATAAAAAACACGTTCTAGAGCAGAGTATGTATAAGTGACAATCCTTTGGGAGTTAGATTCCCAGGGAGCTAAAACCATCCTAAATCCCCCTGGCCTTTAAATTGTTCCTTCACTATTAAATAACAGTTGACCCACTTGAGTCATAGGCAGTGAGTGCCTACTGAAGTACAACATTTACTGCTCAGATCACAGGCAGCTACAGCTGAAATGTGGCAGTTTCCTGAGCCCAGCCATACTTTTCGCCATGAAGTATTCAAATGACTCAGAAGCCAAAGGGAGGAAAGAAGGAGCCGCTGCTGGAAAAGCACCGTTTGCTAAAGGGCAGTAGCACCGTGGCCGGATTTATCCTGTGATGTTGGTACGAAGCTTCAGAGTCAGCCTGCTGAAAAATATTCCATAATATCACTTACATGTGGAATCTTAAAAGATTATATAAATGAACTTATTTACAAAGCTGAAAAAGACCCACAGACAATAGAACAAGCTTGTGGTTACCAAAGGAGATTAGTGGGAGGAGATAAATTAGGAGCTTGGGATTAACAGACACACACTGCTATATATAAAATAGATAAACAACAACCTACTGTTTAGCACAGGGAACCATATTCAGTATCTTATAATAGCCTATAACGGAAAAGAATCTGAAAAAATATATATATATTATAAATCACTGAGTCATTTTGCTGTACACCCAGAACTAAAATAATATTGTAAACTACCTATACTTCAACTTAAAAAATTAAAAAACGAATACTGCTCAGAATGCTGCTGGGCCATAACACATGGGTTCCCCAAACCTCAGTTTATGAAAGTCAAACTATCGTGCTTGTTCAGTTGCCGCCTTCCCCCAAAGTCCATGAACCAGTCCAGGTAAGGTGCGCTTTCTTCACTTTGCCTTCCTGCATCCTTGCTACGTGCCTGACACACAGTAAATGACCGCCAATTTAGCGAATAAATAAATGAGAGCAGAACTATGTCCTCAGAAAGTGCACGGTGACATTTCCATTTTACAGATGGGTAAGCTGAGCTTCAGAGAGGGAATCTGATCCCTTTACTGCCATACCGTTGCAGACCAGGGCTCTTCGCCTTGCCCAGTCAATAGAAATTGAACAGAGGCTAAACAAGAAGCTCAGGCAAGGCTTTGCTGGGGGCTCTGCGGTGGCAGGGGAGAGCGAAAACAAACAACAGTTTCCCTTGCTTGCGGGCTCCCGGAGGGGTGAATGAGTTTGTTCCTTGCATGGGGTGAGGGTAGACGTATGTCCAGGGGTCGGGCCAAAGGGGTGGCTTAGGTGGTTTGCCCACCCCTTTAGGTGTGTGTGTGTGTGTGTGTGTGTGTGTGTGTGTGTGTGTGTGTGTGTGTAGTGGGCATGCCCAGTACCCTGTATTTGCTCCCGACACACTCATTTTACTCCAGGCTCTTCAAAACTGGCAGTTGGGGTTTTTGGTCTATTTGTGTCTTTTGGGTCCAGCATCTGCTCCAACTGAGCATGCACACAGTTATTTTTAGTCTCTTACGGTTTCTTTGTATCAATATTCTGTTGTTCCAGGAGAGGTGTGTCCAGGTGCCAGCATTGCAGCATTGCAGGAAAGAGTCCCAGGCCCCAGCCTGTCTCATTACTGTTAGTTAAGCCGCTTGCAAGGCTGGGAAAGAATCACTTTCAGGCCTTTCTCCCTTTCCTACACTGCATTTTAGGACAAACGGCTCCTGTGGGGTCTCGTGTCCTGCTTTCTGAAAGCATATTCACCGCGCCCCGCTGACTTCTCCCCCAGGACGCTCCTGTTGGTGCCAAGGTCCTTCCCTTTGGTCTGCCGCCATGATTGTGCTTCTCCTCCTAGGAATGCTGATGGCCCCACATGGCGGTGAGTAATGGTATTTGACTGTACTTCTGGCTTCGTATATATTTACTATGAACACTGGGGCTTCCTAGGTGGCGCTAGTGGTAAGGAATGCCCCTGCCAATGCAAGAGAGGCGAAAGAACGCGTGTTCGATCCCTGGATTGGAAATATCCCCTGGAGAAGGAAATGGCAACTCATTCCGGTGTTCTGGTCTGGGAAATCCCATGGGCCGAGGAGCCTGCTGGGCTAGAGTCCACGGGGTTGCAAAGGCTGGGACAGGACTGAGCAAACACACACACATGAACACTGGGCCATCTTGTCAAATTCCATTTGATTTACTTATGAGTATTTTTATCCCCTTGCCTAGTGAGTGATAGAAATCAAACATTATTGATAAGCTTGAGGGTTAATCCATATCTTGAGTATGGACGTGGGGGCTGGGCGTTGAGGTGGGCACCAAGTGAAGGGCAAGGGGGCCAGTGAGCGAGGGCCTCTCTGCCCAACAGTAAATCTCCCCCGCGGTTCACAGCCACCGTCCTTTGCTTTGCTGATTCCCTTCTAGTGTGATGGCCTCTTTAACCCGCAGTCGCTCTGTTGCCCCTTCAGACTAGACTGACTGGTTTGATCTCCTTGCAGTCCAACGGACTCTCAAGAGTACATTCAAATCCTAAAGTCATCTAAGTAAGCTCCTTGCTATGAAGAACCTAGACAGTGTATTAAAAAGCAGAGATATCACATTGCCAACAAAGGTCCATATAGTTAAAGCTATGGTTTTCCAGTAATCACATACAGATGTGAGAGTTGGACCATAAAGAAGGTTGAGCACTGAAGAATTGGTGCTTTTGAACTGTGGTGCTAGAGAAGACTCTTGAGAGTCCCTTGGACAGCAAGGAGATCAAACCTGTCAATTCTAAAGGAAATCAACCCTGAATATTCATTGGAAAGACTGATGCTGAAGCTCCAGTACTTTGGCCACCTGATGTGAAGAGTGGACTCATTAGAAAAGACCCTGATGCTGGGAAAGATTGAAGGCAGGAGGAGAAGGGGACGACAGAGGGTGAGATGACTGGATAGCATCATCAACTCAATAGACATAAATCTGAGCAAACTCGGGAGATAGTGAAGGACAGAGGAGCCTGGTGTGCTGCAGTCCATGAGGTCACAAGGAATCGGACACAGCTTAGTGACTGAACAACAACAGATGTCTTCCACCCTATCGTCATCTTCTCCCCAAGCAACATTTATCAAAGTGCAGCTTCTAGACCAGCAACGGTCAAACCAGCTGGGAAGCTTGTTAAAAATATCTATTTCTGATACTAACTCTGGGGTAAGACTGCTGGATCAGACCTGAGTGAGGGCATAAGGACCATAATTTTTTATGAGCTTACATCCCAGATGGATGCTGATAGTCTGGAGAAAACCCCTGTCCTCAATTACAAACTACATGGGGCTTGGGGTCTTTTCTGTATCTGTTTTTATTTCCATCAATCCTTCATCTCAAAAAACTACAAACAAAGATGCCATATAAGTTTAAATTGTATGCTTCATATGCAGCAACAGCTTCAAGATAAGTCTCAAAATCTCTCCACCCCAAAGCAGAAGACTACTCCCTTAAGACCAACCAATATAAAACACTGGGCCACGCTGGTCACTCCAGCTACTAGAAAAATATGTGTAGAATTCAACTAACCTGCATCTTCATTGCTATCCTGGCTGCTACCTCCCAGTCCTACCCAGCACGTGGGCAGTGCCTGTGTTTGTACTAACCTTGTTCTTCTCCTCGTTTATAGGGGGCCACCCTCTTGACACCCCACACCTTCCAAATAAGCTGCCTCTGGGACTTTCAGAAAATATCAGTAAGGATCCTTTGCTTTTTTCGTAGGAGAACTAGCTGGGTAGCAAGCCATCTAGGATATTGGCATGGAGACTGATCCCTTCTGAATATACCCTAGAGTAGCTTAGTGCTATGGCATTTGATGGTACAGTGATTTGACTAAGACTCCAAAGCGTCTCCCTCACAGTTTATTCTGGCGTCTGAGCCACCATCGGGTTCTCCTTTGAGACAAAGCACTAAAAACTCTTATCAAAAGAGATGGGTCAGCTGGAAGGGGAAACCAGGAGAAGGAAGTAAATGGGCTAATCAATCAGGGTTACACAGTAATTGTATTGAAAGGCAGGACAAAAAGAAAAAGGTGATGCATTGCAGGGCTCAGGTTATCAGAAAAGGGAATCTGTAATTGTTCCTTGGAGAAGGGAACGTTTTCCTGGTGCTGGACTGTAAAGAGTTCTCAGGTGGGTTTTTATACAGGCATTGCTGAAGAATAGAGTACATAGTGAATTAGCTGGTGAGGTTTACCCTGAGCTAAGGGTTCGTTTCTGACCTTTCAGAGAGGTAAGTGTAGCCAACCAAGTCATTTGTGCATGAGCCCGTGCAAGCTAAGTGACCAGTCCCGTCCAGACACACGTCCGTGGCCTCCCCCCAAATGGCACAACCCCCTTGGGACGTGCAAGGCCCGGGAGCACATCTTCTTCCGGTAGACGTTTAGACTCACAAGCCACCCTTGGTTTTTGGAAGGATCAAGGCCAGGAAGCACAGTGTGCTAGCAGGCCATGCCAGCCACTCTTCTTTAACAGGAGAAGCCCTGGCATCAGTCTACACAGCAGTCCAGGTGCTCCTAAGTAACAGCGCAGATACAAGGGGCTCACCTGGAGCAGCCCCAGACCTGCTTTAACCTTGAAGCTGCATTCTCCATAGACATCAATATACCTAGTAACCAGCTCATAAGTATAACTTCTAAAATGCCCAGAAGGGATGCTACCCAATTTCAAAAGTCGTCACATTGATGGAGATCCAAAATGATGACTTCCTGCCGAGTGTTTATAGTTCAGTCATAGTTTCTACCAGTCCAGACAGACCTCACCATCCAGGGGTCTTTTTCACCACTGAGCATTGTTGTGAAGGGCTGACTTGGAATTGGAAGTCTTTTCCATCATTGGAAAAGACCCAGACATTGGGAAAGATTGGAGGCAGGAGAAGGGGACAACAGAGGATGAGGTGGTTGGATGGCATCACTGACTCAATGGACATGAATTTGAGAAACTCCAGGAGATGGTGAAGGACAGGGAAGCCTGGCATGCTGCTGTCCATGGGGTCACAAAGAGTCAGACATGACTGAGCGATTGAACAACAACACAGTTCAATTTTTATCTTATCAGGCTTCCATGGTAACCTGTGTTACTAGAAAGTTAGCCCAAGGTCAAATCTATCCTTAGAGAAGTTTTACTCACTCTTCCCGAAGGGGGTGGACAGAGAAAGGAAAGGAGAGAACCCAGCTCTAACGTATTATCTCTTCCTTCCACTTAGGTATGACTTTCTTCAATGGGATGTTTAAAAATGTGGAAGGTGTGGCTGAAATTTTTGGTGAGTTAAATATGAACTTGCTTTTATCCCCTGGCTGTTAGGGCATGGCGGGCGGGGGGGAGGATCTAGGGAAATCAAGAGGACTCGGGGGTCTGCCCTCTGAGCTCCCATGGCCTCCCCTGCCAGCTCTGAACAATGTGATCAGACCCTGATGAGAAGAGTGGCGCCTTTTACTGTAGGGTGAGTCACTGAGGGACCAGGTGGTTTCACTGTCCTGCCTTCATCTTACTGAGCACAGCCTGGTCAGGAGGGGATTGGCATCCCTCTTTTCCAGGCAAAGGAGTTAGGAGAATTGCCCGAAGCCACACAGTCAGAAGGGACAAGCTCTTCTCTGAGTCCAGAGCTTGGTCCTCTTACACCGAAGTAGTTTTATGTTTCTTTCTTAACTAGTAAATATGCATAAAGTTTGAGAAACATTCCATGGATCAGTTATATATCTATTACGTGACTACCAATTGCATGATGCTGTGGATGCTGTGATGATTCCTAGCCCTGATAACTAAAAGTACCCAAAACAAGATTATAATATGATGGACACAAGCAAGGTGGCTCTGCATTGCCTATTAGGCTATGCTAGGTTTAAAAGTGCCCTTACAATGTATAAATGACTAAGTGCAGGTCTTGAATGAATATGCATGTTTCCATAACACACACATAAACCCTAGATGGACTTTTCCCATCAACATAGAACCTTTTATCATGCTTCTGATTAGACTGTGTGGAAACAAAACATGGGTAGGGAAGTTTGAATGAGGTAGGGAGAAACTAGCAGAGCAGTGAACAGTCAAGGTGGATGTGATCCTCACAACTTTGGATCTCCCCAAAAGAAAGCTGAGGACCAAAGAATTGATGCTTTTGAACTGTGGTGTTGGAGAAGACTCTTGAGAGTCCCTTGGACTGCAAGGAGATCCACCCAGTCCATCCTAAAGGAAATCAGCCCTGAATATTCAGTGGAAGGACTGATGCTGGAGCTGAAACTCTAACACTTTGGCCACCTGATGTGAAAAACTGACTCATTGGAAAAGACCTCACCATCCAGGGGTCTTTTTCACCACCGAGCATTGTTGTGAAGGGCTGACTTGGAATTGGAAGCCTTTTCCATCACTGGAAAAGACCCTGATGCTGGGAAAGATTGAAGGGAGGAGGAGAAGGGGATGACAGAGGATGAGATGGTTGGATGGCATCACTGACTCGATGGACATGAGTTTGAGTAGGCTCCGGGAGTTGGTGATGGACAGGGAGGCTTGGCATGCTGCAGTCCACGGGGTTGCAAAGAGTCAGACATGACTGAGTGACTGAACTGAACTGAAGCTCTTTTTGATCACCCTGTGCATTTGAATCGGTACTATAGGATCATCTCATTAAGTATCTAATGATCCTCCAGGCAGAGAGGGTGAGCACGAGATGTAGAATCATAAAGCTGGATGCTGTTTGCTTGCCAGTTACATTTGCAAGAGCATTTTGTTTAGGGCAAGTCATCATCACTTGTGGATACCTCAGGCATGTCTCTGACCTTTGATTTTTTTAACCTGTGATAGAATAGGATCTGTCTATCAGAATGAACAAGACATTTATGGGATCATTGACTATGAAAGCTTTTCATAGCATTACTCTCTATCAATTGTAACTATTGTGCTATTTAAAGCATCTAACTGTTTTTGGTACATAACAGGTTACCCCAGATTATTAGTGTCTATACTACTTTTTTCTCTTGGGCTGATTTATAGTTCTTTATTGCCAGGACTGTATCATTTGGGATCCATTCAGGAAACTAATAGAGGCTTAAATAATAGAGACATTTAATGATCTCACATAAGCCATCTGAAAGCCCAAGGACTTGAGCTACTGTGATGCAGTAGCTCAGCACAGGCCTCTGAGACCCAGCAGCTCGTTTTATCTTGCCCCACCGCTCCCTTGGACATAGTTTTTCAGCTTTAGATATGGGGCCTCATGGTTGCAAAGTGGTTGCTGCAGTTCAGGCCAGCATAGCCTCACCACATTGAAGGAAGAAGAAAATTGGAGGTCAGAAAGGCCATTTTCTATGTCTTTGTGTTTTATTAGGGAAGGAATATTTCTCCAAAGCTTCTAACAGATGACCCCTGAAGTTTCTTGGGTCATACCTGGTTTTCATGGTCAGCCCTAGACTAACCTTATCACAGAAGCATGGGATTACCATGATGAGCTGAGAATAATTATTAAACATCCCTAGGGACTTTGGAAGGAGGCTCACCTTCCTTGAGTACTTTTCAGTTTTGTTGGTAAGGCAGAAGGATGAATGGCTGTGGGGGGCAACCAACAGGGACTGCAGCTTGTAAACCCGCCTCCCTTCAATTATCTAGAAGTCCTGAGTATGCAGTGGGTGCTTAGTAGGTGAGGAGGTACTATCCCCCTGAGAAGGGGGCTCCCTCCTCAACTCTGGCTCCCGGTGCGCCCGGCTCCCCTCCCTCAGACTGCCTGGGCTCCCACTTCACCTGGCTGCAGGCCGTCTTCACCAACTTCCCCGCGCTGCTCCAGTTCGTGAATGGTATGAGGTGCGTGGCTGGGCTCTGCCCCAGGGACTTCGAAGACTACGGCTGTGCCTGCAGGTTTGAGATGGAAGGGCTGCCTGTGGACCAGTCTGACAGGTGAGCAAGACCAAAGGTGAGCTCGTGGAGGCCCAGCTGAGTCTTGGGCAGAACACAGGTGCAGAAGGCTCCCTGGTCCGTGGTTCTGTGTGCAGGTGTATATGGGCCTGTGCAATACAATTTAAAATCTTAGACGCATTCAGTGTTAGCAGGGATACTGCAAATAGCTACTGGTAGCAGGAGGGTCAGTTAGGACAGTGCGGTGGTATCTGCTAGAGTTTGGGGGCTTCCTTGATGGCTCAGCGGTGAAGAATCTGCCGGCAGTGCAGGAGCCTCACGAGGCTTGGGTTTGATCCCTGGGTTGGGAAGATGCCCTGGAGCAGGAAATGGTAACTCACTCCAGTATTCTTGCTTGAAAACCCCAAGGGCAGAGGAGCCTTGTGGGCTACAGTCCGTGGGGTCACAAAGAGTCGGACACGACTGAGTGACTGAGGCTGCTCGCACGTTAGAGTTTTAAGCAGATCACCTATAACCCAGTAATTCCCATTCTCTGTCCCTTACGGACCTGACCTTGGGCAAGTTATTTTACTTCTTTGTGTTCCAGTTTGTTTATCTATTAAATGGAGGTAATAAAAACACCTACCTCACAGAGTTATTATTTAGGATTACACGACCAAATACAAGTTAATGTGATGGAATTCTGCCTGACTTATTGTTTTCAAGGGTATTAGTGACTGATAACAACAGTAACAATATTAGCAGTGCTGTGTCAGTAGTGATGCCAGTAGCAGCAATAGTAACGATAGTAGTAGTAACGGTTGTCATAGTAGCTGCAGGAGTATTAATAGTAACGGCAGTGATAGCAACAGAAGCAGTACTAGTAAGCCTGTGACGGTGTTGGTGTTAGTAGTAGTGAAAGTAGCTGTAGTGGCTGTAGTAATAATCATAGTAGTAGCAATAACGGCAGTACTAATAGAACTGCAGTTAGGGTTTGGGTCTGGGTTAGTAATAGTAGTAGTAGCAGAGGTGTTGGTAGTAGCAGTTACAGTAGTAAGAGAAGCACTAGTAGAAGTGCTACTAGTAGTAGTTACGTTGCAGCAGTAACTGGAACCATGGTGACTGCAGCAGTGTGGAAGTAGGAAACAGAACCCATGTCTCACTGCTACTCTGGGGCCATGTCCACACCTCACTGGTATTAGGCTTGCATGCTAAATCACTTCAGTCGTGTCCGACTCTTTGTGACCCTTTGGACTGTAGCCTGACAGGCTTCTCCGTCCATGGGATTCTCCAGGCAAAAATACTGGCTTGGGTTGCCATGCCCTCCTCTAAGGGATCTTCCCAACCCAGGGATCGAGCCCAGGTCTCTTATGTCTCCTCCACTAGCAGGTGGGTTCTTTACCACCGGTGCCACCTGGGAAGCCCCACTGGTACTACATTTGTCCCCCAACCCAGTGTGATGGAGTGTGTGCCTTCATCCACACAGACTCCCAGAAGATAAGGAAGGATTCCCATTGGTGTAAGTTGTTTCTGGACCAGAGGGTAGTCTTTCATCCCTGGGACCATAAGCCAGCTCACTGACATTCAGAAAGGGAGAAACTGATTCCATTCGGGGCATGGTGCCAGGACCATTTCTGGGAACGTGTTTTTCTTTCAGGTCCTCTCCTGCCACTTCTTTTAGTTATTAAAATACTGAGCAGACCTAGAAGTCAAAAAAATAAAGCAGCAATTCATCACTGTGTGAATGATCAAAGTGTTGATGGCCGAAACTGGCAGAATGGTGCGTCACACCCAATTTCAGTGACTTTACACAGTGCAATTGATGGAGGTGGGAATTTCCGGACTTCTGGAAGACAGATTATTTCCACCTTGAACTTGCTTGCCAGATCCCAAAAATAATTGCTATGGTTTATTGAGTGTTTACCGCATGGCAGGGTCTGTATGACATTGTATGGACCTTACCAGACCTTTATGAGTTAGGCAGTGCCAGAAACAGCAGCTTGCCCGAGGCCATCAGCTGCCTGTGTGTTTCTCCTTCCTTGCAGTGGGCGCCACTGTCCTCCTGTCTGCACTGCAAGAGCCACCTGGCTTAGTTGTTTGGTGTCAGCCTCTCTCTGTGGTCAGCCTTGACCTTGGCAAGTTACAGAGCTCCGTGTGTCTAAGTTTTCACATGTGTAAATGCCGGTAGCAATAATAGCACCTGCTGCATAGGTAACACAGTTCAAATTCAAACGTGATGTGTGTGTGCACGCACTAAGGACTGAAACAGGTCACTGCCAGGAACCATCCGGAGACACTGAGTGATGGCGTGCTGCCTGCCCGAGTTCTAACCCACACTCTCCTTCCAACCCTTCCTGCCGCAGCTGCTGCTTCCAGCATCGCAGGTGCTACGAGGAGGCCGCTGAGATGGGCTGTCTGCAAGACCCTGCCAAACTTAGCACAGATGTCAACTGCGTCAGCAAGAGTATCTCGTGTGGTGAGCATCTCCAGGTGTCCCAGGACACTGGGCTGAGAAACGACAGTTCAGAGACCCCAGACCCGGGCTCCCAGGGCCCACCAGCATCACTGTCGCCATTGCCAGCATCGCTGTGGGTACTTACAGCCCCGTCAGATCTATGGCAGCTGCACCTTGCCTGGAGTAGAGGCACATGCGTGCTTTCTGAATTGAAACAACAGTTGCTCAGCAGATTATTTGATTTACAACTCTATGCTTGTACCAACCCTGGAAGCTTGGGAAGGGCAAATAGTTTGCTACTTATGCATTGTGTGATTTAGGGGAGGGAGTACCCTGACCTTCTACTTAACAGCTCAGATCCTCAAAATGGGGAGGATAGAACCTGCTTCAGAGATTTGTTATAAAAATTAAATAATGCTTAAATGTAGAATAGCATTACATTTAATATTTTTAAACAGTGTTAAATGTCAAACAATATGGAGACTGGCCTCTGTTGAGAACACAATGATGGTGGAAGTGGAGGCAGACGCCGTGTTGGATGAATAAGGCTGGGGGGCTTGTTTATAAGAATCAGATACTTGTATGTTCAAGTCTCAGCTCTCCACCTTACCCGCTGTGTGACTCCAGGAATTTTACTTCTTATCTCTGAACAACCTGGCAGAAGAAGTAAAATAGGCCAAAGCAGAGAGGGAAGAAGACCATGGCAAGATGGGGAACTGTATTAGAGCCAGGCTTTTTGAATGCCTGTTACATGTTGTGGCTAGTATACACAGCAACTCTGGTCGTCCTAACAACTCTGTTAGACAGGAGTTGTCATCCCCAGTGTTCAGACAAGGAGAGAAAGGCTCAGAGAAATTAAATAATAACTCTCCCAAAGTCACATAGCTGCCAAGTGGCAAAGCCAGAGTTTGAACCCAGGTTTGACTGGCCCCTCAATCCAGGTAACGTCAACTGGCAGGCGTTTGGAGCATCGGGAAGGGTGTAAATCATTGGTGAGGAGCGCAGTGGGCCAGGGAAACGTGGCTCATTTGTTGGCTCACTCAGCACTTACATGCTGAGCACCTGCGTGCTGACGGTACCTGACCTTCTGGAATCTCCTCTGGGCTGTCGGACACTGAAAATGTCAGAAAGAAATCGCATGGTATGTTAGGTAGTGCTAAGATCTGGGAAGGACAATACCTCAGAGGAAACGCATAGAGAGGCCTGGGGAGGGGGATCCCATTTAAAGAAGAAAGTCAGCTGAAACCTCCTTGGGAAGACCGAGAGGAGGAGGAAGCCACAGGTGACTTCTCAGGAGAAGAGCAGTTGGAAGAAGTGGCCCGTGGTGGACACGGGGCTCCAGGTGCCTGGTGTGTTTCTGAAATAAGGGGGACAGTAGGTCAGAAGTGGGGTGATGAGGAGGAGTGAAAGGAGGTGAGGTCTGAGAAGGAACAGGAGGTAGTGGTTTTTACTTTGAGTGAAGACATTGATGGAGGATTCTGAACACACACAAAAAGGCGTGGTTCGACCTGAGTCTTAAAGGACTATTCTGGCCCCTCAGTGGTGAGAAGAGGCTGGGCAACAGGGGAGGAGGCGGGGGGTCTAGTGAGGCCTCTGATGGAAGCCAGGCAGGATGGTGGGTGATGGAGAGAAGGTGGGGTGCATTGTTGCTGTTGTTTAGCTTCTCAGTTGCATCTGACTCTTTGCAACCTGTGGACTGTAACCCACCAGGCTCCTCTGTCCATGGGATTCCTCAGGCAAGAATAGTGGAGTGGGTTGCCATTCCCTTCTCCAGTGGATCTTCCCCACCCAGGAATCAAACCTGCATCTCCTACATTGGCAGGAGGATTCTTTACCACTGAGCCACCAGGGAAGCCCAGAGCTGCATGATCAGATTCATATAGGTTGAAAGCAGAGCCGGTAGGGTGGCCTGCTGGATGGGGTGTGAGTGTGGGAGAAGAGTGCCTTTGGCTCTCTTGGTTGGACCACACAGCGGAAGGGATGGAGCCGGCATGGATGAGATGAAGAGAACCACAAGAGAAGCGGGGCTTTGGGGGCAAGTCAGGAGTCAGTCTGCGCATTTGCATCACCCCTTGGGATTCCCAGTGAGCCCTTCCGATCTGCTGTCCTTGCTCTGTGTATAGAGTCCGGGGACACCTGTGAGCACCTGCTGTGTACATGCGATAAGGATGCCATAGAGTGCTTGGCTCAGTCCAGTGTCAACTCTTCCCTGAACCTTCTGGACACGTCCTTCTGTCTGGCTCAGCCCCCAGGTAGGAAGACCCAGGCCCGGCGTCATCGCTGGGGATGGTGATCTGGGGTGGGAGCTGGTCAGAGGCCATCATCACTGTGTTTCTTCAGATGCCCCAGACCAGCGCCTTCTAACATCGCCAAACCCACTCCTCTAATGTGCTTTCTTTTCAGAGACAGCCAGCAAGGAGGAGCTGCTGACAGTCCTGCCCAGGGGTAAGGCCTCTTCGGGAAGCCACTCTTGCTTGGACCACAGGGCCTTGGTTACAGATGGGAGTGGATGGATCAGGGTTAGGTTGGGGAGCTGGAGTGACCCGTGGCACTGAAGGCATGTCCACCTCCTCCAGCCAGAGGCGCCACTGAAGTGTGAAGTGAAGTTGCTCAGTCGGGTCCGACTCTTTGCAACTCCATGGACTGTAGGCAACCAGGCTTCTCTGTCCATGGGATTTTCCAGGCAAGAGTACTGGAGTGGGTTGCCATTTCCTTCTCCAAGAGACACTGTTACTTCTGATAAATTCAGTCCATATCCAACATCAAATGGCCCTTGCTGGGTAGACAGGTGTGAATTTAACCCAGTTAGGATGAAGACCCCAGGTTCTTCCTCTCTGTCTATAGTTGTGAGCAGGACATGGTTCAGTACTCAGATAGGGCAAGGCCCTTCCAGCTGGGTGACCTCCTGGTGGCTGAGGCCTCCTGGGGACAGACTGGCTGCGTCCCTCCTCTGCCCACCAGAGCCTGCGGCCCAAGGAGTCACCTGGCCCAGGTGGGGACTCCCTGAAGAGGAGGCTGTTTTCTTTATGTCCCTTTTCAGGACAGGGTGGGCTCTTCATAACTGTCTACTGAACGAAGCAAGGGATGGTTCTAATTCTAACACATGCGTCTTATGAAAAAAAGTGAGAGTTAAATTTATACACGTCATTCCCTGTCCGCCAAATTCCCCCGATCTCAGTCCCAACCTCGTGGGTACCTGAGGATGGGAAGTTCAAGGTGCACCTTGGCCGAGCATCCTTCTTTTCCTGGGGCTGCAGTCTCTTTTCAGAACTAGTCCTGATGTGTTTGCTAAAGAGGAAGTTGGTGTGACTGTGTGTGCCGTGGATGTGGGTGTGCCCGTGCCTATATGTGTGTGGATTTGTGTATGAGCATGTGCAGGTGTGCTTGTGTGGATGTGTGTGCATGTGGTACCTCTACGGACCTTCTGAGTCCAGCACCCTTTTCTGTCTGCCCTCCCGTGTGAACAGTGGTCTTCTCAGGTGGGAACCACTGCCCACAGCCACAGGCCTTCGGGGTCTGCAGCCCTTTGGTTGCAACAGCCGTGTCTGATGGTGTCACTTGCCCCACGAGAACCAGCAGTGACTGGAGTGCCTCCTGAGCGGGGGCCCTGCCGGGCACCCCCGTGTCCTGGGGTGGGGTGCGAGAGGCAGGACGAGCAGCCCCGCTGGGAACCTCCTTGCCAGCCCCCTTGCTCCTCCCTTGCGCAGCCTGGCCTCGGGGACCCTTGGCATCTGCTTTCATCACCCGTTGCTCCCCGGGTCTCTCTTTCTGCAGTGGTTCCTGCGGAGCCCACGGACTCCAGCCTGATGGCCATCTCGAGAGAAGGTGAGCACAGGGGACAGTTGGGGAACCCAAGTACCTGTGTTTTGATGGTGCCACCTGCCCACTTACTGACATTGGCTACCTAAAACTCCCCCCACCTGGGCTTGCCGTGGAACCGCCTCCAGAACATTCCAGAGTCCCTCCTACTTCCTTTGGACCCACAGATCTCTTTTCTACTTGCTCAGCTTTCTCCCACAACTCCTAGTCCCCTCTCAGGAGAATTACCAGTCAAAACCCAGGACCCACACCCTCGACCATCTGACCTTGAACTTCAGATGAACAACAAATGCTCTGTTTGTATAAATGTGTTCCAGAATTTGCATGAGCCCTACTTCTACTAAAAAGATATTTATTGTTCATGGGAAACCCAAATATAACTGGGCTCCCTGGCTTTTTATTTGCTAAATCTGGCAACTGCACACCCACTGCCTACAGGTTTGTGCCTTGTTCTCTTTTGCTGCTGCTGCTTCTGCAAGGTTAGAAGCAGAGGCTCATGGGCTCATCCCGTGGCCATCCTCCATGTCCAAGGTCATGTCATCCCCAACAGCTCCCAGATAACCTGTGCCTTGGAGTCCTGGTCCTGAGAAAAGAGGAAAGGGCCCCAGTACCAAACCGAAGCTCCACCATATGTCCTGCCCCCAAGCAGCCGCCAAGCCCAGCATGACTGGCAGCGGCCACATCCCTTCTAAATTGAGGATAATGGGACTTCCTCAGCTGCCCAGTGTTTAAGACTCCAAGGTCCCAGTGCATAGGTTCGATCCTTGGTTGAGGAACTAAGGTCTTGCATCACTGCACAGCATGGCCAAAAGCAGACCAAAAAAAAGAATAAATAAAAAAATTGAGCATAAGCTATGGGTTTCCTGGCCCCACCAGACAATCACAGAATAACCCCCAATTCATATATTTTCCAATGTCTTCAACCAGAATCCTTATTTCCCTTGTGGCATGACCCTGGGAAAGACTCAAAGTAATAAGGTTCCTCAATGAGTCTGGAGTCTAAGTTGAGGAAGAGAGTGGATGCACTCACATCTTTGCGCCCCAACACACACTCAACACTCTCACATCCATGACCTCAGCAGTGCCCACAAATGCCCTCTGAGGAGGAAGCCTGAATGTGGGCTCAAAAATCAATCACAAGAGTGCCGATGGGACAGTTTGTTAAGGTTTGTAACTATTTCACCATTATGGGGTGAAATTATGTTTTGTTGTCAGGCAGATTTGGGATTTATTCCTGACTTTCCTATTTTTCAGCTGTGTGACTTGGGAAACATGGTTTAACCTCTCTTAAGTTTCACTTTGCACAGGAATCAGGTTTTTTGTTTTTGTTTTTTTTTCCAGTTAAGAGCCAGATAGTAAATATTTTAGACATGGGGGCAAGAAGATCTTTTTCACAACTACTCAACTCTATCATTGCTGCAGGGAAGCAGCCATAGACAGTCTGTAACTAGATGGGTGTGGTTGTGGTGCCAATAAAACTTTATTGACAAAAATGAGCTGAGGGCCGGGTCATAGTTTACCAATCCCTGGAAAAGGATGACTGTTCCTATTCTTTGGGGAGACAGAAGAATTAAATGAGACAGAGCATGGGAAGGTTCTGGGCCAGCATCTTGTTACAAAGATTCTAATGTGGCTACAAAAAAAGGGCACACAATGTCAAACCAGAACCAGGATACTGGGCATCTGAAACTATGTAATCTTATTTAATGCTCATACAGTTCTATGAAATAATTACTATAATCTCCATATTCAGATGGTATATTGAGATGGAGAGAGAAGCTGTCGAAACCCAGAGTAGGTGGGAGGGTTGAGATTTGAAGCTGGCACTTCCTCCATCCTTAATTTTAGACCTACATTTCCTCTTAAGCTGATTTCTGACAAAGCCATTCCAACCAGGGAAAATAATGGCTATTTCTCCCAGAGTGTCATTTGCTGGTCTCTCTGTCTAAACACAAGACTGGCCGTTAACTAGCCTCTTGTCCACTGAGTTGAGAAATAATGGAGCCACAACACCCAGACAGAGTCCCTGATCAGATGGCCATGTGTCTTCTCTTCTCTGCCTGGCTAAGGTGCTGAGCTGGGTTGGTAATTGAGATTTGATGATTTCTTTTCACAGTGGCATCTGAGACCAGAGCTGACCAACTGATCATGCTCTCCAGGACAAGTAAGCAGAGGGGACTTCGGAGGAGGGCACCCAGTAGAAAATGCTATCTCAGTATTTGTGCTGAGTTCTGGTGACCAACTTCCCAGGTGGCTCAGTGGTAAAGAACCCCTCTGCCAGTGCAGGAGACATGGCTTCTATCCCTGGGTCGGGAAGATCCCCTGGAGTAGGAACTGGCAACCCACTCCAGTATTCTTGCCTGGAAAATCCCATGGACAGAGGGGAGGCTGGTGGGTGATAGTCCATAGGGTCGCAAAGAGTCAGACACAACCAAGCACGTGCGTGCACACACACACACACACACACACACTGGTGGCCACTATTTGACAGGGTCTGGAGTGAATGTTATTATGCCTGTTCTGCAGATTATATAGGAAACCAAGACATTAAAATCTCTAAGTCATTCTAGCCATGACTTCTGGACTGGTTTCTAACCCCAGGGTCAGGATGTAAGATTCATCTTCTTTCTGTTACACAGTTGTGATTTCACAGAGAACAAACTCTTATCTAAAAATAGATGGGCTAAGATGTCATCAAGAGAATTAACCTATTTACTTTGTTCCTGGTGATCAACAACCATGGCTCTATTTTTAAAAAATATTTACTTATCTATTTATTTGTCCCTTGGGAAGTGACCAGGCAGGGGCAGAGCAGGAGCACATTTCCTCCTGTGCCCAGGGGATGGGAGCTGCTGCTGGAGACTAAGATGGGACAGACTGGAGTTAATGCTCACTCCCTGTCTCTCCTTTGGGGACAGAACCAGGTGGAGACCAGGAAGGCATGGAAGACTCCAGGACCACACCTTCTCCAGGTAGGCATGCTCAGCTTCTCCCACCTTTGCGTATGATGTTGTCTCCTGTGCATTTATCAAGTGTGCTCCCCAAAATTAGAGAAATTGAAGCCAATTTACTTTTAAATCCCCTCCTCTACAAAAATTGCCCCCCTTTACAAAAAAATCGACAAAATGAAATAAAAAGATCCATTAATAGGAAGATACAGAAATCTACCTGCTAAAAAGATGCATTTAGAAAAAAAATAGAGAAAACTATACTTAGTTGTCTATTTCATTCCACATTGTAAAAATAGCTACTTTTAATATTTGAAGATGATTTCTTCCAGCCTCTACCCAACCCACAGTAAGCACATCTGTAACATAAATAAAATGAATTTGAGATCACTTGGCAGCCATGGTTTCACAGTCTGAGTTGTATCACTTCATACAATGAGATGATATTCGCTTGACATGAAATGTTTTTCTGTAACATGGGTTTTATAAGCTGTACAACAGTTCCTTGTATGGAATCCTATAATTTGTTTACCCAATTATTTCTAACATGTGTTATTATAAATAATAGATATGCACTCTCTCTATGCCTATGCACTTCTGATTAATTTGTCAGGATAAATTGCTAGAAGTTGAATTGCTGTAAAAAGGTGTAATCATTTCAGGGCTTTCAATATGTTGCCATATTGCCCTGGAGAAAAACTGAATTTTCACTCACAGGCACATCCCAGTGGCCAACAGTGGATACTATTTAAAAACAAAGAGAACGAGAAACCTCTAGTTTTTAATAGAAGAAAAATGGTAGCTCACTATTTTCCATTGTTCCCTGTGATTAAAATTAAAAGTGGTGTTTTTTTAATACCTGAGCTGGGCTGGCCTCTCTCACCCTGGGACCGCTTGTCCAGGCATGGACTTCAGGAAAACCTGAGCTCAACTCCGATTTGTACGGAGGTGACGGGCATTTTAAAGGCAGGTGAGGGAGGTGGGAGGGGAAACTCTTAGGAGCTCCTGCAGAGCCAGAAAAGTGGAAAATCCCAAAGAGAGGGTAGACCTGTTCGGCAAGGTGGGTGTGGATGGAAAGCAGTGAATTCTCTTGACTGCCTTGAGCTTTCTCGGACAGGACCTTAAGGAAGACCAGAGCTGGGTTATCCCAGGGACAAGGCTTTTCTTCAGTGTTAGAAACCAGGCTAGGGTTTGTTTGGGCTTCCCTGGTGGCTCAGATGGTAAAGAATCTGCCTGCAATGCAGGAGACTGGGGTTCGATCCCTGGGTCAGGAAGATTCCCCGGAGAAGGGAATGGCTACCCACTCTAGTATTCTTTTCCTGCAGAATTCCATGGACAGAGGAGCCTGGTGGGCTACAGTCCATGGGGTCACAAGGAGTCGGACAGGACTGAGTGACTAACACTAGAATTTGGTTACGTCTCTTAGTGTGGGGAGTGCGGAGAGCTTGCAGTGCTCACGGGCTAAGGTCGAGCGAGGGCGCAGAGGGGCCTGACTGATGGTCAAGGAGAGTCTTTGTCTGTTTCCAGCTCTCTGGAGTGTGGTAGGAAGTCAGCATTTAATGGGTTTCCACTTGTGGGGCTGGAGAACTGAGCAGGATGCTAACCTTAGGAGGCTGAGGTTACGACAAGGCTCCTGGAGGGCTGCTTCTAACCCATCAGGACCAGAGTGTTGAGCAACAGAGACAGGAGCCCAGATGTATGAAGAAAACCAACACAGCGTGTCTGGGGAAGGACTGCAAGTTAGAGGTCCGGGCCTCACCCTGAGCTCTGGGAACTGAGCCTGGGTCAGTGGACGAGTGGGGCAGAGCCTCAGATGCTCCCTTGGTCTGGACCAGACTGGGATGGAGATCTGGCCTGGGGCTGGAGACCTTCCTGCCTGCAGCCAAGGGGGCAGGTGGGACTGATATACGGAAGTGAAGGGAGGTCCAGGAGGGCAGGACCACATCGCTGGCAGCCTCGCCCGCAGTGGAAGGGCCTTTGCACTTAATTCTGAGCACAAAGAGAGGCTAACGCGGTTTTGAAGCATTCGGGGAAGAGTCTGGCTTGCCTGCGTGATTTTGTACTGAGAACCAGCTTAATGTCTCCATCATTCTAATTTCTTTTCACTTGTGAGCACCTTGGTGGGCCTTTACTTGGCAGGTGCATGATAGTAAACATGCCACCAACATAGGCTTGTGAAGTTGTGCTGTTTCTTGCCCCCAAGATGTCATCCACAGGTGCCAGCTCGGGCCCCGTCAGTTTTAACGTCATCATGGAAAGTTTGGAAATTCTCACGCAGCAGCCGGGGATCCCTGAGGCTCTGGCCTGGGTGTCTGCAGACCCAGTCTGAGGACACTCTCCTGATGCTTTGTCTGAACTTGGCCTTGAGCACATGTCCATCTGCAAGTCTCTTCTTGAACCATAGCCAATTAACAATGCTATATAGTTTCAGGCGAACAGGGAAGGGACTCAGCTGTACATATACATGTATTCATTCTCCCCCCAACCCCCCTCCCAGACAGGCTGCCACATAACATTAAGCAGAGTTCCAGGTGCTATATAATAGGTTTTTGTTGATTATTCATTTTAAATATGTGTACATGACCTTCCCAAAGTCCTTAAAATAAGGGCCATAACGGCGTGTGTTTTCAGGATCTGCAGAAATTGTTGCCACAGTGAAAGGTGTAACTGTCGTCCCCGCTGGCATTAAATCTTTGGGGATGGCTGTATCATCCACCAAAAGCGGTCCCGAGAAGACATCTGGAAAAGGTGAGCAGGAGCAGACAGAGGTGTCTGTGTTCTCCCAGTCTTAAGATCCTCGCGGTGGTTCATCAGGCCCCTTAGGTCACTGTAAGGCACTGCGACCATCCCACTTGGTGCCACTAGAGGGCGCCATCTCTCCCGCTGCATGAGCGCCTTTAGTCATCAGCGCTAGAGGCTGAACCGGGAAAGGAACCGCTGACGGAGGGCTGTTGTCGCTCTTACTGGCTCAGGAAGAAAGAGCTCGGCATCGTCCGCACCGTGGTTTGCTGGAAAGAATGAACTTGGGTTTTGATGGCCCTCCTCCTTGGCCCTCCTTCCTCGGGCGCCTTAGCAAAGGCCCCGCCCCTGCAAGGAGCCACAGCGGGCGGGACACACACAGGAGGACTGGGCGCATTCCCGGGCAGGACCCTGGCAAGGCGCTGCAGGCCTCTGGGCTTTGTGGTCCTTACCCCTCTGAACTCGTGACGATGGGGTTTGCAAGGTGGACTTTTGCTTGGCTAAGCCCAAGTTGCAGGGCGAGGAGGCAGGGAGGGGAGAAGGAGGGCAGAGAGAGACAGAAATGAGAGTCCTGTTTCTCAGCCTGTGACAGGCTCACCTTCCTGCATCCGGGAAGCGGGGACCACACGCGGGTGAGGCCACAGCTTGGAGAGATGCTCTTCTGCCTGACATCCCGGTGCCCCGAGGACTTTGAATCCTATGGCTGTTACTGTGGGCAGGAAGGACAAGGCGAGCCGAGGGACGCCCTGGACAGGTACGTCGGTTATCGCTTCAGGCTCACAGCGCTGCATTACCGCACTCAGCGGGGCTTGTTGCCATGACAACCCCTTTGTCCTGAGGAGCAGCAGAGGCTCCAAGACTGGCTTGCTGAGGTCATTCAGCCATGAAGGGACAGAGCCAGATTCACATCTTTTGATATAGGAGTTAGAGTTCCAACACGAGTACTGCCCAGCTGCTCTAAAAGGGTTGATCTGCAAAGACACCTCAGAAAACCCCAAATATGCCTATTTAAACAATGAGTAACATGTAGAATTGGGTTTTGTAGGTGGCTCAGTGGTAAAGAATCCACCTACCAATGCAGGAGATGTGGGTTCGATTCCTGGGTCAGGAAGATACCCTGGAGGAGGAGATGGCAACCCACTCCAGTATTCTTGCCTGGAAAATTCCATGGACAGAGGAGCCTGGTGGGCTACACAGTCCATGGGGTCACAGAATCAGACACCACTTAGGGACTAAACAGCAACAACGTGTAGAATTGGGGTCTTCAGTTGATTTGCTCTGCAAGAGGACATGTTGAAAGGAGCTTCTTGACAACTTCTAAGTTTAATTGTCAAATTTTGTACCTACTGCTCTTGGAAGAACTTCCACTGACCTCATGCATTCGTTAATTTATTCATTCATTAATATAGGCATTCAGCCTATGCTTGTTGTGCTTTTGCTCTGTGTCTGGCACTGTGCTAGGTGGTAGAGACATAAAAAGGACTAAACTTAAGCAAAGCAGATCATAGCGAATTGCCTCTGAAGCTTACAGAGTGAGAGATATGGACAATTCAACAAAACACCACCCACTGTAACACATGCAGTTAGGACACAGAGGAAACAATGGGGGACTCAACCTGGAGACAAGTTAGAGAAAGATTCTGAGAGTAGAACTGGTCAAGTTTAAATATTGATTCCACCTGAACACTCACCCATTTCACAGCTAGTTAGAGCTCCAGTGAAATGGTGTACACTGCCCACACCCTCTGATGGTGGAGTTGTCAAGGGAGGATTGACAATTATATCACAAGTTTCCTTGGGCTGGGGGGACACTGAAGGAGATTGTGAGACTTTGTAGGGCCAGATGGATGAATCTAAAAAGCAAGACCATGATTCATCCCCATCTATTTCCTGAGATCTTGCTCTTTGCTGGTCACTTCCTTAGATGCAGGTCTTTATGCTCAGGATAGTTACTCTCTTCTCTTTTAAGGCTGGGAACATAGAGGGTACCCTATGGATGTAGGATGAACTGTTCTGTTGTGTAAAAGGTTGGAGGGAGTGTGTCACTAGTAGCCCATGTGGTACTCTTGTATCTACTAAAAGTGGTACCCTTTCCTCAAGACTCTTTCTATTTGTTAGAAAATTCCTGTAGTAAATATGCAAGTCACCCATCTTTTCGGTCAACAGAGTCATGATAAAAATACCAAAAACTTTTTTTACAATTACAAGATGCTTCCAGTGCGATGGACACTGCCTTAGATGTGGCATCCTGGTACAGTCCACAACCCGAACAACTGTACATGGTGGCCCTTAGTGTGTATATCAATCAGCCCTGTGTGCACTGGAAAGGAGGAACTGACTAGTCTCACTACTGTAGGGAGTGTGGGAGAACTAAGCTTGGAGGGAGTTCTGGGGGCAGCTGGGGCTCTGACAGGAAGCGATTTTCCTTGCTCTTAGGTGCTGTCTGTCCCATCACTGCTGCCTGGAGCAGGTGAGAAAGCTGGGCTGTCTGCTCGAGAGGCCTCCTCAGCTGCCGGTGCTGTGCGTGGACAGTACCCCCAAGTGTAAGTGCTGAGGGCCAGCACAGTGGGCTGTTCTTTCATCCAGGTCGGCATGAGGACCACAGCTCATCTGACATGCTTTCACAAGCACTTGTTCACCTCTAATGTGGTTTATTATGTACTCTGAGGCACATATTAGTACCCTTATTCCACTGAGGAGGGGACTCAAGTTCAAGAGGCCAAGTCAGCTGACCAAAGTCACAGAGCCTGTGAAAGCAGGTGGGGACTAACGCCACAACCCACACTTACTCAGTGCTTCGCACGTGCCCTTCTGAGTTCTGGAGTTCATCCTCCTCCAGTCCTCTGAGGTAGCCCCGCGGGCCTGCCCATTTTACAGATGAGGCAACTGAGGTGTGGGATCACACAGATTGGAAGAGGTGATAGAACTGGGGTTGGGACTGTGAAACCGTAATTCCTCAGACTCAGAACTGAGTCTTCACTGTGCAAGTGGGTCCCTTTTCCTAAAAACAGAACCCTTTCCCAATGGAGTCTCCTGAAGAACCCCACAGAGAAGGGGAAGTGACTCCAGCCTCAGGGAGGGATGGGCCTGCATCTCCACTCATCCCAGTGGTGGAAGCCGGGGCCGCCTCTGTGGCCATTCAGGCTCTGGGGGGGAGCCATTGGGAAATAGCCCGACCCCCGGGAGCCTCACTGTGCCGGGCTTGCTGTAGGACTGACTTCGTCTACATCTGACCGCTACATCAGTGGGTGTAGTTCCCTTAGGCTTTGCAGCTTAAAAGGAAGCGGTCCCTGGAGCATTTCTCGAGAGCCGCGTGGGGCTGTGTGTCACCCTGACTTTTATCTGGGGAAGCCTCGGGCTGAGTGCTCCTTCCTCCCTGGGCACCCAGACTTTGAGGACCACGTGTGCCTCTTACCTCCTGGGAGCTCTGGTTTTTACGTGTCACTCAGTCAGTCAGTCATTCACTCACCTCACTATGTGCTTCTCCGAAAAACCGCCACCAGGAACGAGAAACACTGTGAACAGACAGGGTTCCTGCCTTGAATCACTCACAGGCGGGAAGAGAGACAAGCAAGGGCCTCTGTAGTCTTCCCGGTACCACTAATAGATAGTACAAGTGCCCAGGAGTGCCGGGAAAGGGCTTTGAACCCGCGGAGCGCGGCAGCCGGGATGGGGGAATTTGGGAGGAGTAAGTAGGGGCAGGAGGCTAACAGGTTCCCTGATAACACTGGGTGTGTGTTTTTAAACAAGAAAGGGGAAGGGGGAGGAGAGACAAGTGGCATTCGGGAACTCCTGAGTCTGGGAATGACACGTGGTTCCGCATTTCGGGAACAGAAAGTGGAGGTGGTGGGGCTGTGGTGGTGCAACGTGAGGCTGAGGAGACAGGTAGCAGGTCAGACACCCAAGGCTGAGGCTGAAGGCTGCGCGCTTTGTCCTGTGGGCGGCGAGGGGCAGGGGTGGGGTTAGAGCCGTGAGTGACGGGGTGAGATGATCATTGTTCTCGGTGATGCAGTCGTGCCTCGGGGTCCCACCTGCTCAGCTTAAGGTGCCTTCATCCCTCTGGCCTCAGTGAAGCCGGGAACGCTGTGGTGTCACTTGAACTCCTTGGGGGCTTCAGAGAACCGGTTCCAGCCCTCTGTGAGCTGTGAGCGGTCTCCTGCAGCGGACGCGAGGGCCGGGCTTAAGAGCCGGCACCTTGGAGCCGCTCGCGGCGGTCCTCTGCCAGGGGCATGGGCAGGGAGGCGGAGCGGCTCTGGGGAACGGGCCGCCACCTCCGTCCGCTCTGCTCGCCTGTTTCTCCCCCTTCTGCTCCCTGCTGTGGAGATGCCACGGGCGTGTCTGGGCTGATGGGAACGCCGGTGTCGGAGATTTGGAGGGTCAGTGTGATGGAAAAAGCCTGGTTGATGACTACTTCATGGTAGTATCAGACAAAAAAGAAAATTAAACAGACCCAACACAGACCCAACAGCCCCAGGAAGTCTTCGGGCGTCCCTGGTGGCTGGGACGGTAAAGAATCCACCTACAGTGCAGGAGATCTGGGTTCCAAACCTGGGTTGGGAAGATCCCCTGGAGAAGGGAATGGCAACCCACTCCAGTATTCTTGCCTGGAGAATCCCATGGACAGAGGAGCCTGGGTGGGCTACAGTCCCTGGGGTCGCAAAGAGTCGAACACGACCAGGCGACTAACACGTCTTTGAAAACCACAGACAAGGGTAACATTCGTAGAATCCTTGTCTATGTCTGAGCAACGTCAAACACATTCATTGTTTTGGATCACGCAGATGCTCAGCGCGCCACCCCTGCCGCAGGCAACTGGAACAGTCAGGAAATAGAGTATGGCCACTAGACTGAGCAAATAAAAATACAAATGGTAAAATATAGACATAAATATATTTATATATTTCTGCTGTGATAGAAAGAAGCGTAGGGTGGGATTCGATGGGCGCCCACAGGAAAGACACCCCCTTTAAGCCGGGCGAGGAGCAGAGCGGTGGCCGAGTGGTTTCGTGATGGACAAGTATGAGTCAGCCAGGAGAAAGATACGAGTATTCCCAGCAGAGGATGCAGGGCCTGCAGGACCAAGAGGTTCCAGACGGAGGAGGACCGGCCGGAAGGGGCGAGCATCCCGCGGCGTCTCAGGCTGCTCCTCTGTCCTTGCCCCTCAGGTGTGGGGCGGAACCTGTGTGCGAAGCTGCTCTGCGCCTGTGACCAGTCAGCGGCCGGGTGCATGGCCTCTGCCTTCTACAACCACAGCCTCCAGTCGGCAGGCAGACCCGAGTGCCGGGGCGACCGGCCGACCTGCGAGGGCGGCGGGCCCGCGGCTTCCGCCCCGGGCTCCAGCTCCGAGGAGGACAGCGAGGAGGCCCCGCCCCTCACGGGGGGCCTGAGAAGAACCAGAAGGTTCCTGGGGAAGCCGCTGGGTCTCGTGGGGCCCAGGCCGCCGTACGGCCCCAGATAGATGCCCAGAGGACGTGAGCAGCACAGCCCGTGTGAGTGCCTCCTGCTCCCGTAACCCCTCTGGGCCGGTCTCATCCTCCCCGTCCTCAGCGGAGGCACACAGTGCAGGGAGACCCCGCACACACGCACCGTGACCTGTTTGTCAGTTCACACGCCAGGGTGCCTTTGGAGAAGGCAGACAAGGGGTGGTTCGATGCTTCCTGGAGTGCACTGTGGACGCTCAATAAATATTCCAACCAACGTTTGTTTGTTTTAATCCTATGGCTGTGCCGTGTGTCATGGAGGGTTAGTTTCCCGATCGGGGACTGAACCTGCAGCCCCTGCAATGGAAGTGCATATTCTTAACCACTGGACTGCCAGGAAGTTCCCTGTTTTTTGTTTTGAAGCAATGTTGTGGATACTGACAAATGAATAGATTGGAAGAGATGACAGAGGAATGGAGGGTGAGAGTATCTCCACTCCCTAATCACCGAAAGCTACTTTCCCTTCTATTAAAAAAAAAAAAAATATATATATATATATATATATATGTATATATAAAGGAGTGTGTTTAATCAATTTTATGAGATGACATGGGTCACCGGTAGCCCACCAAAGATGCATGCCAACGGCTGACATGACAGCCCTTGTGGTATGTTGAGTTGCCACAAGCCGCCACCATGAAGAAACACTGACAACCCTGTCTTGGGTCTGGCAATACTGATTTTAAAAAAATAGGGGATGATACCAGTGGCTGGAAGTGTGGGGGATATAAATGCCCTTTTGGACACAGATGAATGTAATAGGAATTACAAAAAATTGAAACTATATCATCTATTCACCCACCCATGCCACTTGCTGAGATCTTACCGTGTACCAGGCAATAGGCCATGCCTCCAGAAACCCCCTCAGTATTTGATAAGGACTCAGACTCTAAGTTCACATTGCATCCTTGGTTCTCAATTCCTGTAAATTGTGTGGCCTGTGGTGACATGGTACATGGTCCCTGCCTGCTCCTCAGGTGGGAAGGCAGAGCCTTTGGAGTTAGTTCATGCTCGTCAGCCTCTCATGGTGTGGACTATCCTGGAGTCAACAGGGTAGAAAACCTAAGGAAATCAAAAGGTCGCATGCCAAGCCGACAGTTGATATCCTCTCCTGCCTTCAAGGGAGATCACCGGATGGGTGCCTGCCATCTCTGTGTCATAAGTCTGTATGCTGTATACAACCTCAGAGAGGTAGCCCAGAATAAAGGTGGTTAGTATCCTGGTTCACAAGACATGCAGGAATGCAAGGCATATGGCCAGTTGTCTTAACAAGGGCCTCACCTAATACTGCATTGAGAAAATGGAAGTTTTCCAGTGGGAAGGCGCTGGTCTTCCTGCCAGCAAAGCTACAGAATTATTGGTGGTCTTTGTCTTCCTTCTTCTTACGATGAAAAACAGGGTTACTTATCCATATCAAAGGTCAATCTCTCCATCTCTTCTCTGCTCTGGGTTGAGTTACCCTATTGCCTATTCTGGGGCTTGATTCCTACAAATAGTTCCTTTTTATTCCAGATCAGTTTATCCCTGAATAGTGAATAAGACCCTCTGCACAGCGAATGCAAGGATCATTCATGATAAACAGACTCAGTGACTACTCTGTGCCATGTAGGCATGACACCACGAGCCTCTTCTAAGTGATTCACTTACCCCTCAACAGATAACCTCTGAGGGGCAGAACTCTAAGAGCTGCATTTTACAAACTTCAAAGTTCAAAGCTGAGCCACTTCCCGAAGGCCACTCGGCTAGGAAGTGGCAGCGTGGGATCTGAACCCAGAGCCTGGGCTCCCTGCTGCTGCACTGCACCCCTCAGGAAGACCCTGAAGCCCACGGGCTGTGGTGCACAGCTGCACGGGGGGCAGGAAAGCAGGCCAGATGGCGGAGGGTGCTAGAGAGGAGCTATGCTTTTTGAGAAAGGCTTGTGGGGTTTATACGGCAGAGGGTGGGGCTGGAAATACAGACACAAAGACTGATGCAGACGCGGAGACGGTGCTCTCCGGGCACATGCTGAGAGCTTCATTTCAGCCACGTTTGTTCACGACTGCAGCTACAGAGCTGATTCTTCCCAGTATGTGAGGAGGACTCCATCTGGCAACTTGATTTTTAATAAAGCACTTCATTCTTAATAGAATCCAAACAGTGGATAAGTTTAATAAATGGGATAGCTATTTAAGAATGGCTATTAGATTTTGTTTTATTGCTTACATATGAATTGCACGGTGAATTTTTACATTACAAAAAATTAATTTACATTTGTACTCAATTACAAATGTACTCAATTACGTTTAGTACATACATTGGCACAAATTAAACAAATTAGGCCCCTTTTCAGACAGGTAGAAGAAAAAATACTGTGAGGAAGTTAACTGCTGGCAAAGTACAGAATTAAGATTCTTAAAGAAAATGAATTCAGAACTATTAAGGAAGTGTGTGTGTGCACGCGTGTGTGTGTGTATTCAGATTAATTCCAATGACTCTATATAAGCAGACAATACAAGTCTAGAAGGAACATTTAAATGTTAACTATTTAATGTCAAGGAAAAAAATGAATGATATAAGCAACAGTATACAGCAGAGAGAGAATGATGAACGGTTTTTATTGAGTTTTAAATATCTACAAAAATATAGCAATACAGTGAACTTCCAATACATCCTAAACGTTCAGTACCCAAACCGGCTATACTAAAATAGCACGCATACCTATGACTTGCATGATCTCCTGCAATCTCCTGGAAGGGACAGCAAGCCAAGGACAAGAAGCCACATTTCTTATGAATCGTTAATGAGAGCAGTTCAGTAATCTAGCATATACAGAAGTCTACTGTGATTTAAAAACAACTACAACAAGAAAATCCCCCCCCCCAAATCCAAATCAACTGTTTACAAACAGACCACAAGAAAAATGTGAGATCAGTAATGTTTCAGTAAACATTAACTGAAATTATTTTCCTTCACATGCTATACATGCATTTTTAAATCACAGAGAAACGTGAAATTTTGTCCAGCAAAGTTTGTTTTGCATGAGTGCAAATGAATATATATATCTTCTTTCTTATACTATTAAATTATATATATTTTTCATACAAAAGCACACAGTGTTAATCTATAAAATGACATCCAAGTGGATGATGATAGTTTTTGCATGTCCCCCTGCTTAGATTTTTCACAATCAAAAGTTAATATCTTTCTTTAAAAATACAGGAAAAAAAAGGGAAAATAAAGAAAAACATAAAAATTGGCCTATTAAATGCTGAAACGTTTTTACCTGGTCAGGAGCTAAAGTTATAGTGACAGCTGCAACAGGGCCATTTAAGCCCAGTGGTGACCGCACTATTATTTGGAAAACAATGTCTTGTTTCTCTACATTGAAAAAACCACCAAGGATGCTTGACAGGTTTCAAAGACTAGAATCTTTTGCAAGATGTTTCAAGATGCTGTACTTTGGTTTAACTATTCAAAAAAATTTCGAGTATACTTGTTCTATCTTGTTTCTACTGAAAGTGCCCAAATAATCGTAAACACAAAGTCATTCTTCACTGCGATTTTTTAAACAAAAGCTAAAGCTAAAATTCAATTGTTTTTTGGGTCATAACCTGTGACATGTATATTGTTTGATGTAAAAAGGAATCAAAAACCTGAAAAGGTAGAATTATAATAAAGACTATTTTATAAAAATGTCCTAAAATAATTTTATAAGAGCTGCAAAGAAAGTTGTTCATTTTTGCTGTGTGATGGAATTCACTAAAATGTACATAATTTTAAGAAAACACTGTGTGTTTGTCAGCACATGTAATCCTGGTAGCTTATTAAATCAACACGAGCTTAAACTGACGAGCTTTTAGCACACTTAATGGCTAAACCCATAGGCACTCTTTTCAAATGTAATATCATGAATCCTAAACAGAGATGCATACAAGCTACAGTTCAAATCTTACAAGCTAAAACTCCATTTGGGGCATTTTTTTGACTATAAGGATTTAAAACAATGCACCATATAAAAATGTAAATTAATGTGTTCTTAGGAGAAATTAAAATGTACACACTCTTCACAGGTGAACTAGTAGCTGTTTTAAATGTCTTTTTTTCCTATACTAAATATATAGCTCATTTAATTAATGGAGCCACAGCAAAAATACTACTATAATTTCAAAGTATAGTCTGTAAACTAAATACATCTTATGATGTAAAAAATATTGCACAATTTGGTACTCCAAGAGTAAGTTCTAAGACTCTCAAGTAGAATGGTCAAACTTTTGGCAGAAAACACAGTATTACAAGAACCAGACACTTAGACGTATGGAGATTCTGGGGTCATATTCTAGGACTATTACTCAGTAAATGTCATTACCATAGACAAGTTGAGGAATGACAGTCACATACTGTTGAAGTGAACAAACAGAAGGATGCCAATCACAACATCCAAAACATGGGGACAAAAAGACACAGGACAGTTTTACAGCCCCAAGATTAATATATTTGTATGTTTTCGCTTTTGCAGACAAAAACAAAAGCAGTTCTAATTTTAAGCAGTTGCCTAGATGTCTAAGAAATACACTAGACACTTCATACATCTTCAACTCTGGAAGGCTTAACTTTTTAATTATATGTTTGTGAAAGGCTTTAAATATACTATTTAACAATGAATTAATGTGAGACCAATATATGTTCAATTTTAAAAGCCAACAGATACTAAAAATAAAAAATTAACATGGCATAAACCCATCTTCAGAAGTACTCTTAAATCATAATAGCTACAAAATTTCTAACCTGGTATGCCAAGCATTTGGTTAAAGATAAATTCCATCATAATTTTCAGTAAAGTAAACCCTGAAACATCAGCTTGGCCCAGTTTTTTAGGCTTTTTGCTGAGGTCTTTCATGAGCCACTCAGTACACACACAGATCTGGAAACTTCATCTCGTAGACTGGGACAGACTGGTACTGGGCGTGCCCAGAAGTAATGGTCAGCGTTCCCGACGGACTGGGAGGAGGACTGTAAGAGAAGAATGAGGCTCTGTCAACAGGTCCGTGGAAAAGCTGTTCACTCCACACAGCATCCCCATCACCACCTGCCAACAGCAGGGTAAGGCTCCGTCATCACCAGGACCAGTGTGACGGAGGTGCGGGCCAGCTGCAAGGGGGCATGGCGCAAAGATCACAGTGGAACTAAGCTGTTTCTAAGTCTGAACTAGACATTCTCCTCTGAATATATATAATTTTAACAATGGGATTACATCATATCCATTCATGTAAGCTTGCTTTGTTTCAGTAGTAAAAAAATCTTTTAGTATTTATATATATATATATATATATATATAAACCTTTTTTGATGACCACAGCATGGTATTTCAATATATAGATATATTATGATTAATTTATTTCCATGGGCAGATAGTACGTTGATTTCCATTTTTCATTATTATAAATAAGGCTGACAGGTCTATTCTTACATATATATAATTTTATCCTGTCTTCTTGGTTTATAGTCTTACACATAGAGTTTCTGGATCAAAGTAGATTCACAATTTTGAGACAGGTACACACTGTCAGAATCCCCACAATTCATACTTTCAACATCTGGCTGCACCATCCTCTTACACCACTATAAATACTGGGTATAATCATTCTTTCTTGTTCTCATCTTTGGCACTCTGGTAGGCAAAAGGGAATTCATTCTATTTTTATTTTCACATTTTGGGTTACTACTAATGGGACATACTTATTCATTTTGTGTTTCTTTGAAAATGAACTGTCTATTTGAGTCTACTGCCTGTATTTCTATTCATTTTTCTCCTATCAATTTGGGAAACTGATCTTTTGTCATATGATACAAATACTTTTCCTTGATTGGTTACTTAACTCTTATCTCTACCACAGATAAAGATGACACTTTCATCAAAGACGCTCCCTGGTGTCTCCAATCTATTGCTCTTTACTCCACGTGCTCACACATCTCCAACACTGACTGTGTTCTGATCTCTGTCACTGAAGATTGGTGTCCCTCATTCTTGAATTGCATACAAGTGGTCCACATAGCCACAGAAAGGGTCAATACAAGATATACTCTTTTATGTCTGATTTGTTTTGCTTGATGTATTTTTTAAGTTTACCCCCCCAAATGTGTGTTCCTTTTTACTGCTGAATAATATTTCACTGTGTCAAGAGCACCACTATTTGTCTACTATCTCTCCATTCTCCTGTTCACGGATATCTCGTAATTAAGAAAAAAGCTGCTAAAACATTCTAACATTTTAATTTCTCTGGGTAAATACTGAGAAATGGGACTACAGGATCAAAAGCAGGTATATGTTTAACTTCATAAGACACTGAAACTTCTTCATAAGTTGTGCAAAGTGCTTGTACCATTTTATACGCCTATGAGCAATATATGCAGACTTTTCTATATAATGTCCAATGTACTATTAAGTTCATCCAATGACATTTTTTCTTCTTCCAGATACTGTATCACCCAGTTCTTGAACTACAATTTGGTTCTTTTTCAGAGTTTCCAGTTCTCTCCTAAAATATACATTATTTTTTTCCTTTAAATCCTTTGATATGTGTGTGTTCTTTTAAGATCATTACCTACTCATTCCAATAACTGATCTGTGGGGCTGCTTATTCTTACTGTATTTTTCTGCTCCTTTGCATTTCTTGGCATTTCTTTTCCTTACTGTACTAAGGTCAAAATGAATGAAGGAACACGGGAAACTGAGGTATAATATTGCTTATTCTGTTTCTTTTCTCACAAACACAAACTCACTTTTCTATCTGGTAGTTGGTTGGTGTTGTTCAGGGCTAAGTTGTGTCTGACTCTTTGTGAGCCCATGGACTGTAGCTCGCCAGGCTCCTCTGGGATTTCCCAGGCAAGAATACTGGAGTGGGTTGTCATTTCCTTCTCCAGGGGGTCGTCCCGACCCAGGGGTTGATCACGTTTCTCCTGCATTAGAAGGTGGATTCTTTACCACTGAGCCACCAGGGCAGCCTATCTGGTAGTTAGAGTGAGGCAAATTAACAGGAGGAAACGTATCAGGTAGGAACGGAAAACCTGAAGATACACTAAGAAGCCTGCTTCATTTCTGCATCATGTAAACTACGCAGGACTGCTACTTCCTAACTAGGTGACCCTGGATAATTACCGAACATCTACCTGAGTCTGCTTCTACATGTGTAAAGTAAAAATAATCATTACATATTTTTTAAATGTGCTGTAAATACTGAATAAAAGAATGCACTCAGCAGAGTCCCTAGAATACCACAAGTTTTCAATAAATAACTAGTAGCAATAAGGTTTAATAAATGCAAATTATTATTAGTAGTTGCAGTACCAATGAAAGAGAGTTAGTCATAATACTTATTCTAAAATACTAAATCCACAGAGTTATGATAGTGGGATTAAATGTAACATAGAGGTCTCTAGCAATATTTCTCATCAAGAACATGAGTTATAGATTTGAATTTCGATTATTTCCACTCACTAGCTGGATAAACTTCAGCAAGTTACTTTACTTCTCTAAGCCTCAGTGTCTTTACCTGGAAAATAAAAAAACACAGCATCTACCTAACTTTTCAGGACTGTGGTGAGGATTAGCAAAAACAACAGATACAAAGCAGGTAGATATTTACTATGACAACTAAGAGGCAACAAAACCGTTGCAGACAGGGAATGCTGCCTGCCATTCCCATTGTACAAGGTCAAGCCATCAGCCACTGCCGTTTCCCACAGCTGTGCGCCCTGAGGGGGATTCAGGATGGGGAGAAATGCAAAGCATTCTGCTCTTTAGACACTGGCCCGACGGCCAAGGTGCACATTCCAGGAACAGTTTCAGTGAGCCCAGACCCTCGCACCTTCCTATACACAGAAAAGCGCGAAAACTTGTAGGCTGTGTGTAAGCGCCCACATCTAGCGATTTTCACCGAGTCTAAGGTATGGAGCACACTGCACAGTTCAGTCTGAGTCTCTGTTCTGAACTTTTTCTACAGGAGCCATTCTCAGTTTAGCAGGGGGTGGCGTGGCAGTAAATGCCTGGAATGGGATGTTCTACTGATGAAAAGCTGCCCTGTATAGGAAGGCAGTAAAAAGGCTGGGGGAAAAAAGCAAGTCAATTGAGCATCTACCCGTTTATTCTATTTATAAGCTACAAGGTTTGATGCAAAACTAATTTAATCAAGCTGAAAATATGAAACATGTAGGGAAAAAATCTCAGAAGCATAGCTTCTATCCATGGCTCATTCACTGTGCCATTGTGTACACAGAGCAGTCTCCACACTGGAGTCAACATAAGAACAGGCGCAAATTCATTCCTCAGACAGAACCTGGAGTTTTTCCCTCCCTCTCTCATGGGCTTCACTACTTAACAACAGACACAGAATAACCAGTGTTAGATACCTTACATTTGCAGAGCATAAAATACAATCGCTCAATGGTGTACACAGGGCTTTGGTTTCAGGACCACCCACAGAAAGCAAAGCCTTGGTGCTCAAGTCCCTTATATAAAATGGAGCAGTACTGGCACAGGACCTAAACAACACATCTTCCCTTATAGTTTACATCATATCTAGATTATTTATAATATCTAATACCATGCAAACGTTACATAAGTGGTTGTCAGCATTTGGTAAAGTCAAGTTTTGCTTTTTGGAATTTTCTGGGATTCCCTCCCCCCCCCCTCCCCCCCACTGTTGGTTGAATTTCAATATGCAGAACCCATGGATATGGAGGGCCAACTATAATTAGTAACAGGACTCAGACATAACCTAGGAAAATTCAATTGACATTTGATCATTCAAGTGAGCCATCTGCAGAGGCAGAATTGTCATGGCCCTAGAAGAACGATGAGCTTGAACCATACAAAACAGTAGTTTTTATAGGTCAAAATGATTAAATCTGAGAAACTACCTTGTTAAACATATCACTAGAATAAGTCTTCCAATTACTCAAATGTCCATAAGGTGGTTTAGTGGCTAAGTTGTGTCCGACTCTTTGCAACCCATGGACTGTAGCCTGCCAAGCCCCTCTGTCCGTGTGATTTTAGAGACAAGAATACTGGAGTGGGTTGCCATTTCCTTCTCCAGGGGATCTTTCCAACCCAGGGACTGAACTGAGGTCTCCTGCATTGCAAGCGAGTCTTTACCGACTGAACCAACAGGGAAGCCCTGTCTTTATAGAACCATTTTAAAAGGAATTAAGTGATCTAAAAAGGAAAGCTAGGAAAACTTTAAGAAATGGTATCAGACTATCCAGTAAACAGAAAAACTACTAAGGCAAAGATACCTATATGATCTCGGGTTTACTCGAAATGAAAAGCAGAATTACTTAAAAGCTAGACATTTATAGGGGTCTAATAGTTCCTGTTTGTTGTTTTATTCATCTTGTAGTACCAAAACCCTTACCGTATGGTGAGTTCCAATATTTGAGCAAGTCTATCATGAAGCAAATTTGCCTACGAAGGAGAGAAAGCAAATGTTACCCATGGATCCATTACCCTCGCAGTGTCCACATGTAAGAACACAAGGACGAAGCACGACTGCAGCTGTTGAGCTGATGGTGCAGAATGCTTACTGTCTTGGCTTTCTCTCAGATGCTGGAATTTAATGTAAAGTTTTTCTTCATTCCTTTCCTAGTCTCACCGGTAAAAAATAAATTGATACACATACAGAACAAAATACCTACAGCAAAATCATTGAAAACCACTGCAAAGAAATTTCAAAGCAACAAAAATCATTAACATTTAATTTGGGATCTGTCATTTCAATCAGCTTGTACCACACAAAGAAATTATTTAAGGCTTCATAGCTACATCTTCAGTTTTTGGTCCCTAGCCAATCCACTACCTTGTGGATTCTATTGACTTGCCTAAAGCTTAGAATCTACCCATCAATTACCATGAAAAGCTTCAAAAAAAATCAAACTCCATCCCCACCGCCTTCACTATGTGTTCACTTACTTTGGATTCACACTGTGCTGCTATTTCTTCAAAAGGTGCTTTCTGGAATTTCTCTATCACTAGACGCCTCTTTTCCTTTTCCTGTTCTTCCATTCCACTGGTATCTATATAAATGTTAAAAAAAAAAAAACCATTAAAAGGAATACAGAATTTCACAGAACACTGCCAATGACCCTAAGAGCAAATGATCTATACATAAAAAATAAGGATAATTTACAGGACTACTTGTTTAGGGAAAAAAGCAAAATATGTAACACCCCTGAAATGTCTTAGTTGAGGCCAGAGGGCACACACACAAGACTTCAAAATTACACCACACAAAACCCTTTTATTCATAGACTATCTCTGTCTCTCTTACCAAAAAAAGCTGAAGCACAACTTCCTACAAGTCAAGCAACTTCAAGGCCCTTCCTGAAGGATGATTATCTTATTTATAATCATGCCCTTGCACATATGAGGTACCAAATAAAAAGTCTGCTAAATCTGATAATGAATGGTATGACTGAAATATAGATATGGTCAAGTGGAACCATATTGGTTTAGTCTTTTCCATTTATCTTCCACAATTTGAAAAGGGACTGTTTTTATCTTAAAATGATGTGTGGTCTGGTCAAAGATAATAAAACAATAAGCAGTCTGTCTTTTTGATGCTACTGATATAATAACCGTGTCTATTTGCTTAACAATTTGAAAGAAGGCTAATTAATGGTTTAGTTATTGATGGTCTACTTTAACAACCCAGTGGGTCAACAACTTCATAAGGCAAAACACACTCTGTTCAAGGTTCTTAAAACAAAGCTGCTCTTCAGGTACACAAACTAGGTAACAATTAGCTAAGTTTAAAAAATGGGAAGTAGCATGTAGAAAGGAAATTGTTTGTTTTTTTTCCCCCCTCTGAAATTGTGTCAGGCTAACAAAGTTGTAGAATTTATGTACTTCTTCTGAGTGAATGTAATACAGAATTATGATCACATCTCAGGCGTTCACTGGCCCAGGGCCACAAGCTTAAATGTGCCAGAGGTCAGGCAGGAGACATAAATGTTTTAAATTAGGTCAGTAAAAGCAGTAAGAAAAACAGACTTGGGCAAGCTGAGCATGTATCTCTGGTCTTTATTCAAATTCAATTTCTGAAAATAATGCTTCCACCCAAATTTGGCCTGCAGGCGGCAAATCTGTCCAGCAGTTCTCAAACTTTCTGCTTTCAAGACTCCTTTATGTGTTACATTACTTGGTAATTTCTGTATTATAATATAAAAATGAGACTTTAAAAATGTTCATTAAATTCATCAAAAACTCAAACCACTATACATTAACATAAATGTTTAATGAAAAAATAACCATATTTTCTAAAGTGAAAATTTAGTGAAGAGAATGGCACTGTTTTATATTTTTGCAAATCCCTTTAATGTCTGACTTAATAGAAGTCAGCTGGATTCTATCTGCAAACATTCAATGCATTGCAATATGTTATTTTGGTTGAAGTATATAAAGAAAAAACTAAACTCACACAAGCATGTACTGATATGTTGGGAAAGAGTAATTCAATAGCCTTTTTACAGAATTGTAGCTATTTCTTCTACAATAAAATATGACAACTGGTAGTTTCTTAAAAGTTAGTTGCAATATGGAATCTGAAGCTTTACTAATGAACTTTTTACAACTGGTTATATTAGCATCTATTGGTCTGTTTTACACTTTGAATAGAGTTCTACTAATGCATGACTCTGTAACATCGTGCGATGGTCATCTGGAATACTGCTCCACTGATTTCTGCAGATCCTCTAGATAACTGGGAGTGTGTGGCATCAAAGAATGCGATGACCACCAGACCAGTCTGAGGCCACTGCCTTCATTCATGTTAGTACATGCAGTAGAGAAGCAAACTATGTCCTACTGTTATGCAGAAAATACTTTTAGACTTGAGGATCTCTTGAAAGAGTCTCCTCTAGGGCTCCAAGGGACCAAAGATACTCTGACAACACTGCCAAACTGTAAATTCCTCAACATGCCTTATCAATGTTTAAATGTCTCAAACTATCTTGTACATAACAGGTGTTCAAAATTGCTTAGTAAATTCAATTTTATTTTGACGAATCTGATATCATAATACGGTAAGAAAAAAAATCCTCTAAAAGATTAAGCTGAAAAAGGTCAGGTTTTATTTCATGTATGATGGGTACCAGAGTGTTTCATGCCCCTTGATAATGATGTTCTTATTCTAATATTTCTTAAAATCAGAGCCAATTTCCACTGTCTATAGTGAAAGTCAATTTCCACGCTCTATTGCTTTACCAATTAGAAATAAATTCAGATCAGAGCATCATTAGCCACCAGGAATTTATATTAATACTTAATTGAAGGAATCATTCAAAAAAATTTTAGAAGAGGCAAAGTGTATGAGGTAAAATTCATTTCCAGAAAGGCGAAAGGAGAAAAATCAAGAGTATTATTTTATGCAAAGATAAGTGTAAAGATCAGAGTCAGCCAGACATGGGTATAAGATTTGGCTCTGGTATTTACTAGTTATGTGATCTCAGGAGAGTTGTTAATTTCTCTGCCTCAGTGTTCTCACTGATGAAATAGCAAGAATTAATGTGATAATGCCTACTGACAATTTCTGCCAGGTCCTTTCTCCTACCCCATTAGAAACACACCTCTAACTACACTGCTATATGCCTCCTAAAAATGACTCTACATAATTTTCAGAATTTTCATCTGCCCATTTCTTATAAAAGGAAATACACCGACTGCTTCTCACAAATTCATGCAGCCTGAATGCTGGCCACCAAATAAGGGTGACATTCAAATAAACAGTGATGTGCTTTCATAGTTCTAGAAAACTCAGTCTGTACCAAGGAAAATAATTATCCAGGACAAGACAGGACAATCACAAAAACCTAAAGAATGTAAGCTAATAAACTGATACTATATTTATAGAGAAATCAACAGTATATACATGTGCCATGTTGCCTCTGGTAATTCTGGCATCTAAACAAGTACTGAGATAAAGATAAGCTAGTAAAATACTAGGAAAGTTAACAAGCAAAATATGCCTATATGCACGTCAGGAAGCAACAGTTAGAACTGGACATGGAACAACAGACTGGTTCCAAAATGGAAAAGGAGTATGTCAAGGCTGTATATTGTCACCCTGCTTATTTAACTTATAGGCAGAGTACATCATGAGAAACGCTGGGCTGGAGAAAGCACAAGCTGGAATCAAGACTGCTGGGAGAAATATCAATAACCTCAGATATGCAGATGACACCACCCTTATGGCAGAAAGGGAAGAAGAACTAAAGGCCTCTTGATGAAAGTGTAAGATGAGAGTGAAAAAGTTGGATTATTTAAAGCTCAACATTCAGAATACTAAGATCATGGCATTTGGTCCCATCACTTCATGTTAAATAGATGGGGAAACAGTGGAAACAGTGTCAGCCTTTATTTTTTTGGGCTCCAAAATCACTGCAGATGGTGACTGCAGCCATGAAATTGAAAGACGCTTACTCCTTGGAAGGAAAGTTACAACCAACCTAGATAGCATATTAAAAAGCAGAGACATTACTTTGCCAACAAAGGTCCGTCTAGTCAAGGCTATGGTTTTTCCAGTGATCATGTATGGATGTGAGAGTCGGGCTGTGAAGAAAGCTGAGCGCCGAAAAATTGATGCTTTTGAACTGTGGTGTTGGAGAAGACTCTTGAGAGTCCCTTGGACTGCAAGGAGATCCAACCAGTCCATCCTAAAGGAGTTCAGTCCTGGGTGTTCACTGGAAGGTCCCACCCAGGACTGATGCTGAAGCTGAAACTCTAATACTTTGGGCACCTCATGCGAAGAGTTGACTCACTGGAAAAGACCCTGATGCTGGGAAGGATTGGGGGCAGGAGGAGAAGGGGACGACAGAGGATGAGATGGCTGGATGGCATCACCGACTCGATGAACTTGAGTTTGAGTGGACTCCGGAGTTGGTGATGGACAGGGAGGCCTGGCGTGCTAAGATTCATGGGGTCGCAAAGAGTCGGACACGACTGAGCAACTGAACTGAACAAGCAAAAATCTTACCAATTGCTTTCTTCAGTGCTTCAAAGGTGATTTCTTCAGTGTTACTAACCTAGAGAAAAGTGATTTTAAGTAAAATAAAGGGTTAAGAAAGGTCAATATAAATGACACCCTTACCTAGTTACAAGTCATCTAAGACCTTTTACAAATATTTTCTCTTCTTTGTGTTGGATGGATTCATGATTATACTCCACAGTATCAAATAATCATCACGTTTTCCTTGGTTTTAACAATAGCCTACCACAGTGGCGATGCTTTATTGCGACTGTGCTGCTAAGTACGGTTATCATCTTGATTTTACACACTTTCATCAGCCTTTTTGGAGAAGGAAATGGCAACCCACTCCAGTATTCTTGCCTGGAGAGTCCCAGCGATAAAGGAGCCTGGTGGGCTGCCGTCCATGGGGTCGCACAGAGTCGGACAGGACTGAGCAACTGACACACACACCACAGTGGTTCCCCAAACAAGCCTACAGGCTGATGCTGGGCTGGCAGAGCTAGCACCCTTTAAGGCAACCCAACTAATATTCAAGGCAGAGAGTGTGTATAAATGCAGCTTCAGCTGTGTGATAAATGAGAACTAAGTATTCTGTACTCTCTATAATTGTGGTACCACATATATGTTTACAAATCAAAAATGAAATAATCAGAAACTCTGAATGGTTTAAAAGCAAGAATCACTACTTTGGGAAGTGTACAATGAGTACAGTTAACCAACATCTTAAAATAATCATATTCTGGATCTTTTAAGGTCAACCACCAAGTCTGATTCCCCTGACCTCTCCCTCGTCTCCAGCCTGGCTACCCCAGACCCGCTTCACCCTCAGTGCAAGCCACCACAGGTGTCTCCTGTCTGGCCTCTCTACCTCCAGTCTCTTCTCTCCAACGTAGCCTGGCCACACGTTTGAGGTTCTTTTTACCAAAGCCCAGCTCTGACTGCCCAACTCTCAGCGTGCTGCCATCCTATGGGAGCACACACAAAGCCCTCGGCCTGGGGATGAAATGTTCCCTGACTTGGCTTCAGTTCTGTCTCCCACTTTTGTCTTTTGTGAATTTTCTCTTTTTTCAAAAAAGAGGAATTTCTTTATACTAATGTTTAATGATTCATATTTTTCATACAAAGTAGCTGCTACATACAAGCCACCTACTTCATTTGGTGCTCAGGCAAACCACAGTCTGTTCCAAGTCTATAGAAAACACTGGTTGTGCTACAGTTATTGGGAAATGGTGCAAAGGTAGGCTCTCAGAGGAGTTCCAACATTCCTTTACTCTTTATGACTTTGGCCTCACGTATGACCTGTAACTCTCGCTTAGACTGTACAATGCCCTTGAGCCTGTGTAAAATCTGCTATGCCTTTCCCAACCAGACTAGCTGTCACGTCACTTTCACTGATGAGTGCCTTCTTGCTCTGCTAGCGCACATATAGGTTCCTTCAGTTGTACTTGGGGGAAAGGCAGGAGTAGGCATGTATGTATAAAAGATCTGCTATTTGTCCTAGAAAAAGTGACAATCCTTCTCAGCCAATCAGTGACTTAATATTGTATAAAAAATTTAATTTGTACTCCAAATTTAACATGTCTAACTTCCCATCCATTCCCCCAAATAATCAAGCACTGACTATTATCTTTTTGAGAGAAGAACTGAGTCTTGGTTTCAGGTTTTACTTATATTCATTATGTGTATCAGTCATGCTGATAGGGCTCAGCAAGCACGAGATCAGAGTCATGCCTGTGGTGCCTTCTTCTATTAGTCAAGCTGATCATTTAATTTCAGGAAGCAGATATGCCTCTATTCTATTTTAGTCACTTATCTTCTTTAATTGTTTAATTTAATTTAGGTATCTTTATACCTATATAGGGCAATTTTTAGGAGAAGTTCACTAAGGATTCACAGTGGGCTAAACCTTCAATTGCAAATGTTAGAACTGACATACCGCAATAGACCAGGTATTTTAATAGATCAATAATAAGCTGAGCTATAACTAGGGAAAAACAATCGTTTTGCCATGATCTCCATCTAAACAACAACAACAAAGTTACAATCTCTAAAAGCAGGTATCAAATATAATCTGAGGACTATATGGGATTATGTATATATAATTTCACATAATTTTGATGAAATAATGATTGTTTTCAAATGAGCAGTTTTTAATTTGATTCACTGTTAGCAAATATACGTATTCTCAGTTTGATATTTTGTTACACCATTAGCTGGAGAATACCTAACTGATGAAAATCTCTCCTGTCCACACAATGAAATTACTTGGTTTTAGCCTGGAAGGTACCGTTATTCTGTCTTCTGGGATCTGAACCACCATTCCTAACACACAAAATTAGGTACCACAATGGTAAATGAGTTTGAAACTCCAATGTGCTCAACTAAAAACTGTACTTAATTTTTCAAATACTCAGGGTGAGGTGTATTTGACTTAGGATTTATACTTAGAGCAAAGATAGAACAAAAGGATCTTTAGTAATTTAACAAATGTATTAATGAACTTTTAATGTAAAATTCATGCTCAAAGAATCTTCCTCCTATACTGTCTTCATGCAAATGTCTTTTCAATTCATTTTATTAAAATAAACTGACTCTCTGCAACAGTTTGAAGTGCTATATATGTATTTTTAGGAGAAATAAAGACGGTTAACAAAGGGCAAAGGGAAAAATTCCAGTCAATAAAATAGACTGCACTCTTGACACACATAAATTAAGGCTTTGGATGAATTTCTTCCCTCAAAAAGTATTATCAGCAAATTCATAATCATTAAAGATAGAGTTAGCAAGGCATCTTCCTTGCTAATAACATGTAAAAATTAAAATGGCTTTGGAGAGGTGAAATTTAGGGAAGATGATTTTTCTTGAGTCTTAAATTGGTAAGAAAACTTTAAACCAACCTTGAGGCCCCAAGTTCCAAAATGAACACCAACAGCTTATTCAAACTACTCCAATATTCTGAAGTTAATTTCTTTATAAAACTGCTTAATTCTACATAAGAGGGAGCTAAAAAGCTTGAAAGATATAAATTAATTGGCTGTACCCTGGCCACCAAATAGTTTTAATTCCTGCAGACAAATTAACTGACAGGGATTGGAAGCAGGAGGAAGAGAGGAGGCTGAGAAAGCATAAATTCAGACAATTTCCTTCCCCTTTTCTTATATGGATATTCTTTTAATCATTTATACTGTACCAAGAGAAATAATGAAATACCTAGGAAGCAAACAATGGATAAACCACAAGGAGGAGGCTGACTTGACATGCTGGCACATCGGCACTTTTACTTGACTATCAAAAAATTCTCTGCTGATTTGTGTGGATAAGTCCTAGAGAATACTGGCTGCTTTCTCTTCCTATAACTCAGGAGGGTACACTCTTGTGCTCTATTGAAACAGGAGGAGAACATTAAATCTATGATATTTCAAATAACTCCTTCAAGAGTACACAGGTTACTGATAGAGTTTAACCTACATAAAATGTTATATTTACTTTCCAAAATGATTAAAAAAATTATCTCATAGGTGAAATTTTTAAACTTTCTAAAAGTAGTGGGTATTTGGCGTCACTTGAGAGTGTATAATCCCATTTATTCTCACAACTTATGTTTCATAAATCTTTTAAAATAAATAGGATTAGAGGGCCTATTTATTTAATAAAAGGCCTTATATAAGTTCTTACTTATTAAAAAAGCTTAGTTCTATGGTTTCTTTTACTACAATGTGAAATGCAGTGATACCATAACACTTAATATTAAATTTATGTATCTTTATAAGTATCTGAAATGAATTCAGCAAAATAAATTGTAAATTACAAGTTCAAGGCTAAATCAAATTAACATCTACTAACAATTTTGCTTATTTAGGAATAATTCAGAGTTGTATTTGCTCCTTAAAGTGTAGAGGGGCAAAAAGCTCTTTCAAATTGACTGATGTCTATCTCAAGACAGTACTTGGTCATAAACTTTCAGCAACTTACCACATCATCAGAAGGAATGCTGTTGGGTAAAATATCCACCTGAATGGATACGGTGTCCACAATACTCTTCCTTCTAGAAAGTCGATCTTCATCTACAATAAAAAAAAAAAAATTCCCCCATTATTTGCTAGTTAGAAATGGTGTATCATGTATAAATTCCAGTTATTTCAGATTTCAAAAAATTTCAGAAAATTAAGAGAGGTTGTCTTTTTGTGCTTTTACTGAATATATAAAGCAGTGCGCTCAGACTCCAGCAGACTTAGAAATGAGACTGATGGACCCAGTCTCACACAGTTGGCCCCTGAGTGAGATGGAGGTAGGGGCGCAGACACCGGAAGGGTCAACAACCAGTCCAGAACTTCAAAGCTGGCCCTCCATACCCCCAGTTCCATTTCCAGTCGAAAGTTTCCAATTTTGTATTAATCAATTCTATTCAACATGTTCTATCATGTTGAGGTTTAACAGAAAACAACAAAATTCTGTGAAGCAATTATGCTTCAATTAAAATATCAATTAATTAAAAAAAATGTTCTAAACTCAATTTTAATGTCTCTAAGAAAACCTTCCTTATCTCTACACTGTCACATTTATTTTTCAAGAGAGCCATCCTTCAGAATTTTTTATCTTGTCTTATGTAGATTTGAGGATGGCTTCTGAAGTGGTCTAAAACAGCACTCCCTCTTATACCACCACAGCAGAGCGGCTTCTAAAATGAATCTTTTTCAGACTAACTTGTAATTTTAAAACAAATCCAGCCTACCGACTAATGCTGAGCTTCCCAAGATTTTGCACATCGAAGCATACACAAAATTATAGTACATGTAAGGCACACGGAGCTCAATGGAAGAGGCTGCCTGCACTGTAAGCTGACTGCCCAACCAGACCCAGCTACCTGAAGAGCTAAGGAGATCAGTATTCAGACACACCTGTAAGGTTCCCAATAACAGGGAGCTCAGGTCTAGAATCAGCCTAACGGCACAGTCAGTCATGTCAAAATCTGGCGACACTCTATCTTTCTAATTTCATTTTGTATATGCAGTTGAACGAAGGAAATGGCAACCCACTCCAGTATTCCTGCCTAGAAAATGCCATGGACGGAGGAGCCTGGTAGGCTACAGTCAGTCAATGGGGTTGCAAAGAGTCGGACACGACTGAGCAACTTCACCTTATGAACAACCTGGGAGTTTGGGGCACTGACTCCTCTGCAGTCAAAAATCTGCATTACAACTTTAATTGGCCCTCCAGATCCATGGTTCTGCATCTGCAGATTCAACCAATTGGAGATCACATAATACCGTGGTACATATTTATTGAAAAGTATCTGCATTTAAGTGGAACTATGCAGTTCAAACCAGTGTTGTTCAAGGGTCAACTGTACTGTAATTTTATTCTTCTGAAGGGGTGAAGAATGAACTAAAAGAGGGCAAACATAAAGAAATTGGTTGTTTGGGACTTTCCTGGTGGTCCAGTGGTTAAGACTCTGCTCTGGGCGTGGGATTGCTCCCTGGTTGCGGAACTAAGATCCCAAAAGCTGTGTGGCATGGCCTAAGAAAACCATTGGTTTCTTTCTTACTGACTACTCCTCTACTCCAAGGTAGCCTTCCATGGAAATAAATTACTGCTGTTAATCAAATATGGCAATTTGCTTTCTTTCTGGGACACGGAAGGATTGCAATTCCTGGCCTCTCGGTGGTTAGGAGGGACTCTGTAACTAGTTCTGGCCAATGAACAGTGAGCAACGTTCTAGACTATGGCTATTCCATCAGCTTGGACTCCAGAACATGGAGGATATGAAGTCATGCACGGCTAGCTGGAGCAACGAATAAGTCTTTACAATTTTAAATCACTAAGAATCTGTGTCTGTCTATTCTCACAGCACAACTTAGCCAGGATTCTTAACCTTGGCACTACCGGCATTTTGGGCCAGATAATTCTTGCCGTGGGAGCTATTCTGTGTATTGCAGAATATTAGCAACATCCCTAATTTCTGCCTGCTAGATACCAATAGGCCTGCCCCACTGGCGATAACTAAGAATGTCTCTAGGGTTGACAAATGGTTCCTAGAGTGGGAAAAATCACTCACAGTTGAGGACCACTGACCCACCCCATCCTGATAATAGACCTTTTGAGAATTTTCCCTGTATGCCACCATCTTATTGTAAGTTTCTTGAACACTAACCACATCACTCCTCCAAGCAATTCTACCCATTGCCTGAGGAAGTAAAAAGGCAATCTGCATTCTCCAGTCAGATCCTACAAACAGGAACATCAGCTGTTCCCTGATGGATTAAGGCAAATGCGCCTATTCTCCAGTCTCTGAGCATCTGCCTCACATGCTTTTCTACAAACAGGAACTCCTACGGGAAACACCTGTTACCTGCCCTTTCTTATGTCCCCTCCACCATAAAGACTCTTAATCTTTCAAGCTCTACTTACACACTGCATCGCATCCTTTAAATCTTAAATATTACTTAATTGTTTTTACTTACTTGTCTTTCTTCTAGCTACAGAAATTTCCTATCGATTATGACTGATCTTTCCTTATCACTATTCAGTCATTATCACTGGTAAGTCATTAACTGGGCCTTGAACTACCAACATGTAAATCAGTGCCTTATCTCCGCAACTGTACAAGAATTTAGTGGCAGACTGTTTTGCATCTGTCATCTAGCAGTTACTCAGGTTCTGCTGTATAAAGGCTGGAAGTACAGAATGAATACATACCCATCTGTGACAAGTTACTACATATTGTTTCACTACAGTTTTCAGGTTGAAAATATCTTATCTCCTGCATATGACTATTACTGAGGTAACCAAGACACTGTACTTTTTCTAATTTTTCCTCATGATCATATGCTAATATAAATCACCAAACATAAAAATCAACATCAATGGAACTGTTATAAAACAGTATGGTCATCACTGTTGACTTGCTTTTCAACTTTCAAGGCTTTACCAGAACTCAAAATGAGGAATAAATAACAGCCTGCTTCTCAAAAAAACCCATACAAGAATTTCTAGGTTAATATATGAAACCTGATGGGTTGCAGAAGAATTGAAGCTTAAGATAAAAATAAAAAGGAAAGGAGAAGTACAGAGGCAGGAGAGGGATCACTGAGTAGCAAAAATGAGTCAGACGGGAGGGAAACATAGGGGCAGAGATTTCAGACAGACAAGGAATTTTTCAAAGGAAGAACATGAAACTCAATGGGAAGCTCTTAACACTATTCTCAGAAAGTTCTTTCTTTTCACCAATAGAGTAACCTGCTTAAAGGTGATAGAAAAAGCCCAGTCACAACTAAGTATCATGCACATCTACACATGAGTAAGCTCTTCACAACACAGCTTACAGAAGATAATGCCCCTGTTTTCATGGGCTATTCACATCTGCTCCTGACCTGCCCTTCAAGGTCGGCTGAGACGCAACATCACTGCAGCTGCTGTAGATGGCCCTGTCCTGCCAGCTCGAGAACTGCCTGTCAGGAGAACTGCCTGTCAGAGTCTCAGCACCTCATGTGTGCACCCCTGGGGCAGACCCTTGCTTCCCTTCCTCAGGCTGGCCTGGGCAGTCTCAGACGTTACTTTCTATGCCCTCTCCGTTTTCCCACCCCACCTCCCTCTCCACTTCCTATAATCTGCTGTTTGCTATGGTAATCACTGTTTCTTCTTTCTGTTTTTAATTGCAACCTGGGTTTTAGAGCAATACTTGGAGACAGTGAGGCCTAACTTCTTTCAGTGATATTCTGCTGCCACCTGGAGTGTTGGTGTATAATGTATGGAACTGAATTCAGACAGCTAAAGAATAATGAAACACAAGTATACACAATACTCTGAACACAAGTATAACACAGAACTACATTAAATTACTCAATATAATTGCCTATGGTTGTATAAAAAAAAGGCAGAAGAACTTAACTGTATATTAATAAATCATGAAATGTAATTAGGGCCACAATGCTGCTCCGATTCAATTAAAAAGCTAACCGGCAAAATGAAATCTCAGAGGTAACTTATTTATACAAAACTTCATTTTAACACTGATATTACTTATACAGATAGACTTTTTTGGTGTTATAGAAAAACACAAAATTCCATCTAGAGCTAACGCATGTTTATTTATAGTGACACTGTTTTTTTTAGGTTCTATGAATTCTTATCAAGTCATTCCCTGTTTAAAATCATTTAATGACTCCCCATTGCTTTCAGAACAGTTCGAACTATTTAATCCGGTTTTACAATTCCCAATCCTACTCTTCCAAGTCACTCCGAAGTAGACTAACTTTATAGTAGTTCTTTGAAAAATCATCTTCTTGCTCGCCTCCATTCTTCCACACATGCTGTTACTTTGGCATGAAACAGCTCATTAGCCTAACACTTGCTTTAGGCTCAGCTTAGGGAAAACACCCCTGGTTTCACAAAACCTGGACGGAAGACTCTCCCAGGTGCTGCCTGAGGACCCCAAACCTCTGATGATAGTCTTTAAGGCGTACTGCAATCATCTAGTTAATTGTCTTGTTAGACAAACTGTATAATGAATTAACTTCTTTCCTATGCATCTAGAATAAAACTGCTGATGTGCCATCTCGGGAGAACTGAGAAAAATGTCATTCAAAATCATCTTCTGTGTTTCTTGGTCCAGATGAGGAATCCCATTAGGAAAGACTGTATGCTTTGTTAAAGCAAGAACCTCTACCTGTCTTGCTTATTCTTGCTTTTGCTTGCACAGTGGCTGCCACACTGTAAAAACTCATTAAATACTGTACCCCTTCACAGAGGAGCATGTAACACACACCTAGACATACACTATCAACTCAAATTCTAGGCTGATTTGCAATAATTAGCTAACATTTATTGATCACTTACTTTATGCCAGTCACTAAATGTTCAGTAAGCTTTAGGCAGACCATTCTTCTTTCTTTAGAACCAGTTACCATTATATTTCAACTGTTTGTCTGTCTTCTCCACCAAACTTTAATCCTTGAGGATAGGGACTGAATCTTAACATCTTTCTACCCCAAATGTCAGAAGAGTGTTTGATATAGGAGACACTCAGTAAAGGTTTGTGGAATACAAGAAAAAATAAATCTGGATCAATACGGATGACTGAACAATCTTTGAGCACACAGTTGGCAAAATCAATTTATTAAGCACCTAACTGAACAGGCAAAGCAGTTAATTCTAGTGGCCTTACCTAATCAAATTATTTAATTTCAGCCTCACTATTCCTCATTTGTAAACAAAATCAATGCTACTTTCCTCACCAAACTACATTCTCAGATTAGCTGAGAACACGAATACAGAGTATCACTGTGACTGGCAAACACTCAGTACATAATAAATGGCAGCTACTATTTTGACGATGAAGGATACACATGCATGATACACAACAACCTAAATATTTAAACTTTTTAAAGAAGATTTAAATCTTAAATCCCTTATTTAAAAAAAAAATGAATATCTGATGGTTATACAGCAAAAGGAAAATTTAATAATTGATTGATTATGCCACAAAATCTTACTATGTCTTCTGACTCTCTCTGCATTAAGGCAGGACACACATGCCACAGACTGGTTCTAAATTGCCAAAATCTTTATAAATCAGAAAAACCTTATTCATACTGAGGGATTTCTGTGCAGTTACATAACTAAGTATATGCTGAAATGCTCAGAATTCTTCTAGTCAGTGATAGACAGGCATTAAAAAAGAGAATACATCCTTTTCAGGGGTGGGAAGAAATGAGAAATACAAACCATTTGTTAAAAAAAATAAATGTACATAATTTTCATTAAGAACTGTTTAGAGTTAAAGGAACAGGGTAGAAGGAAATAACAATGGATGGAAAGTAAACTACAGCTATGGGGAAGGTAGAGCAAAACAATAACTGAATTTACAACTACATAAAATACACAGGCCACTGTCTTCATTTTCTAGAAGGCAGTTGTATTAAGCTATTTTCCTAAAGGATGGGGGAGGGAAAGGGCAGGCCAACTGACACTGGATTTACCTTTGCACTTGTGCCTGGGTTTATGAGGTTTTTTGCCTGAAGGAAAGAGAGCTAAATACAAATTATAAGAATGAAATATTTTAAAAACCTATTTAAAAAATTCTTTTAAATTACAAAGCTCTACTAATGTTTTATTTTTAGCACTTTTATTTTCCCAAGGAATTCCTGAGGAACAGAATTTTCTATACTATGGAATTTAAAAGAAAATGCAAAAGCTTTCATTAACATCTCAGACTATTATGAACAACTATCTGTAATAAATATACATTTTTGGATCCATATTATAAAAAAGAGTAATTTCCAAAGATCATGCTACTTCTAGCGATTAATTCAGAAAACTACCTAAATGAAATCAAACAGCTCTCTTACAGAACAGATGCATCCCTGAAGGAAGAACTAGTTTTTCTAACAAATTTAACATTTATACAATCATCAAAAGAAAATGAAGGTGTCCTAAGATAAAAATCTTTGATTTTCGTTTTCAAAGTAAAAAGTGAATGCAAGATATGATGCAGTTTTGCTTTGAAACACAATTATCTCAGGCAATGAAAAGAACAGAAGAAGATACATTATACACAGAGGAAAACATATCTTAACTTAAAAAGTTTGCAGGTTTCTTTACATAGCAAATAGTCTGTACTCTTTCAAATGACAAAAATTACCTAATTCATTAAGCTCAACAGTCACAAATTACTAACCAAATGATTTTTACCAATTTCCTGAAGTTAAACACAATATTGCTTAAAGAGCAAAGATCTTACCTTGCTTCTCTGTTTAAAGAATAATAGTATTCAGTATAATAATACATGAAGTATAATAGTTATCACTTGAGGATTCAATTTGCTCATGATAAAACCATGTATATGTCTTTTACTAAAGGTTTTCAAGAACAAAATTTTAAAATAAAAGTAGGCTTCCTTAAGCATCTGAAACAGCTGTGATATAGTAAGCACACAAACAGAATTAATTCTCATTGCTAACTGAACCCGCAGAACACCTGCTGATGCATACTCAACAGAGGAAGTGTTAATCGCCCCGCTTACCTGTCACCTGCGGCACATATGGGACTGACAACCTCTCAACACTATAGCCACTGCCCCCGAGCGACTCTGCTATCTTGTTGGTCAAAAAGTACAGATTTTTGTCATGCTTCTCTAAAGATTTTGGAAGCCTGTCAAGTTGATCAAAACAAAAGTCATTTAGTATTATTTAAAATAAATTAACATATCAACATTCTAGATCAAGGTCTAAATATAAATCCAACTTAAACTGTAATTAGTCACAGGAAAATCAGTATATTTTAGGTGACTAATTTGAGCTCTTTAAAAACATATGGAGTGTGGACCCAGTTAGGAAGCATTCTGCTGTTATTCTTCCCCAGTAATGTCCCAAGGGTGAGGTCAGCCTTATCTTATCCTACTGGTATTCGCACATTAAATGATGAAGAGGACTAAATTCAGCTTTAACTATCATGCTAATTAAAAATCTACTGTGAGAAGAAAATAAAAATGAAGCTCACTGACTATCAATCAAGAATACACTAGCCAACTAAGTGAAAAGAAGCTCTTGTCCAAGACATACAGCTTCACTGTCCTTTCAAACTGCTTGGTATTACATTATGCTGATGCTTTCAGTATTAAACTGCTTTTAGAGTCCAAAAGTTTGAATGAAGTATTTTTCATATATATATTTTTTTGTTTGGACAGCAAGAAAAAAACTCAGGGTATAACCATAGTTTTTTGGAAAACATTCTTCCTCCCATAGTTTTATTAATATTGTTATCTATTATTGAAAGTCTTGAACAAGATATTACAGTCTCTTCAAGGAGTATTCACCTATATATCAGAACATGCTACATTTAAGAGTTGCATCTTCATGTTTAAAAAAAGTTAAGCTAAAATTCTTTTCATCAAAGACTGAATCTATGTGTGTATGAATCCACATTTATAATTCACAAGAACTTATATAACAAGAGAAACAAGTCAGATGAGTTAAGTGACAGAAACATAAAACAACGAGGATTATAAAACATCAGAAAATTATTCTAACACTAGTTCATTCCTTTGCAATCATCATTTACTGATTTCTCAAGTCAATGCCCCTTCCTTGAAATGTAAAGCATTGACATACATGCACTTATCTCTGAAAATATGCTCTGGTAGAAAATAAGGGGCATCCATAGTTCGAATTTCAATAACCTGAAAAATATCCAAAAACAAAATAAAGTAAAAATCAAAGCCTTACCCTTCAGGATGCTGCCACAAAAATTTGGAAAACTAAAAACACAGAAACAAAAACTAAACATTTATAAGAAATATCATCACTTTATTTTGGAATTTAAGCTACAGTTTAGAACCCAAATGAAGAGTTCGTTTTGTTTTCACGTTTGTGAACTCAGCAGGTAACAAAACCACAGTGATAAAACAATACAAGCTGTGAAAAAAGATGCTACATCACATCCGATCAAACCTGGCACAGTGACAGTCAGAACCTGAACTTTCTCAAACACCCTGTGTGGGGACCGCCCCACAGACAGCAGGCCTGCGCAGGGCCCCTGCTCCACGGGGCCTTCTGCCGCCCACGCCTGTGGTCTCTGCGCTCTTCTGAGGTCTAGCTCCCTCTCTCACCTGGGAGCCACCTAAAGGGGAACCCTGCTTTCACAGAACTTGGATCTTTAACAGCAGATGTCAAACAGTCACTCAAACGTTTGCTGAATGAATGAATGAGTTTTATTTCTTACAATGCACTAAAAAACCCCTACATTTTAGGAAAGACTGAGAAATGTGCTTCCAGTTTCATAAAAATGAGGCTCTCCTTGAAAGATGTCTTTAAAGAATAAAAATTACAGTGGACTTTCTCTGCAGGTAAGTCAGGGGCTCTGAAATGTATGCTAAACCATGCAGTAACTATTTAATGAGTTACTGCTGAAAAGCTAAATACAGTTAAATGACATAGGACAAATCTCTGAGAGATGTATTATTTATTCAATTTTTGAGATGTAACTCAAAGACTAGTTTAAAACATAATGACAATAAAAACAGTATAATTAAGGAAATATGAGATACTAAGATTCATAATGTTTTAAAAGGAAAGCAATTATATAAGAAATTGCATGAAGTATTCTAGAAGAAAACTGTTAACACAGAAAAATTCTAATACAACAACGGGCAAGAAAATATAAACAAGAAAATATAAACATAGCATTATCTTAATAATTAGATACATAACCATCAAAATTAAAAATAATTATCAATGGTAGAAAATCTGCCATTTTCGTACAGTTCAAATACAAGGACTTATCTAAATATATTACCTTGCTAACATGCTGGCAAAACGCAGGAACAGCTATCATCTGACTTACAAAGTTGAGGTATGCAGCAACCAGCGCCATGATTCCACAACGATGGAACATTGACAAATTATCTTCATTGATAATTGCACTGTCCTTTAATTAAACAAACAAACAAATACTGATAGATCAAGGTCTCATGCTCCATTAGTGTTTTTTCTATGATTATACTAAAAAAACTGCAGGTAAGTGGAATGATAACAAAAATGTCACCTTAGAAGCAGCTTTCTTTTAAAAAAAATTCTAAAAGGAGAATAAATGCCCATTTATAAGAGACTTAAAACTCTCAATTCAAATAGGTCTTCCTTAGGAAAGCCTTTCCTAAAGACAGGGGTACTCAGGGACTGGTGAAATGTATATCAGATATATAAAAATAAATGCATGTATTCTCATTGCACACAGTTCTATTATTACATAATATTTAAACTCTAATTAGACAACTCCATCTATGTTATTCTTATTACTTAACGACTATCCTCCCCACTGAAAGGATGGGCGCAGGGCCCATGCTGTCTTTTTCATCATGGTAATCCTATGGCCTTGAACAATATTTAGCACATGGTCAATACTTACTCAACATTTGTAAAAAGAATAAATGAATGTGATCCTAGTTTGAGTATTTTAGATTTAAAACTAGACAACTCACTTAAAAAATTCATGTCCCTGAATAAAGATGATAATACTTTAAAAATGGTGTCTAATTCATAAAAAAATGTTTTCGTCAATGAAAGGTTATGAAAGCATACCTGTAAAGCAATGGCTAATCGAATGAGATCAGTAACTACTTCTTCGTTGGCCAATTCAATAGTTATAAGAGCAAGAGAAGTATAAAGCAGCTCATAGTTTTTCTGAACATTGTCTTCCTCTTTACAGCCCAAATATATGTGCCGATATAGCTGCTGCCCATTCTGAAAAGGGAAATGATGCAGAAAAAAGTCTTGCTTTAAAATGTAGCAAGGCAGATTTCACAGGCCTATATAACCCCTTACAAAGCAGCTATCTTATCACATAACATGGGAGAGATTTAAACTGATAATTGGAGGGTCAAATTGTATTCTAATAATTAACATCAATAAATATATCGATATATAACTACACACTAACATTGGAGTTGAAGACAAAATTAAATAAAAACAGCAAGTCAGAAATAGTTCCAGTGTAAAGAATGAAAATGTCTTTACTAAATAATTTGAAAAGATAAGCAAATTATAGACAGATTTGAGAAAACCTGAAACAAATGGCAGAGTTATGGGAACCTTGGCAATGATAAGAAACACCTGGCCGAGGAGAAATGAACTCAGGTTTTCTTGCCTGAGGAAACAACCTCCTGAGAGGTGGGTTAGGAGCAGTCCAGGGAAGAGCATCTCCAGGCTCTGCCACACTTTGGTCTGAAGTGACACAGGCACGTCTAAAGCCCACCCATGAGGAGAGGTCACAGATACACCCCCGGGACTGTAAGAGGTTTCCCTCGGAAACAAACTGATCTAACATGTTCGTCAAGAACAGAAAAGCCTGTCATCTAAAGCATCCTAGAGTACAGGTCCAATTGTCAAGTGACGACAAACAGAAATAAGAGTTTTTCCCATTTCAAAGTACCACGTGGTAATTAACTCAACATGTTACACTGGTTTGCAACACAAACCTGTTAAGTTACAACTGGGAAACTGAATGACCACCACGCTTCCTCTCCACTAGGCCCCACTGCCCACCCCCGATAGGATTTAACTCATCAGTGAGGAAGCGTGAGCATCAGTGTTTTTAAAAGCACAAAGCTCCCCAGGTGATTGTAATGTGTGGCCAAGGTCACAGGCCACAACAGCACAGTCTTCTGAAGCCAGTCTGTCTATAAGGTTGTGCATTTTGCTCTGTAATTTATTTAACATGCACATGGATCAATGTAGGTAAGAGGGGCCCCTCCCTCTGTGCCAATGCCTGACTGGTTAAGCCTGTGCAGGTCTGAGGTTCAGTGTTAGTAAGTGGGGGTTTTCTGGCTACAGATACAGAGCTGTGTATGCTCTTCTAATAGATTCCCCTTCATTTCATTTTAAGGTTACAGATCAATACAAACCTACCTGAGAATTCAAATGGCAATAATTTAAGTCATGCACTGTATTTCAGAGATGATCTTACCTTTTTCATGAAACTTGTGTCTTGTCTACAAATTTTTTCTCTTTTTATTTTTAGGTCAGCCACATCTGGTATTATTCTAGAGAGAACCAATGCATCATTTTTTAAGGAATGACAATTATTATATCATATCTTATATGACAAATCATAGCTATACTTAGAAATCTCAACTATTTACCACTCATTTCAATGAGCATTTTAAATAACCTTATATGTAATGATTCTACTGAATAAACAAGTTTAATTAAGTAATACAACACAAAGTAATCCTTGAGGCAAAACCAAAACAAAATTTATGTAACTAATGATTCATAGTAGATGAGATCTCTGAAAGTACATTAAAAGACCTTTAACATTTACTATCTTACAAAAAAAAAAAAATTTACTATCTTAAAATATATTAGTAATTGTTAAACAAATTAAATAAAATTCTGGATTAATAAAACCTAAAAATCCTAGATGAAAAAAAGTACAATACTGCATAATGGTAATGGTGATGGTTCTGTAATTGTGAGTGTACTGAAAACCACTGAATTAAATACTTTAAAAGGGTAAAAAAAAAAAAAAATACTGTACTTAAATGCATCAATGTAGAAATCTGAAAATTTCATCAAGCCTATTTTCAAACAGCACATACCTGATCCCTCGAAGCTTTGCCCTGTTGTCATGGCGATCCATGAGATTATGCATTACTTCCAAGACTAACTGTCTCAGTTCATAGTCTTCCATGAGTGATGGTGATAGTAAGGGATCCAGAAAAGACCCTGGCAGTGCAGTAACTATTGTCTTTGCTTTGTATCCAGAAGTTACCTGATTACAGGGAGGAAAATCAAACAAAACACCTTTGTCATGAGTCGTTCCTTCTTTGATAAAACTCTCAAGTTGTTTTCTAAGAATCATAAGCTTAGGGAAAACAGGAAGTACAAACATAAGTCTGAAGGAAAAACTAAAAGAAAATTTGTGAGATGATGAGGATTTTACAAAAACATCATTCATAAAGTTAATAAAATCAGTATCAGTACACATTTACCATATACCAGGCATGACTCTAAGCAGTGTATCTGTACTAACTTCATCATTACCATGTTCCTATGAGGCTAGGAATTATTACTGCTTCCCCATTTTGTAAAAGAAAACCGAGGCTCAGAGAGGTTAAGAATATATGGGGCAGGAAGTCAGTACTAAATGGATATAAGGAGATTAGGTAACAAATAACACAGGTAAGATGTGAAAATTTTAAACTGGCAAATAATTATTTTATTTTAAGTTAAGCAGTTCAGTTTAATAGGAATGCATTTTCATTTTGGAAAGCTGTTTTCATTATTTGATGTGACATTTCTGAGTATATTCCTATATCTAAAGTTGGAGATTTTAATCAGCCTATACATAAATGCTATTAAACAGTTTAACCATAACACACAGACATTCGTTCAGTAGAGTATGTAGTACAATTAGGATTAGAGACAAGGTTATTTGCTCAGGGAATTTATTTAATAAAAAAAGCTTAGGACCAAATGAAATTTCAGGTGGGTAATCTCTATCTATATTCAGGATTACAAGCATATAGGGAACATCTACCATTTATATTTGGGCATTCATTATAGGATAAAGGTGATTTTATAAGTGAGTAGAAATTGGTGGGACAATTACTACTTACCTAAAAAAACTAAAAATATATCTATATTTTATACCACATACAAAAATAGATAAACTTCAGATCAAAGTTCTAGATTTGGAAAGCCAAACTATAAACCTTTTGGAAAAAGATATAAACAAATGTGTTTATAGCATCAGAGTAGGCAAAGAGCTCTTAAACAATATACAAATAAAAAAGCAAAAAACATATAGGAAAGAACTGAGAAATCCGGCGATAGTTGGACCCAGGCATCATCTTCTATAAAATGGTAATGCTTTCTGCCTTCTGTATCTTTCATCATTATGAAAACCAAATAAGATGATGGGAAAGTGAGGAATAAACAGTAAAAGCAAAATTCCAGTACATTCAAGTATAGTATATAAACCACAGAAAGAAAACTTACCATAAATATTATCTTATAAGAAAAAAAGCTGATAATGTGAAGCTATTTTTTTAACCTCTTTAATAATTTAAGGTTAAAGGGTGTTCTTTATCTGTCTTAAATTCCTTACCATAAGCAAAGATCGCAACAACATTATTTGAATCCGCCTGGTTCCCAAATCCCTAAAATACACAAAATAGTGGCATTATCTTATTAAAAGTAATTAACCTTATTTATTTAAATTATTATTTTTGATTTTAAAACTCTATTCATATTAGCCAAACAGATTTTGCTTTCATACTAGCTAAAGTCATGGCTCATTTTATACTGTAATTTTATATTTTAAAGTAAACTTCAAATGAATTACAGGGTTATTTGCAAAAAAATCAAATTCAAACAAAAAAAAGTAAAAAGCTACTGGTTCGCAAAGGAAACAGACCTATGCATGTAACCACATGAAAAGTCAATTGTATGAAATCACAACAAAAGATCCAGAATAATTAAAAGATACTATAAACTGGAGAATGTATCTAATGCAAATATAGTTGACAAACACAATATCTATGTAATATATATTAATAAGAAGCAAGGCTGTGCCTAAATAATTCTTACATAAATAATTCTTTCAAAAAAGAATTAACAAATGAAAAAATGGTTACTAATGGTCAAACAAATAAATATCTTAAATAAGACTATCATTTCCTTATTAAATGACTTACAAACTAAAGCATTAGCATGTTGTAAAATCAAATTAGGGCTTCCCTGGAGGTGCAGCTGGTAAAGAATTTGCCTGCAATGTGGGAGACCTGGGTTTGATCCCTCGGTTGGGAAGATTCCCTGGAGAAGTGAACGGCTACCCACTCCGGTATTCTGGCCTGGAGTATTCAACTTTACAGTTTGAGAAATTTTCAGTTTGAGAACACAGGACAACCACAAAAACATACCCTAATTGACTGATATCCAAAGTATGTGTAGATGTTCCAAAAACAGGTACTTTCCCCATAATGAACATCATGATTTCTGACCTCTGATAATCTGGTAGGTTACTTCCAAAAAATCCTATAAAAATATCAAGATAGAAAACCTTATTTTTCCATATAATAAAAAAATCATAATATTAGGTTGGTCAACAGGTTCCTTTGGTTTTTTTCAATAAGATGGCTCTAGTAGTGCTTAGTTGTCTTTAATGTCATTTGAAACAATTTTGTTAGACTGTATTGTGACAGCTGTCATATCAGCAGTGCATTAAGAAAAAACACTTACCAAAGTTGAATTTTTGTACAGCCATTTTAATACTGAAGATGGAAAAAAAAGGCAACATTTTCAGCATGTTATGCTTTATTATTTCAAGAAAGGTAAAAATGCAACTGAAATATAAAAAACGACTTGTACAGTGTATGGAGAAGGTGCTGTGACTGAATGAATGTATCAAGAGTGGTTTGTAAATTTTATGCTGCAGATTTCTCGCTGGATAATACTCCACGGTCAGACTGACCACTTGAAAGTTGAGAGTGACCAAATCAAGACATTAATTGAGAACAATCAACATTACACCACGCTCTTTATCCTTGTACCCTTTGTGCACACGTGCGTGTGTGTGTGTGGAGTGGAGTAGCAGGGAAGCATGTGATTTTAAACCCTAAGTATCTGTATCCAGATCCTGGTCTCTAATGTCTTTTGAATGTTTGCTAGATGCAGGGAGAGCAAAGGATCTGCATGGTCTTAAAGTATCTTCTCAGAGATTGCTTGTTATTTACGAGGGGGAAAATGGAAACTGTGCAGCAGAGTAGAACAACACTTTGAGTGATCAAAACTAACATTACCAGCAAAAAGCGGATATACACCGTGTACCTCTGTTTGTGATCATCTGAGAAGAACATTATCACTTAAATAGTATTCAGCCAGAAATGCATAAGCTGAATCTAATCATGAGGAGACATTAGACAAACCCATGTAAGGATATTTTTTTTAAGTGAGGGGTAAGGGGGACCTATCCTGGACGGGGGAATGGCAACCCACTCCAATATTCTTGCCTGGAGAATCCCATGGACAGGGGAGCCTAGTGGGCTACAGTCACAAAGAGTTGGACAAGACTAGAGTGACTTGCCAGCAGCAGCAAGGGGGACCTATGCTCTTACAAAATGTCCGGATCATAAGAGAAATGTTCCAAACTACAGGAACCAAAGAAACGTCACAACTAAACACAATATACGATCCTAGACTGGATTCTGGACCTGATGGAAAACATGCTATAAAGGACATTATCAGGTCAAATGACAAAACTGAAACATGCAAGTTTGATTAAAGTACTATATCAAGTTAAATTTACTGATGTTGGTAACTGTATTCTGGGTATGTAAGAAAATATCTTTATTCTTTGGAAAAAATACTCTGTAGTAAAGATCCATGATATATATGCACTTAATATGCAGTGGTTAGGAAAGAAAGGTAGATGGACACAAGCATGCATCTCTCTATATGTATAGATTTATATATGCACATATATGTAGATATACAGATATATACAAGCATGCATATGCACCAGAGAAATGCAGAAAGGGAGGGAGAGAGGCAGACAGACAGAGAGAGAAAGGAAATGATATAATAAACGCATAAGATATTAAGAGATGAATCTAGGTGAAACGTACATACGGTATTCTTGGTTGCAATTTGCTGTATTCTCATGTTTGCTTAGTTTCCAAACACAAAATTTTTTTAAAAAGTCTAACCTATCATTCACCTTTAAACTAATGCAGCATAACAGTCAAGTACCTTCCATGAGGGCTTTCTGAATCACTGTTTTCCATAATAATCTGAAAAGGGAAGTGTACTCACCTATTGTTTGGATGATAGCGTTCTGCACAATCTTCTCATCACTGTCTTTGGAACTTGTGTTTAAGTTGGCACTGCCTATAGAGCCTCCCTGTAAATCATTTGCTTCAAATTCAACACTGAGACGCAGATGCTTCAACAGGGTGTTGAAGACTTCCAGCACTGTGGGTCCTGCAAATGAGCCCTGATGTGAGCGAGTACATTCTTCTAGCACCACAGACTCAAAGCCAATACTCATGTTTCTCAACAGAGACTTCTAGATATTTTCTAAGTAGCTGGCAATACTTCGTAATTTATGAACCAACCATTCATTAAAAAGTAAATGAGAAATCGTAAGTAAGAAAGTCTCCTAGTTATTCCAGTAAACATCTACTGGGCATCTCGGAACTACTAGCTGTTGGAATCTTTGGTACAAACACACAAAACGTGCATATTCTTATAAAAGTTACCAAAAACTTTCCATCTATTTAATCTTGTCTACTCAAAAGAATGCATATTGTGGTAACCTGCTGGGTCAGAATCCACAGAATTATGATAATACAGCCCGCTGTGGCATAAGAAATTTATTTTGCATCTTTTAAGGCTGAAGAAGAAAGAAGTTTGCCTCAATTATTAGAATGAAGCTAGCCAATTTACCCAATTTGGATAAACTACATTTACTCTCTGCTTTTAATTCTGTGAACACTGTGTGTTTCTGTCAGTGCATCCATCACAGTACAGTCTAATCAGTGCTTTTTACTTCTGCCTTCTACTCTAGATTATAACCTTCTCCAGGACAGGCAGCCTTGTGTAAATCCTTCTCTTAATGTACAGAACCTAACACACAGTTCCTCACACATAAGAGACATCAGTAGTGAGATGACTCAATCAATGCATCATCTGTGATTCACTTCATATTAATACATCAAATGAAGTAGCTCTCCAAAAAATAACCTGTTTCCATCTCTTTGAGGTAAATTATGAGTAATGATAAGTCCATATACAAAATGTCCACTCTCATTTGACACTGAGAGAGCATTACAATATTTCAGTAGGTAATACATAGTTCCACTTTGATTCTGAAGCAAAGAAAACATAACTAGATTTTCCTAACTTCAGAAATTTTATGAGGGACCCTTTCATCCTTCTAATCACACGAGTGAAAAATCATGATGTCTGACCTGTCCCTTCTCCGTGTTACCCCCACAGTCAGTCAGTTAATCAAATCCTGCTGACTGCATATTCCCACTTTTACTGCTGCTATCAAGGTCAGCATCATATAACATTATCTCTGATGAAGATTATACTAAATCGTCAAAGCGTTGTCAGTCAACTGAAGAATTATACCTACGACCTGAAGCCATCTCCCTAGCTTCCTCCACACCACCACCACATGTCCCAGTCAAATGAGCTACATAATACTCTGCTCCTACTAATCCATTTTCCCCCTTCTCTGGACCTTGCTTTCTTATGATACTTGATCAAAATCTGCCTTATATTATGGCATCAGGGAGAGTTGTCTAACTCAGTAAACTATAAGTTTCTTGTTTATCTGTACCCCCACCAAATGTTTAGCATATAACTGGCTTCAAAAATCTTTACTGGAAAAGAGGAAGGGAAGGAGAGACTGATTTGGAGAAAATGTTTAATTGTACATTAAAGAGGCCTAACAATAGTCATATAAATCCAAAATTCCAAGAGAAATTATAGCACATTCAAAAATGTCAGAAATATTTTCAAAGTGTCCCACACAGTGCTATACTTGCTGGAAAAAACACTCTGTAAAAGATTAATGGTTTGTTTTTTTTGGCTGGCACTCACCTATGGAACCTTTAGCAGCAATGGCAACAGCCTCTAATAGAACCTGAATAATACCTGCTCGAACTCGTGGAGAATCTTTTTTACAAGCATCAAGGTGTCCAAGAATCTCCTGGATTACATGGTGAGAATACTGAGCCTAAAAGAAACATAGTGGTGTAAAAATATATGAACAATTATATACATCCTGGAATTCATAAGAATGATAAATCACATGACATTAAAACATCCAATTATAGGAGACTGGTACTTAAGTCATGGAACAATATATAGCCATTAAAAACAATTTTTTTTAAGAATAATAAGGATAATGGGAAATACTCATGGATATCCTGAGTGAAAAAAAGCAAGCTGTAAAATGTGTGCTGTGCTAAGTTGCTCAGTCATGCCCAACTCTTTGCAATCCCATGGACTGTCTGTGGGGATTCTTCAGGTAAAAACACTGCAGTGGGTTGTCATGCCCTACTCCAGGGGATCTCCCCAACCCAGAGATCAAACCCAGGTCTCCAGCACTGGAGGAGGATTCTTTACCATCTGAGCCACCAGGGAAGCCCAGTTGTAAAATACTATGTTAAATAAAATTCAATCTGTTTTTTTTTTTTAATCTGTTTTTTTAAAAAAGCATATAAAACTAGAATTATATATGTCTAAATATTACAATGGCCATCTCTGAGAAGGAGATTAGAAAATTTTATTCTCATAATAAATATTATCCTGATTATATTAGCATAGCTTTATTAAATAGAAATTCCCATCCTGATGGGTACTAACATGCAATTTTTAATGAATGGACTTCATAAAACTTATAGTGCACTTAAAGCTTCTTCTAAAGCAATGCTGTGGACCAGAATAACTTCTTAAACATTCAATTAACAAATATTTATTGATTCCTTCAGTTTTTTCAACTTTAGCATTTACTTCTTGCAAAAAATAATTTCATCTAGTAACTGAATCTGAATGAGGAGGGCAAACGAAGAAATACAAGGCTATGAAGAGTAGGGGAAGAGCCTTAATTATGTCTACAGATTGCCAGATCAACTTCTCACCTACTAAACTAACATTAAAAGATCTTAAAAGTTCTCATCAGAAGAAAAAAAATGTGTAGCTATGTGAAGTGATGGATCTTGAGAAAACTTACTATGAGAATCATTTTGCAACACATACATGTACCAATCACGTTGTACACCTTAAACTTCATTATGTCAATTATATTTCAATAAACTGGGAAAACTAAAAAAAAAATTATCCTTCCACATATAAACCAGCTTTATACTAGCTACCAAGTACTGAAAACCTACATTATGCTAATCTATAATTAGTATTTAGACAAAAAGTTTTAGAATAGGATGAACAGAATTCAAATCCTGACTTTCTACCTGTGTGCCCAAGTGAGGTACCTGACCTCTCTAAAGGTCAGTTTTCTGATCTATAACAGGGGGATAACAACATCTACTTCATGGAAGAGGAAACGGCAACCCAATCCAGAATTCTTGCCTGCAAAATTCCATGGACACAAGAGCCTGGCAGGATACAGTCCATGTGGTCGCAAAGAGTCGACACAACTGAGCAATTAATACTTTCACACTTCACTTTCACTTCATAAAATGAGGAGGATCAAATGAAATAAAGCATGTAAGGTTATTAGCATAGTCAGAGGCATAGCCAGCACTTGATAAATGTCAGCTTCTATTTTAGTATAAAAATGAAGCATTCAGTGCATGCACTAAAATTTTCTTTTCAGAAATAAGGAAACTAAAGCTCAGAGAGGATAAATAACTTGCCTAAGTTCTATGCAACTAGGAAACAGCCCATTGAGGATGCAAATCCTGTTATGACCAGTACTAAAAGCTGTGTTGCTTCTTACAACCTTATCTCCTTTAAATTAATGATGACTTTTTAGGGTATTAAAAATGTAGACGGTGCTTAAAAAAAGACCTAAAATTCCAACTGAATTAAGAGCTAGCTGGGTCTACCCAAGTTTTTAGAAAACCAAGGTTGTCTTCTGCAGTAAATGACAGTGCCTCATCAAGGTTCCATGAAGACCAGAGGAGTTAATACATTAATACATGCACTATCACATAGCAAATACCCTATAAATGTATCAGTCATATGCTGCTATAATAATCAATTCTAATACTAGTTTATCAGTAAAACACAAATACACAATAATGCATTTAATAAATGCACAATAAAGGTTATCATCATAAAATCATTTAGTTCTTTTTATTAGATATCTTCTCATCTTGGCAAATAAGAATATAAGTATAAATAACAATAAATAAGCCAAAGAACTAAATTAAGAACATGTCTTATCTCCTATAGTGTTTTCTATCTCTGAGGACATCCTTACTGACAGAAAACCAAAATTATTTATATAATATATAATCCTTATATATATACTTACATAATCCTTATATATACTTATATATCCAATCCTTACCTGAATGGAATACATTATAATTTTAAAGCAGTGAACTGCAAACTCATTGGGATCCCACAGCTTGTGATGATCCAAATGCCTGTAATTAATAGGAAGAAAATTAAGAGTTCCTTATTTTTATTATATTGTCTCCTCTAGAACTCTCAACAATATGCAAAGCTTAAACAATCAAAAGAATATTATCTAAAAGAGAAACAAGGTTTCCATTTCAAGAACTATGATATTTATTTCCCTTCATTGGCAGATCTTTTCATAAAACAACAATAAAAGCTACCATATATGTGTGATTTTTAATACCTACATGAGCTGGCAAGAAAGAAAAGTCCCTCAGTCTAGACTCCACAAGAAGATGGAGTCTGAAGAACTAAGTATACACTGAAGCCAGCAGCTAGCTATTTTAGGTATATCTTCAGATTTCCAGTAGTTGACAGCTAGTGGTTTAATGGGATACACAGAAAACTGGAGACAAAGCTGAGGGTCCACCTGAGAAAGATGGCTATCAGATCAGAAATATATGCATCAACCCGAGACCATTAAATCAATCCAAGACACCTTCAGTGAATGTGTAGAGATGTTTCATGTAGAAGTTTGTCTGTGTTGGCCTTGACTCTGAGAGGAACCACAAAAAATCAAAGTCTCTCTGGAAAGTCCTTCCCAGCACCCAGAGAGTAGTTTGACACAATTCATAAGTATCTGTGTGGTTGAAAAAAACGGAACCTAAGGTTGTAGTTCAAAGTGGTTCCTAGGTAACACTGCACCCATGTCTTCAGCAGAAGCAAAATAAAGCCTTTTATGGACTGCACATCATTAATCCAAGCCTCATATCCAAAGAAAATGACAATGAATATGAGCTCAAAATTCAAATTCACAGAACACACAAGGTAAAAAGCCACTATGAATGTCAATGATCTCTCAAGTTTCTAAGGGACTAGGACAAGTTTTTAAGGACTTTTATTCATGACTATATTCGCCCTAAATGCCTGATATCTTATTTGCAGAGGGCATTTAACATTTAAATAACTAATTACCTAGCCAATATGTAATTAACAATTTAACATTTAATTAGATTAATTAACTAACACATGATCAGGATGTAAGTCCATTAAGTTATACATAGAGAAAAACAGAGCCCACTTTCAAGTTACTCAAGCAATCTCTTATGGTTAACATGGTAACTTCTTTCTTCTATACCAGCTCTCTAGATTTTTAAGGCATTATAGACTACCTCTTAGTTAACAGGATTAAGATAAAAACTTGGAGAAAGGCATGGCAATCCACTCCAGTAGTCTTGCCTGGAGAATACCCATGGACAGAGGAGCCCAGTGGGCTACAGTCCATGGGGTCGCAAAGAGTTGGACACAACTGAACGACTAAGCACAAGCACAAGATAAAAACTAGAATTCTGATATTAAATCAGCAGGTCTAGACATTAAAAAATAAATCTGCCCTTAGTTATATCTGACATAATTTGATTAGCTTTTAGCAGCATCTTCATAAGCCCAGAAAATCTTTAAATAATAAACATAATTTTTTGGTGGTGGGAGCAGTAAGGGGGAATGTCTTTGAAAATATAAAAACTCTCTGATTTTTAATTTGTGGTTTATAGATTCTTGTAACTAAAGATCAATTTTGCACCAAAATATTTTCCCTAAGGAAAAGACTTCTGGATATTACATTTAGGCTACTTTACACATGCTATAAAGATGGAATCAGGAAGGGGAAAGAACAAGGCAAATGATTAAAAAGAAAGACTAGCAAAAATATCCAGAAATTACACAGAATATTATATAGGTCTATATCTGACAACTGAGTTAGAGGCTTGACAAGAGCCTCCACGTCTATGTGGAGAAACTCAAAGCTTACAAATGTATTTTGCTTGGAGGGCAGCATATAAGTACCAACAAGATATTTAATATTCCTGCGATTAGTCACTCAGTATACAATAAAATTTACTCAGAAAACAGAATGTAATCTAAGGCAGCCCAGTCACAAAAAAGAAAGCAAAAAAAGAGAAGCCAAATATGAGGAACTGACCAGAAGTTAATAAAACAAGATACATCATACTTGGACACTCTGCTTTGATATTTTAGCGGATATATGCATTCCAAGGTGTGAGCAGAAATTCTAGTGGAACAACGCACACGATACCAAGAACATGACTGCATTTCCTACTTAAGGGGGCAAAGCGGTGAGGTGGTTGAACCAGTGCTCAAAGGGACACTGTCTGACTCAATCCCGTACTCTTCCCACACAGCCTCCACTGGCTCCATGAATAACTCTCTCATACAGGTAAGAGGATTTCAAATAAACTCAAACAGAATGCATACAGCGCACCGACTTACGCAAAAACTGGTCTCACAGCGTTATTCATATTCCCAAAGCTCGCCCGGCCCAGCAGTTCCCTGAAGCAGTTTTCAGCCAGCACAGCGGGATTCTCTTCTTTGTCTGCTGCTGAAGGAGAAGGAGGAGGGCCTATGCGACTGGAAAAGAAAGAGAAATGAAGACAACCAAACAAATGCAAGACTTCTGATACCAGTTCTAACAATTAAACAGAAGAGATTTGACTTCTCGGAATTTCTAACATGACATTTTCTTTTTATCTCAAAATAACTTTAGAGCTTAATTTTACTTCATGAATTCATATAATCTTTCAAGACTGGAGAACTAAATTCAATTGTATTAATTCGTTTCTAACAGAATATATTTTCCAAAGACAAAATACTCAACAGTTGCTATTTTGTAAAATTCCTACAACTTCTGTACGTTTAGAGCACAGTCTCAGTAAGAAAAAAGTGCCCAAAGATCACGCAGATTAAGTGTAAGAGAGCAAAAGTAAAATCAAGCAGAAAACTATGACCCAGTATAAATGAAAGCTAATTACAACACCTGTAAATCTCCTCAGTGGACACCACTTGTTCATATTTTAACACTTTATTTCATGTACAATAATAACCAAAAAAAGTGTATCTATGGCACTGGGATAAAACCATGAGAAAATACAACTTCTTAAAATCTGTCAACCAATTAAATTTAATCCTGTACCTCAAGAGCCACAATCATGGGGAATCAATTCTCAACCAGCTAGGTACCTTCAGAAAAACTAACCTCAGCTACAATGCCAAGACCAGGAAAAATAAAGAAGGTGTTAAAATATATCAAATTTCACACTTTAGGTTTCTAAAGCTGCAGACAGTCACACCTAAGAAATCTAGTGTAAATACTTTCTGTAATTGCCATAAATTTCGATAAACATATTAAGTGCTTAACGAGTTACCAATTTCATCTTTTCACTTCTAGACCATGTTTATTTTGGCATTGCACACATAATCATCAAAACTACAAAATAAAGTTAAACTTTCAGAACTACAGAGTTAAATATCTTTTACATTTGATTCAGACTTTCCCTCTTTAAACTGCAAGAAAAGGGAGATCAGGAAATAAGCCGAACTGGAAAACACTGCTTCTAAAACTTGGTTGTATAGTACCTCTGTGTAAGGCAACAGAAATCTGCCAGGAAAGCATGCTTGTGGCATTTGAAAAAGGAGAATGAAGTACAGAATTCTAAATTCAACAGGATATTGGTGTGCAGGGAGTGGAGGGGTCAGCATATGCCCCAAAACAATATTCCATAATAAACAAGGAATAAATAGTCTAGTATTTATGTTGAAAAAGCATATAGAGTGAATAGTAGCTGCTATTATTATTAGTAGCAGTAATTCCCTATGAAAAAGCACCTTGGATCTCTAAATAATAGAAGTTTGGTTTATAATCTAAGAACTTGCAGCTTAAATAGGACTAATTCAAACAGCAATCTAGATTGTCTAATAATAAGCAGCAGGTAATAATTTATTCTAAAAGAAATAAAGCCTTAAGTGTGTAAGAATCTGTGGTCTACTCAGCCTAACGTGATGACTGAAGATGATAATTTTTTTCAGAAAGGACATATATTTAAACTCACTCAAGTTTAGGAGACTACTATATACATAATACTAAAGATAAAACATTCTTATCCAACAAGCAAGCACACATACACCCATACAAAATAACACAGCCCCACCCTACCATCTTTATTCAATACCTGTCAACCTCTTCTATCTTTTGCATGTTGAACAGCAGGGATGGAACAATTTTATCCATATGCTGAGGCTCCCAAATGGTAGCCCGAAGTTCATCATTTACTGTTTTACGAACCACACCTTGAATACCTCTGATTCCAGCAATTCGGATTCTATAAAAAAAGAAAAAAAAATATTCAGTCATGAAAAAAGCTATTTAAATAAGTTTGCTAGCTTAGTTAAGGGAATGGATATTAAATAATACTATTATCTCAAGTCAATAAAACAAAAATAATACACAATAAGTCTAAGAAATTAAAATCTTAAAAATCTAAGATGGACAGATATGGCAGTTCCAAAAGAAACTGACTTTTAATATCATCTTTTTGTAATCAGCATTTAAAGTTAAAAAGGGCTGTAAAATACAGGGTTAGTCTATGTGTCAGTTTTCAATAAAAATAACCAAATCAAAAGAAATAGATTCTCCTATATTCTCTCACATAAAGCGTACCAAAGTTTTCTTAGGTCTCCCAAGGCAAAAGAAATAAAAACAAAGATAAACAAATGGGAACTATCAAACTTGTAAGCTTTTGCACAGCAAAGGAAACCATAAATAAAACAAAAAGACAAACTACAGACTGGGAGGAAATATTTGCAAATGATGTAACTGACAAGGGCTTAATTCCCAAATACTAACAGCTTATACAACTCAATAATGAAAAAACAAACAACTCAATCAAAAGATGAGCAGACCAAAATAGACTCTCCTCCAAAGAAGACATACAAATGGTCAACAGGCACATGACAAGATGCTCATCATCACTAATTATTAGAGAAATGCAAATCAAAACTGCAAGATACCACCTCACACCAGCCAGAATGGCCATCATTAAAAAGTACACAAATAACAAATGTTGGAGAGGGTGTGAAGGAAACAGAAGCCTTCTAATGTTGTTGGTGGGAATGTAAATTGGTGTGGCAGCTATGGAAAACTCTATGGAGGCTCCTCAAAAAACTAAAAACAGGGTTGCCATATGATCCAGCAACCCTACTTCTGAGCATACATCTAGAGAAAAATATAATTTGAAAAGATATATGCACCCTGATGTTCACTGCAGCAGTATGTACAACAGCCAAGACATGGAAACAACCTAAATGCTGTTAGGTGTTCACTGACAGACGAACAGATAAAAGAAGATGTGAGATACACAGATATATAACACATACATACACATATATATAAAACACACACACACACACAAACACTGGAATGTTACTCAGCCATAAAGAAGAATGAAATAACAGTATTTGCAGCAACATGGCTGGACCTAGAGATTATCATACTAAGTAAGTCAGAAAGAGAAAGACAAATACCATATGTCACTTACAAGAGCAATCTAAAATATGACATAAATGAACTCATCTATGAAACAGAAACAAACTCACAGGTATAAGGAACAGAATTTGTGACTGCCAAGAGGGATGGGGGTAGAATGGACTGTGAGTCTGGGGTTAGCAGATGCAAACCATTATACACAGAATGAATAAACAAGGTCCTTCTATATAGCACAGGGAACTATACTCAATAACCTGTAATGAACCATCACAGAAAAGAATATGAAAAATTATATATGTGTAACTAAATCACTGTGATACATTGCAGAAATTAATACAACACTGTAAATCAACTATACTTCAATAAAGTTTAAAAAAGAATTAATTTTTCTGAGAGGATGATAATAATTCAAACTAATGAGGATCAGAGTCTCTCCTAGTTCTTGCCCAGAAGTCTCAGCAGCTGAGTGAGAACAGGATTTTACCGTCCTGAACACCCTTAATGTGTCCTCAGACAGTCCCTTCATGGCTTCTCCCTAGAACCTCTCCCCTCCGAGTCCACCTAGATGAAGCACTAGGCTGGTTCCTTTAGAGGGACGACAAATGTGAACTAACAAAATGGAGTGCGGATGATCCAAGCCATGTACACACTACACGTCTGTGTGTCCTGACACACACACATTACTGTATGTAGACAGGTAACATTTTGAGAGACAGTTGCCCTCTCCTCCCTTCTCAATTCATAGGCCTCAAGTTCCTCCAGCTCTTTCCTCACTCTTCTTTAAAAATAAAATCTAATCTATTGGTTCAAGGATAAGAAGAAAAGTAACCAGAAAACAGCATGTAAAATCTGGGGAACAAGCTCGCAAGCAGAGCTAAGCTGGTAGCCCACCTTCCCTGAAAACACCTTCATTCTGACCAAATGTGACTATTACTTACCCTCCTTTTTAGCTATTAGACTTCCCTGGTGGCTCAGATGGTAAAAGCGTCTGCCTACAATGCAGGAGACCCGGGTTCGATCCCTCGGTTGGGAAGATCCCCTAGAGAAGGAAATGGCAACCCACTCCAGTATTCTTGCCTGGAAAATTCCATGGACAGAGGAGCCTTGTAGGCTACAGTCCATGGGGTCGCAAAGAGTTGGACACAACTGAGCGACTTCACTTTCACTTAGCTACTACCTGAAATATTCACCGTTAGAAGTTTACTCAGCTTATCCAGGACTGTGTCCAAAAGCTATAAAATAGGTTTAGAGACTGGAGGATGAGGGGAAGTGGGTGACGTTGCCTCACAAGCCCACGGGGAAATAATGCACGCCTACAGGAGTAGCGGGTGGAGAACGGGATGTGGCAGTAATATGGCACTGAACAGGTGAGGAAGTGAACATGGAAACAAGACAAATTCTGCCTCTCATACAAAGCTGGATCTGTTCATGCAGTTCTCTTAAAGTCTTGAGAGATTCTTCTGCAATCACAAAGGGATAAGCCTAACTTTACTACAAAGTTAGTATGCGCCAAGTCAAGTATTTTAAGAAAATCTTAAAGTATCAGTCGCATTTCCTACTGGCCATGACCTCTAATTTTATTTGACAGTGTATTGCTAAAAAAAAAAAAAGGGATTTCTAATAATAAAACAAAGCCATGAACATATTCCATGAAAAGTGAAAGAGAAAGTGCTAGTTGCTCAGCTGTGTCCAACTCTTTGTGACCTCATGGACTATAGCCTGCCAGGCTCCTCTGACCATGGAATTCTCCAGGAAAGAATACTGGAGTGGGTAGCAATTTCCTTTTCCAGAGGATTTTCCTGGAATTGAACCCAGGTCTCCTGCACTGCAGGCAGATTCTTTACCATCGGAGCCATCAGGGAATGAGATATGAGAAGAAAATAAAGCTTGACTGGGGGTGGGATGGAGGCGCTGGTATTTAATAAATAAAAGGTGGCCAAGGGAGGATTCTCATGGTAAAATGCCACCTGAGCAGAAATCTGAACAAAGTGAGGGCAGATGCCGTAAGGAGCAGGTATCTGGGGAGCTGTTCTAAGCCAGGAGGCCACTCAGTCCAAAAGACCTGGGGAGAAGTGCCCGAGGTGCTCACACAAGCGAGGAGACCTACGCGCTGGGTCAGGGTGGAAGGGGGAAGAAATGATAGGATGACAGGACCTGACATCGACAAGGGAGCATTAAAGGGGCATTCCGGGCTACAGTGGAGACTGCATTTTATTCTGATCCAGTTAGGAAACCACTCTCAATTTTGCTTCTTCAGTCAGTTCTTCTAACAGCAATGAAAAGCTGCATTTTAGGAATAAAGCATACATTTCCCATCTTCTTTGGTAATCATTATGTAAGATACAAACACAATATTGAATAAATTACTCCATGACTATAAATTATAAAACAATACATACTCTGTTCGTGTTTCTGGATCACTATGATAGGAGTGACACATGGCACTGAAGCGAGATACAAAAAAATCATAACGTCTATGGTACGATGGTGTGTCTTCTTCAATATTTGCAAATTTGACAAACTAAAAAGAATAACAATAAAGTGTATTATCACCTTTTTCAAAGTGTAGAAAAAATACACTTATTTTCATTCATTATTCGTTACATTGACAAGAAATATCCAAATAAAAAAGGAAATGAAATATGAAATATCGTAAATGTCACATATATACGAAAGGAATTTTTTAATAACAAACTTCACAAAATCAAGAATATAGCATTGTAAGTGTTAACTATAATTTTCTAACGTAGTTTCTTTGGAGTGAGTGAGTGCTTGCTCTGACGCTCTTCTGCATTTCCCGGATGCTGGCAATGTTTTCATGATAACCGCAGTCAGGCCCAAACCTTCAGGGAATTCTATTTCTTAAATCATAGGTAGGAAATCTTGACAGCTGTTGTATAACACATGAATGAATATTTATACAAACAAGATGGGACAAGAAAAAGGGCCCTAAGCTAAAGAAAACATTACCAACACAGTAGAGAAGAAAAAGACAGTAAAATTTATTCTACTCTTTTTAAAAGATTAAAAAAAAAGAGAGAGAGAGATATGCATATGTTTAGGAAATTTAAATATCCTACATGAGTCACAAACCCAACCATACAATCCCTTAATATGCATCCTTTTTTTCTTATTTGCTTTCTCATTTATTTGGTGGCTTATTGCTTCTAAAATAACCTAAAGATGTCCTGGGAACAAAACTAAAGTACGCATAAACTTGAAAGAATAAAATTATGATACTAAAAGTATTTTAAATTAATTCAGCCAGAGCCAAATTATCTGTTTTAAATAATTTCATATGACTCAGATGATCTAGAAAAAGGCCACAAATACCACACCTGGGTTCCATCCTGGGTCTGGGAAGATTCCACTTGCGGCAGGGCAAGTAAGTCCGTGCACCCAACTACTGAGCCTGAGCACTCCAGAGTCTGGGCCCCGCGGTGAGAAGCCACAGCAAGGAGAAGCCCGCAGAGCAGCCAGAAGCCCCCACTTCAGCAAGCAGAGAAGCCCACGCAGAAACAGAAACCCAGAACAGCCAAAAAAGTGCGCAGACAGCTGATAAACACAAATTACCAAACCAGTCACGTCTGACGACTTAGCACCCCCAAGAAGTTAAAATCAGACTTCCAGGAAATACCACATAAATAATGTTGGTCAAGATAATATAGCATTTCACTGAATACAATTCACTCAAATCAAAAGTAGGTACCTGGAGATGTTTGTCTTTTTCTCAAATAAGTCACTAAAGGAATTCTAATGGCATGGCTGACTTCCAGTAAAGAAACTTCTGGAGATTTACACTAAAACTCCTTTGCCCCACAGCCAGTAACACATTTCCCCTAAATATACAGGATGGACGAGTGAGAAGGTCCTACTGTACGGCAGTACGGGGAACTACATTCAGTGTCCTGTGACCAACTGTAATGGAGGAGAAAATGAAACAGTATACATGTATATATAACTGAGTCAGTCTGCTGTGCAGCAGAAATTAACACAATGTTGTAAACCAATCATACTTCAATAAATTAAAAAAAAGTTCTCCTAGACTTTCCTCACCTAACTAGGAAGTAGGAGAAGCCTAAGTAGCTACACTGACTGAAATGGAGGCTGTCACACCACCTAACTGTATGTGGAAATACCCAATAGTCTCCCTCTGAAACTAACAGACAAAATCATATTAAAGGTTTTCAAATGAGGATTTTATTTACATAATCTTGGTTAAAAAAAGGAGAATACTGTATTACTACCAACAATAATAACAGGGCCATACACTGCTCTAAGAACTTTACATTAACTCACGCCACACAACGACCCTGTAAGACTGGCACTAGTGTCATCCTCGCTTCACAGGTGAGAAACTGAGGCAGGGAGCGGCTAAATAACCTGCCCAAGACACACAGCCAGGAAGTGTTGTGGGCCTGATTCAGAGCAAGGCGGTCAAGCCCTAGAGGCCGTGCTGTCAGTCAGCACCCACAGTTCCTAACCGTCAAACAACTGTCTGCAAGCAACAGCAGGTAACAGATGACTCTCTTGTTGATAAGAATCTGGATGGGAACGTGCCGATTGGTTGAATGCCTGAAAGCTTCCTCAGAGATGAAGCTGGAACTGAGAGACTGAGACTGAAGGCAATATAATGAAACTAAAGACGAGGGGAAAGGTTATCACTGTATTTTATTTTCTTCATTAGATATGCCTTCCCCAACTACACACGTTTCATCAACTACAGTTCCAGATAAAAGAAAATGAATGTCTTAGCAGAAACAGTTTAGAAGCAGTGTTAGAAGGCCAGGGGTAGGGGCAGGAGGAGGTTGTGAGGGGACACGGACACCTTCCACTTATGGCCAACTGAGTTTCTACCACTTCTTATGATTCGTTAATGTCCCGGATTTCACACAGAACAACAATAAAACTTTGAGACAAAATGTTCTAATCTACAACTCTACTGGTTGTCCAAATACCCTGACCAGAGCATCTGCCTTTACCAGATAAGGACACTCGAAGAAGACTTAATCCAAGTTACGCTAATTACTCTTAAAATTAGAATCGTTTACTTACAGAATTTGTTCCGAGAACTTGAAGCTTTGGTTCCCCTGATTCCAGTAGTTTTGCTACCATATGAAGAAAGCTTTCTACAAATGGCTTGATGCTTTGAGAATGGCAGGCCATAAGAAGTTGGTCTAATGCCTCCATAGCAATTAAAACATACCTAAACATAAGAGAAAAACAGTATCAAAGCATCTCTAGCTCTCCAGATTCTCCTCAGCACACTCACAGGAATAATTAGAGTAAATTTATTTAAATGCATAGAACACAGAAAGGCTAATTTAGCAGCATCTGAGTGAGAGCCTAATCTTCTCACAACACTAAGGATGTTGGGGTCCTAAAATGACCTTCAGGTGGGAGGACGCAGAGACCAGACTGCACTCCTCCACTCTTCTCCTCAGTAAAACCTCTCCCAAAGCTGCTTCCACGTTAACTTCCTGTGTATGTTTTTATAAACACAAATATTCTCCATTTTCCAGCTTTTTAACCATATTTTTCTGCATGTTACCCAAAACAGTTATTATAAGAAATGAGCTTAAATTTCTAACACAATCTATTTGTATTTGTAAATATGAGTATATAAAACAGTATCAGCAATATTATAAGGAAAGGTATAAATTTTACCTTCCAATTCATCAGATTTTAAAGCTTGTACTAAAACTTAAAATTCAGAATTTAGGTAACTTTGCTTGAACAAATGACCATAAGAACTATTTGTATCAAGACTCACAATTGTAGCAAATGCTCTAAATGGTAACAGTGTAAAGGTAGAGAAAGCCAGCATATCATGTGGAAAATGGAATACACTAAGAAACTAGGATCACAAAATGATAATATGGAAAAGTATTTACATACCAAATTGCAAAGTAATTACTGTTCAAGCCCAGAGAATGGATTAAGATGGTAGTCCTTTATTTACAGGTCGATGTATAGCTAGCATAGTTCACATCAGCACGCTTGTTCAGAATTTACATATTCTGAACCTATTATAATATCTAAGCCTAAACGTAGCTCTCTTTTATTATTCCTCTGACAGGCAAAACTGGAGCTGTGCTAAAAATTAGTTTGCTAACACAATTTTTGATAAGTTTTCAATTTTGAAATTGATTTTTAAATTACAGTACTGCACTGACAAACCTTTAAGGGAATCAATCTCTACTATTCCCATCAGGGAAGTTTAAAAATCAGTGGATGCTTAAACAAACAACTTTGTTAACTAACATGAGTTTATTCTTAAACCTGACCACGAGGAAAGTAATAAAAGCCACAGCATCTATCTGGTATAATACATATTCTCATACATTACAATGCTTTATTCTCCATCCATCATCTTTGCCTGCCTAGATGGCAAAATAATTTATAGGATGATTTAGCCTAGGAAGAATTTTCCAAAGATACTACATTAGTTTCCTTACCCAGTACGATGTCTGACAACATCCCTGCTCAACCTTTCTGCCAGGTAAGAACCAATTCGATCCAGTTTCTCTGGAGCAGATACAGCATAAAATGTCAATTTCTCCATATCGGCTTTAACAAGGCCATCCTAAAAATAAAAACAACAACGAGAGAAATAGGTTCTACTTATGCCTGTATTTCCATGCTTAGTGTTTGTATTTCTAAGTGCTGCTTGCTCCTCATCCCCTCTTTATGGATTGGAAATTAATCCATATTTACCCTGAGCCTGCCTGAGAGAGTCTCTTAAGTGCTAATCACCATTCTGGATACGTAGAGGTTTCAGAAAGTTAAAGCACTGCCCCATTTAGGAAAGCATACACCTTCACAAGCAATGGATTATTCTAACATCTTCCTTTATATAGTAAAATAAAAAAAACAAAAATACAGCTCAATTATACAGTATACTGTAGCACTTATCAGAAAAGGTTCAGTTATTTGCTCTCATTACAGCACCCTTTGAAGGCAGGGACTATGGCAGGCAGACATCTGCACTCTGGGCACCTACTACTGGGTGCATTTTGGACATAGGAGATATTTTTGTTTAACAAATTAAAGATAAGAAATGTCAGCTGGGTTTATGGTTGCCATATGTATGCAAGGTTCATGTAAATCTTTTCTTTTTCTTACATCTTATTTTACAGATTTCTCTTCAAGTAGATTTTTTCTATGTTTGGCACAAATAAAGATTCTTTCTGTAACCATTCTCCAGCTGACCTGCCACCACTCCCATATCAAAAGTGTTCAAAGCTCCCTCACTGCCAGTAAGATAAGTAGATTTCTTATCTGTTACACATTCCTCCATAATCTTGCCTCCACCTTATCTTCATTAGCTGCCTGTTTCAGATTCCTTAAAGAAATGATCTGAATATGCAGTCTATTAAATGATACTTTTGAAATTTCCAATCAGAATTCAGGAACTGTGCACTATTACCACTCATTATACCACGATCAGGTTACAAGAACCTCCACTTGAAGGCCCTTGTCCCAAATGTTACCTCTTACTCTATTACGCCTTTTCTCTCAGGTACAAAGAAACTAATCTCTGCTTCTCCAGATGGTATATATCCTTCCAAGTTCATTTCTTCTGTGAATCTTCGCAGAGATTGCCAACTCAGAGTGAGTGATACCTTCCTGATTTAAAGGCAGAAACTTTACCCCTGTTTTACCTAACATTTTACTTTCTGATTTATGCACTGTGATTTAATATTTAGTATGCTTTCACTATATATCAATGTATGGAAAGCTTAAGCCAGGTACCGTATCTCAGAGTTACTTATATGTTATGAATTATCCAGGATGTCTGGTAGCCAATATATAAACAGATTAGCCTTTATACAGTTCCTTAAATCAGATTTAATTAAAAACAAGATATAGCTCATAAATTAATGTTAAGATAACCAAAAAGTTTCTACAGTTGGCTACCTTTTAAAATAAAGCAACCTCTGGAACTCAAACTCATGTAACATTTTTTTGTTCCTATTTATTTAACACTAGATTAAAGGAGTCTTTCAGTGTTAAATAAAATCAATCAAACACAGCTGCTTTGAAGCCAGCAGTCTTCCATAAAAAAGTAATTTTTATAAAAAATTAAAAAGCACTTAAGTAAAAAGAGAACAAACGCTGCCTGGAATATTCTCCCTTTACTTCTCAATTATCTTCTGAAAACTGTGTGGCCAACCCTATTTATTCTCTAGCTCTTAGCCTGGATTTCATTCCTTCAGGTATTCCTTCCTCCAAGTCCAAATCGGGTATCATTCCCAACTACTGCAGCAGTACACTGTACTTCACTTCTCTATCACACCATTCTTTCACTAATATTGCAGTTGCCAATTTACTTGTCGATGAGCTTGGTGGGAGCAGAAGATCGTGTCTGTATTCACAGCTGTGTTCTTGGCATTTTGTAAATAATCTGAGACTAGTTCATAAATCTACGAACTGTACACACTTAAGAACATCAGCTATCCATCATTCTGAATACATGCCTAATCTAAGAATCTGAAAACCAGGCAGGCAGCACGGATCATTTAAAGGTTAAAAAAAAGAGAACTACAAAAATAGTAGTGTCCATGATGAGATTTGGGAGTAAAAGTAGAGAAATGAAATTAGGGAAACCTTAGGGAGATCAGCAGGGGGGAAGGATGGGTCAGCAAAGAGAAGGATCAGTAGATGTAGATCAAATTACTTTTGGATCTTCAGGGAATATGTTGTCCACCAGGCGTTTGTAGCGAGGACGCAGAGCAGAACAGCAGCAACACACTCCTGTTCAAAAAAGAACAAAATCACAAAGTACAGCAATTAATCATATTGTAAACTGATCTAAAAGTTCAAGTTCTGAGTATTTATGGGTTATTGAAAATAAAGGGGAAAAGTTCAAACAGCCAGAAACAGAAATGGGTATGCAAATTCAGTTATTAAGTAAGAAATGAAAAAGTCAAATTTCTCCTCCCCTTCCCAAAGACACCAGGTCAAAATGAACATGCTAATGAATTATTCCAGAGTTTCGACCCAAACTGTTCTGGAGCATGGTGTGTGTGTGTGTGTGTGTACATGCATGCATGACTACCAAATTCACCCTATAAAGTATTTATGTAATTGGTACCCCCACCTCATTTCCTTTCTGGTCTCATCTTCTACTATTCTCTGCATCATCCCCTACTTACCTCCCCGCAAACCCTACTTCTGCCTGGCCCAATCCACTCAGTTCCAGCTACAATGGTCTCAAAATGGTAGTTCTCTACACTAGAAAGTGTAGCTGGTGAAAACAGTTAACACCTCTATCCACATGATGAATTATATAAAGAAGCCACAATAACCTCAAGGATAAGTCCAGGAATTTCAAAAACTGCTCAAAGACTGCTCTGTACATTTTCTGTTGCTGGCATCTAGGAAAAAGTCATGCATTTGGATGAGAAAACCTAGGTTCACTCCAATTCTTTCACTTAAGGGGTCGCATGCCCTTGAGGGAAAGCACACCATCTCACTGGAAAGAACTCTGTGAGGAGGGGGAGGGATCCGTTTTCTTGTGGTACAAACTAATAACTTGGTGGGAATGTTGGTCTTGAGCCACTATCCACGCATTCCCATGATTTATGAAACTGGGGTATGTGTGTCTGTGGTTGAGTGTGCATGTGTGTGTGTTTAGAAACCAAACGATAGCATGAGAGAACGCCAGCCAGAAGCCAAGGGGGCTCAGACCTAAGCAGACGTCTACCACCTCATGGAGGAGCGTCATGCAGCAGACAACATGATTCACGCAGGCAGCAGTATCATGTCAAGTGAGTGCCCAACATGCCAAAACATGTAAGACTGAGTCCAGATTTGCAGTAGAATGGAGTCATTATGCTGATAAAAACAAGACAGAATTAAGACATGTACAGCAATTTTGGTGATTATAAAGTAATGGACATACATTATTTAAAATTTCCAGCAAATTAGTGAGATGTTGTTATCACTACCACTTTACAAGAAACTGTAGAAGAACCGACCAAGTAATTTACTTAGCAGCAACGGCTAGGTGAGAATCCAACGCCTAACTCTGAAACCTCATGCTCTTTCTACGGAACCTCTGATACCAGTGGTCAAATCAATCAACATGCAGATGTTTATTTGCACATACTACTTCCCGAACACCACATCAGATGCCACAGACACAGAAAAGTATAACAGTCAAGATCTCTGCCCTTGAGTTCATAAACTGTCATAAAAATAGTGAATAATTCAACAGCATATATTTAGGCACCACATGTAGATAATATAAAATGCTGCCTACTGTTCAGGATGTTTTCTACTTTAAAAGGAGAAAAAAATTCCAGAGTCCATTAGGGGATTTTTTTTTCAGACTAACTCCAAAATACCTGAACTATTTTTAAAGTCCAAAAGCAAAACACAGGCCTGATTATCAGAATGAAGAGCAAGGGCAAAAGCAAAGTAAGCGAAAGTCACATTCCTGTGTCAATTATACCTAATATTAAAATACTTCATATGAATATTAACACACAGAAATAAATTAAAATCAAATATGTATCAAGTGATTAACTTACACAGGGCACTGAGCTGGGTATTGCAATGATGAAAGAAGCTTATAACCTGATAAGAAGATTAGGAGGAATACTTTGCTACACTAATGCAAGGCCAAATATAGAAAATTCAAATTGCTATTATGGCAAAGAGACTAGCAATGCAACTGAAAAACTCCCCAAGCTTCAAGTTTCCTGTTAGGGTTAGAAGGATATCCTTCCTGTTAGAAGGATAAATTATGTAATGTTCAAAAGGCTAAGAATTCTTAATAAGGTATTAAGTCTCATTTACATTGACACTTTCTAATATTATACACTGCTTTTAGTTTTAAAAAAGCTTCCAAAAAATGTGGACTTCGGAATACACATAATACCCAATTCTCACTTTGGAGAAGCTAGGGTCTATTGGAAGAGACAGATGAGAAAAACGACAACATGCCCAATAGGGGGTTAAGGGCAGAGGCTCTGGAATCAGACAGATCTGAGGTGAACCCAGTATTTTTTACTGTCCAGTTAGGCAGGCACATTATTTTCTCTTATCTTACCTGTTTCCTCATCAGTGTAGTAACACCTTCATATTTATTGGGAAAATGAAATAAAATTATACGTAAAGTTCTTATTAAGGGTGTAACATTTGGTAAGCATCCAACAGATTGGTAGTTATTATTACTAATGCTATATGTAAGTGGAGGACAGAGGAACTTGGCAAAGTATAGCCCACGGGGTTGCAAAAGAGTCGGACAAGACTGAGTGACTAAACAAAAACAAATAAGATAAGAACTACAATCAGAGTAACCGAGATGCGTGAGGGCCCATGAGACAGTATTCCCGACAGTGTGAAAACCTTTGCTGAGAATTAATCATCTAAACATCCAACAAATTCTCTACGTGGTTCACAACAAGCTTTCAATAACAAGACCCGAGTCCAAGGGGATGACTGCTTTTTTCTGACATGCTGTGCGCAGCACTATACCAAGCACTTGGCTGCATTATCCACGCGCTCCCACAGCAACTCTGAGAGGGCCAGGAGCGGCTCTGTTTGGCCAAGGAGCTACGGGAGGCTGGTTGGCCCCATATCCCGTATGGTACAGCTGGTCCATACAGAGGAGCAGAGACTCCAACAGACGTGATGACTTTAAAGGGTGACTGCCACGCTAACCTGCAGTCCATGGGGTCACAAAGAGTCAGACACAACTGAGCGGCTAAACAACAACAGCAGAACGCAAGGCCTGGATGCTTTCTGAACCCCTTTAAACATTTTAGCTCTCCACAAACCTTGCCCAATGGACACGACCGCAGGAACGAGCCTGAGACGAGGAGTGCTCTGCCATGGAGGGAATACACGGCCATCGCGCGTTTCTCCAGGAAGTCCAAACAAAACAACTTCCTGACCTCTTACTGTACATGGAAACCGACCAATCAAGAGAGACAGCTGAACCGAGGTTTAAAAGCTTCAATTTACTCGGGTTTCTAGAAAATGATAACGCTGAAGGTGAAAGTGAGTGGTAATTGTAACCACAAAAGAGAGAACTCCATCAGCTATTTTAAATAAGAGAATACTGTGCTTATCAACATCACAAGAACAAGCAAAATGAAAGCACTGGACCTACTCAGGCACAGAAGTGTGGGGGACTCCCCCGTCGAAGTCAGTTCATAAGGCTTTTCGAGTTCAGCTGCAGGTACCTGAACATAGTCCTTCATGTTGTAAGAGGCAAGTTTCTAGTCGCTCTTCCAGCTCTTAGATCCTTTTACCTCCTGTTCAGGAAGTGCCTAGTTCACTTTACTTGTAATTAATTAGTGGAGGGTACTAGTATACTGTAACGTATCTACTTGTTGACATCAAACATAAAGCTATCAAGAACCTGATAATATCCGTATCGAATTCTGCTAGTGAGGCCAAATAGCTTAAACAGATATGATTAAAATACTGCACTGCTAGTTTACTAAAGATAGATTTTTATACAGTTTGAATAAGAAAATAAACCTATTTTCTATTTGTTTCCTTTAATTCTTCCTCATCCTAGCTTCCGATCCCTTCTAACAAACTCCTCACTTCTTGACTGGTCCCAACTTTCTCTTTTCCAAAGGAAAAAGGGGGCTAAGTGTAGCATAGAGAGGCTCAAACAACTGGCAAGTCTGAGCAATCACTTCCTTTAAATTTAATTCTAACACATAAAGGAGAAGGTAATTCACTATTCTCCTCCTGTAGCATACGGAATTCAGAACTTGACTTACGATACAGTAGGAGAAATAGGAAATCTCAAGTGGGTAACTGAACTATGGAAAAATTGAATTGGGGCATAGCTGGAAGGAAAAATTATGACCAAGAAGGGTGCCAAGCTGTGTATTATAGTGGTGTGCAGGCAGGCCCATGGGGCAATCTGTTCAATAATGCTCTCTGAGTCGTAGTCAGAAAACAGAAAAATCCTTCTACCAATCTCTCAGGGTTAGGAGTACTAACAACAACAACAACAAAAACTGCCTGGAATGTAGAAGCCACTTTAAAAACACTACACCCACACATTTATTTTAGTAAAATTTGCATACTCCTAAATTAACCATTTCTTCTTTAGAGACACCCAAGACATGTGAATTCACCAGAGTCTCCTAGTTCTCCCCGCAGACAGGGGTGAGACATACTGGCTAGAATCCTCCTCTGATGGTGAGGTGTTACGAATAATTTCTAACCCATTCTGAGCCAACGGCCTTCAGCAACTGCACAGAAAGCCTCACAGCTGAGCTGACAGAAGCATGGACCAGGTGCATGAGCACTCTGGGGTGCTGGGAGAATTCTGCTTCATGGGCCAACATTCCACGTGGTTGTCCAGCACTGAATACTGCTGTTCTGTAATGACATTCACTTTCCTAATGCAGCTCTGTAGGTCTGGGGGTTTGGATAACTAAGACCTCTTTTAAAATAAGCTATACTTTCAACTAACCATATTACCCAATGATAATTTAAATCTAACTGGAACTATGAATGTCTCCATTACTAAATTACTAATAATTAAACAATTAGTGTTTATTATTAAACATCACCATAGCACTAGATACCTGGGATAAAGCTATCCTCTAAAACAAAAATAGTAAGCTACTATCACTGTCACTGAAGTTGAAGAATGCTTAGATCTTCTGGTGGAAACCAACTGTATTAGGTTTGTCTTGTGCTTTGTTAAAGGAAAAAAATCACAGTATCTATACCTTCTACTCAGCAGTTACATTATCTCAGTTTATAATTCTTACGTGTAATACATTAGGAATTTGCTGGTATACTTAGGGCTTACTAAAGCTCATATTTTTAAATGGGAATAGCTATGATTACTGGATTCTGGTCCTGATGGTATTTCTACCATTGCACCTAAAACAAATTATTGTACTTAGTTCTACACACATTTGTCTTTCCCACCAGAATGAGTCACATCAATATAAAGTCTATATATTTTGTTCATTGTTGCATGTCTGGAATATAACAGACATTCACAAAAAACGCTCCTTCACTTAACGAATGTGGACCCAAGGTTCAGTGATAAAACAAATTTAGTATCTGTTGTTATGTACTACACAAATCAAAATGATAAGAAAACTATCCACCGCAAAATAGTAACTAAATGCCAGAATCATATAATTTCTCCAATGAATAGCTGACAATGTCAACTGAATCACTTTAAACAATTCATGTTTTCTTTTTAGACCTGGCAGAAGCTATCAGTAATCAAGTTAAAAAGAGAGAGCATGTTTTTCTATTAGAAGATTTTAAGAATTCATTACTTCAAGACCTCTAGCTCTGTAGTATACAAAACGCAAAAAACTCTGCATCACATATATTCTCTTCAAGGTTGAAATTAAAAACTACTCATTCAGTTAATGTCAGAACAAGACACTTACTTCATACCATTAAAAGACTTAGTAACATTCCAGTCATACTCACACATCCCTCCCAAGTAACTAACACTTAACATGTAAATTTATAGTCACCATTCACACACACATACACTACTTATAAAGCCTGTAATATGGGTGTTACTCCTGCACTTCAACTTGGGTACACGGTATTGTGGTAAGAACTATAGAGTCCAAAAGGTAATTAACTACTTGAAGAGACAAAGGTTTAAAAATTGAAATTCAGAGAGGCTCAAGAGGGAGGGGTCCCGTATATAATTATGACTGATTCAGGTCGCTGTACGGCAGAAACCAGCACAATATTGTAAAGCGATTTTCCTCCAATTAGAAAATAAGTAAAAATTGAAATTGAAAACAAGATTTGGACAATACTGGAGGACAAGAGCAATCTAATGTCAAATGGACCACATGGCTACAGGGCCACAGAAGTTGAGAGAAGAGAGAAAGCACTCCTAGCTCATGTGAAAGAAGGTTTTATGAAGGACATGGGAGCTAAGCTGAGGGCTCCCCCGAAGAACGAGTAGAACTATAAGGAAACTGGAGACACAGGACAATTACAGGCAGATGGAACAGTGCAAGTTTCCCTATGGGGGACGGTACATGGAAAACCCCAAATGCGTGTTCCAATGACCCAGAGCTCAGAAAGGAAGGAGCCTAGGAGATGGCACAAAGGAAGCATTGAAAAGGTCTGCTGAATAATTAGACAGGAGTCAAAGAAAAATGGGGACAAAACAGTCTTATCTTCAGGAAAGTGTTCCTTTTAAAAGGTTTCTAATCCATTAGAGGAGTATTTTATTACATGACTCTTTCCGTAAGTAATTCTATACCATCTTTCTTCTCATTCTCAATTTCACTGCTTGTTTTTTATTCCCAGGCACATAAACTTCATGGAAAAGAGGACAACAAAGGCATTAACTGGAATTAAAGCTCCAATTCTTTTTTAAAAGATGGTCTTTCCACTGCATTGCAATACTTGCCTCTGCAAAAGGCATAATGTAGACAAAAGTCTGTTATCAGAAAACTATTCTTAAATACTGTCTGTAGAAAAAAAAAAAAAAACAGCTTTTCTTCTGAGTCAACTCGTGATCGATCAGTCTATACTTAACATATTTTTCCCCACTATCACAATTTTAAAGAAAAAAAAAGGTACTGTTTACTTACAAATAGTCAATTTATAGATTTATACCTAGATTTTACTGTATTCTACCATACTTAACTGAAAAAAAAATTACTCAGCAGAGTTAACCTGAGCAATAAAATATACAATAAATATGGTTTTAAGAAAATGTAATTCTGTTAAGACTGCATTTGAAAACCTTTTCGAATCATCATTCAGGGGGAAAAAAACTCCACAAAAATTAAAATAAGGAAATATAATGCTCTACTCATTTCATCTGACGTTGGCTTAGCTGGCAAAGCAAACAAGAAAGGATCCACTGGGTGACACAGAAACTAGAGCTGCAGGCAGGAAAGCAAAGTCCTGACACCTCTGTCTCCACCACCATTAGGACACAACCCGGGTTCACGTCTGCTTCCAGGACCAGACTGCATGACTGGACTCTGCGAGCCACAGACCTTCCTTCAGCGCACCCGGGGTGGTCCTGGGCGGGAGCACACAGCACTCCAGTGTCCTGGTCTCCCGAGGTAAGAGACTAGATGAGGCAGAACTGAAACTGACATAGTAGGTGATTTTCCTTTTACTTAACAGACAGAATACTGACTAAATGTACTCTGTGATAATGCCAGTAGTACTGTTAAGAATTACAAAAGGAATCACATTTTCTCCATGTGTAATTAAAAAAAAAAAAAAAAGCATGTGAAAAATAACTTTCCTCTTGAATCCACACCATGTTCTTGACTAATTATGTTGGCAATTACTCTGCACAACTAATATGCTTTGGGGGAAGAGAGAATTATGTAATGGTCAAAGATAAATTCTCTCTCCCTGGCTTTCATAGCTCACAGTCTGACAGGTCAAGATAATCATATACAAAAAGAACTGTAACTCGATGGGGTAACAGCCATGACAGAAGAGACTGCTATCGGAGAACAGCAGTGCAAGCCTAACCTTCCTGCAAGAAGTAATGACTAAACCAAGTCTACAGGAAGCAGCAAAAATTCAGCAAAAAAGGGAGGATCATTCCAGGTGGGGAGAGCCACATGACAAGAACAAGAGTGTAGCTTTAATTTCCAAACAAATCATAAAGTTCTGCAGCATGAGAGAAGTGGCTAGACAGACTTGTAGGAAGCTGACGTGGAAACCAACTCAAAGTAGAAGGCACAGAGAGAGAGGAGTCACAAGTAGCAGACAGGAAAGTCTGCGCAAGTGACTGGATGGCGCGTCCAATAAGGAGCAGACAGAGGAAGATAAACGTGGGGGTGGAGGAGGGCGTCAGAAAGAGAATGAATGTTATTCTGCACACGTTAAATGTGAGGTTACAAACCTAAAAGTGAGACATCTTGTAGTAGGCAAATGGTTTAGACCAGAAAGAAAAATTTGAGAGCCAAAAGCATATAGATGATAGCAAAAGCAACTAGTCTAACTAGCTGAAGTCAACAAAGAAACACAGGATGGAATTAAGAGAATTCCGGGGAAAGCAAGCATTTAGGGAATGGCTAGCAGAGAAGGAAGTGAAAGGGAGATGTTTAAAGAGATAGGAAGAAAACTATAAAAAGAACAGTGACAGAGAAAACAAGGGAGAGTTTTCCAAATTGTATGCCTTCTATAAAAGTACCAATTTACATAGACAAAAGAAATAAGAACTCCAAAAAACAGGAAAAAAAAGAAATACTCTAAGAAC